AGAAAAGCAGAACTGTTTAAAATGGAAAAAGGAGAGGGCGATTCTAGTATTTTTCTACTATATGCACGAGTATTAACTTGCTCTTTTTTAATCTACAATCAAAATTTGTAGAAAGAGAAGCTACTGACCTACTCCAGGCTTTGACTTTCTGTAACGATATAAAAACATTAATGGAAAACGCTCGGCACAACATTGAAGTCTGAATGACCTCTACATAGTTTAATCCTCCTCGCCACCTTAATTTTTATTTCCCGGAAATTAAACTTGATTTTTGAGCAAAAAAGACGTTTGCTTCATCTAGGACTTTTTACTGAGTTGTGGTTCCTTTTACCAACTCTTATTCACTGATGCGTTTAGCTAAGATAATTTAATCGTCAAAAGTAAGCTCCATTTATCTTCAAATGGACGGTGCAAATAAATTGATAAAAAAGCATGCCAGAGAATCGCTTTTGGGTCAACAGTAACCCGACACTTCGATGAATCAAATAATTTGGAAAACCTGAATTTTTAAAAACAAAATTGCTTTCAGGGTATAAAACGGATCGAGTTTCCCATGCATAAAATTACAACTTTTTTTCTGACTCCGTCGAACAATACCCTTTTTAAAATATAAGACATTCTGTTTTTTTGCTAGCTTGCTTATTTTGAAGCGTAACCAAATCAAAAAGGATCCAGCTCAATTCGACTAATGGCCTAAACCATAGTCTTTTCATGGATGTATATAAAGGATTGGAATAAACATTTGCTGTTTAGGTCCATTACTTCACACTTCCTCTGCTGACTCACAATCAAAAGCAAAATGCCTGCATGATATTGTTTAATATGACATTTAATGTTAATAATAAAAGCCAAAGGAAATCTTCAGTTCTTTGATTATGTTTGTTTAGTGTCGTGAACTCTCTCAAACCATTAAAACAATTGACATTTTCTCCTAGCATTTCGCTGAAGAGCCTTCAAAAATCAATAACTTTAAATCAATTTTCCACCGTTCAAATATTTCGGTTAAAAGGCTGAATACTATTTTAGAGGAATTAAAATTAATTTACCTCACATTTTGCAGTTGTAAGTGCCAAATAATGAATTTAATGGTGTCGGATATTTATTCGACATGACAAAATTAAAACCTTTCTTTCAGCTATTCACTTCCCGTAAACTGCGTATTTAATTAAACACATAAAGAAAGCCAGTTTTTATTGACTGCAGTGTTATATTCTGTTTTCATTGTGAGCAGTTGAACCCTCTCTTGGAATTATAAACACAATTGTTTTTAACTGTCGCCAATAAACTTTTGATATCGCTAATTGGCAGAAAATTCTCTCGAAGGATCTCTAACGAGAATTATTTCCTAGTTGAGGATGTGTTGAAGTGCTGCTAGACACGTAAATATATTATACCTGTTTTTAGGTTTTTTTCAAAGCTCGATTACGCTATTGCACTCAATAAATATCAGGCTGATTCCAACATTTTCAATCTTCAATGGTGATTAAATAGAAATTTAAATTTGAACATAATTTGTGTTTAACTGTCAATCACATTAAATGAACCTGTCTTTAAATGAAAACAAAAAAGCGTGATGTACAGAGACCTGACACTCCCCTGAACTGTCAAAGTCTTTAAAGCTTTTGCAACTCCTAGTGAACTCATCCTACGCAAAGTACTGAAGCTGACAGAAATCACGGAACTTAACATTTATTCTACTGAAAATGTTTTTCCCGCAAGATCCAATGCTTTTGTACCAGCAATCTCCATACATGACTCCACCAGCAATTCCTCGAAGTCCCCCAGTTCGATCTTCGTTTTTAATCGACGATCTTTTAGTAAGAAGACAGTCTCCCTATATAGTTCCAAAACAGCCCCAAGATAATCATTTACACGAGCCTCAAGTTTCTTCAGGCAATGGAAACTCGTTCAAGTTTGGCTTGCCCAGCATATTTTCACGGACCCGCGAAGAGCATTCAACAGTTTACCAAGGTAAGTTTCTTATCAATCTTAACCTATTTAGGTAAGGCTTGTTTAAGGGAGTGTCTCTGTTTTAAATCAGATTCCCCTTTTTGCGTCGGGCTTATAAATCCTTTGTTCGCGAGCTGTTTCTGTGCTTTGCGTTAAAAAATGAAAGCGCTTATCGTAATGGTACCATTTTTAAGTCATCTATTAACAACTTTGAAGCTGCGAAAAGATTCTAAAGAGGGGAAATAAAGGAAATTTGAGCCGATAATGGCTTAAAACTCACGAATTCCCTAAACTGAAAGCAAATACTTAAAAGTAATTTAATCTTTCTTTTCCTTTCCGTAAAAAGAGCCTTTTTTTTATCAGGAATCCCTCATTTTGTAATTACATTTTCACACTTTCAACGGCTCCTTTTATTATGAACTCTTTCAAAACCCAAGATAAAGAGTTACGATTATCTTCTCGGGGGTTTGTCCGAGTCGAACTATATATCGTGATATGAACACAAGTCACAGAAATCTCATTTCACTTGGATATATTAGAACTTGCTATGAGTATAAAAGCACTTCACAGACTAGACGCCTTTATTTAATTATCTTTATGCAAACTGGGAATTCAGCAGGTTCTTGTTAAAAAAAGGAAGAAATTTCCATTCTGGTTTTATCTATAGATGAAAATACTTGTCGCATTAAGCGAAGAAGACACATCTGGCTGACTAAAAGCTCACTCATGAAGCCACCCATCACTGAATCGAACTCAGAACCCAATTCAATTCCAAGGAAATATCACAATAAATGAGGGCAGGAACAGTTTACCCTAGGCGAAAATCTTCTACGATGTAAACAGAAGTGGGGTTTACTTTACGTGGTTAAGTTTTGAAAACTAAAAATTCCGACCGAGAGCAATGTTATTGTCCTGTAGTACTAGTATACGAGATAAAATAGATTTTGCATAGCTGAGTGGGTCTTTTTTCGGTCCAATATTGCCTTCTCCCCTTCTATTAAGCGTGAAAGCGTTTGATTTTTTTCTTGCTATTTTTAAAGTTTTTTTTCTTTTCAGATCCCAGCCCTGAAGTTCTGAACTCTCTCCCAGTATACTTTCGCCTCAAGCCAACCATAAGGACACCGAGCGGTCGCAGATGCCGCAAATCTCGCACCGTCTTCACTGAGCTCCAGTTGCGCATTCTCGAGAAAACCTTTTCCGAACAGAAGTACTTGGACACGTCCAGCCGAGCGAAACTTGCTCAGACTTTAGGCTTGAACGAGACACAAGTGAAAACGTGGTTCCAGAACAGAAGAATGAAATGGAAGAAAGACGCAAAACAGACCAAGCAAGCAGAAAGCAGCGATGGGCAGACACGAAATGACGCGGAAACCAGTAATGAAGACAAAAAAAGAATCGGAGAGGCAAGCTGCGTAATGGATAGCGAGGAAGTGGAGATAAAGAGAGAAAGCGAACAGTCATTAGTTGAGGTTTTAGTCCACTAAAAGAATATGTTTAATGAGATAAAACCGCAAAATTTTTGCATAGTATTACGTATCGTTCTTGAGAACCAACTCTTGGGGAGTTACTCTAATTTGATATCTAAATTTTTTTGGTAGTTCTTCGAGATCATAGCAAGTATCAACAATACCCTGTATAATATAGTATTTGGTGTGTGAAAGTGATCTCGATTAATTAGCTTGAAACAGATAAAGCGAAAAAAAAAGTCAAGAATTAGATACGATGCAGTCTTGTCATAATATACCGGAATTTATAGTGGTTTTTGATCATGAGTTTGTGCATTTCAGGAGACCGAGTTGAAAATTAATTATAACAATTAAAAGGGAAGTGGATAGGAAATTGATTAGCTAATCCATAATTAGTGCGCATCAACGCATAAAGAGCACCATTCACTGACTTTGTAATGTACATGATAACTGATGTGTATGTTTAATGAATATGTATATATGAAGATTACATTAGAAACTGTTTGTAAGGCCCTGTTTTAAAGCTTGATACCAGTTGATATTAGTTCCTGTTTTTGTCACGTGATCACTTAAGTCATTATATGGACCGTGCATAAATTGAAAAGGTTATTATCCAAATCTTGTCAAAATATAAGACCATTTTTATGAGCTGAATTACAAGAAAAGAGAAATCTCCTTAGTATGGCAGTTACTAATAGGCTAATAAAGTTCATGATTGACCAGTTAAGCAGGTTAAGTGTCAAGTCTGCTTTCGAGTCAAGTGACCACTCAGGAGAGGGCTGAATCCTAGGAAAGGGGGTTTGGGGCGCGAGGAAAACGCGAGGGGCGCGCAAGGAGGAAGGGGGCGAGTGAAACCTCTAGCATGAAGCGAACAGGAATATCTAAGCCCCAGTTGACCGGAATGACAGTCCATCAAGGTTTAGCCTGTTCACAGACCCTCCACTTTCTCTTTAGAGATCGTCGCGCGCGCGTACGGAAATGAAAACCGCGGGGGATTTAATTACCACAAGCGCAAGGTGTCGAAATAAAAAAAGAGAAACGTCTGTGGATAGGCTACTCGAGGGTTTCTCCCTGCATTTTCATCGGTACACATTTATACAGATGGGTTGGACCTCCTTTCTTCCTTTTAATCCCCCCTCCGCCACGCCCAAATTTCATTTCCAGTTGCCAGCACCTTTGTAGCTAATGTATTTTCTTCTATTTTTAAAATACAAGACACGGCAAACAAGAATGTCTTTTGCATATGTTGTATTTTACGTGAGACTTCTCCTGGACTCACTCACAAATCTCCTCACTTCAACAGTAAGGAGTTGAATTATTCTACGATTATTATTAAAATAGACATTTGGACCAGATATGAAGTAAAATAAGAAAGCGATTGAGGCGAGTTAAGGCACTTCATTGGAAAATAACTTCACATTAGCAGTGTCTCTAACACGCTACAAGATAAAAATTCATCTTTCCATCGATCAGCTTAAAATAGACAAGCAGCAAAAAACGCATAGTAAATGTGTTGTTTCGAAACTGCAATCATTCCGCATCAGTTCGCCACAGTTTGATTTTTCTAAGCAAGCCAACATATTATCAGTTGGCGGAATACCCAAACTCTTTGGCATCATCACCGGTAAAGTCACCATAACGCCACAAGTTTATCTAGAAAGAAAAAGAAATGAAAAGAACCAATTTCAGCCCTAAGAATGTGCGCAAAAAGCAAAGAAAAGAACACTTCCTCTTCTTTTTGCTTATCATCATCACCATCATTTTTACTCCATAAAAAAGGCACTTGCGAAACTGATGAGGACATCAGGTATTACAGAGATATGAATATTCCTCTCTCTAATAGATCTCGTTCACGATACTCGCCGCCTTTGCACGTGCTCAATGACTGATGGTATAAAAGCAATGCCACGTGGCTTCTCAGGGAGCAACAACAAAAAATTTTCAACACAAGAAATCGCGGTCAAGTTTGTTTATTCTAGACAACAGACAATGAAGAACTTTTCATTGTAAAGACGAAAACGGCGAATTATGAATGGAAGTGATCAGTGTGCAGTGGACGTGGTGACCGTAGATGTCCTCATAGCCAGCAAAAATAACGTAAAACTCGTCGAATCTCGAACTGTAGATTGTGCAAGTCTAAACTAGTCGTCTCGATTTGAGAGAATACACAAACTCGACCGCGATTACTCGTATTGGCAAATTTTATCACTTGTTTGCCCCCTGCAATACCACGTGACATCGCGGTTTTATCCCCTCACTCCTAATGCGCGTCCAAAGATGGTGGTAGACCATCAAGCACTTTGTTCGCCCCCACTCCAAAAAAAATTGCATAACCACTGTTTCCAATTTCTTCTGGGTATTACATTCGCCCCAAGAGAAATCGAAGAAAATGGTTATGCAAAATGTTGGGGGGTAAACAAGGTTCATTATGGTCTATGTGAAAATGGTGAATACCGTCAAATTCCGAAAATAAGCCCCGGGGCATATATTTTTCAAAGGCCCTTTTTTAAGGGGCTTATTTTTGGAGGGGCTTATATCCGGAGGGGCTTATCTACGGGAGGGAAATTTGCGTTTCAAAATCGATTGGGCTAGCCCTATAGTTAGAAGTAAATTTACCGTTTTTGCTTTGTTTTACTTTGTATTTGAGGGCAATTTTCCAAGTACAAGTCCCCGGGGGGCTTATATTTGGAGGGGCGATTTAACGGAGGGTTTTTTGCGTTACCGGTTTGGGGGGCTTATATTTGGAGGGGCTTATTTTCGGAATTTTACGGTACCTTACTCGTCTGAGATCTGCCACTTAGGAAACTTAAGTAGAAAAAAATGGGGCCGAGTTAACGTTCGCAAAGACTTCTGGGACTATTACTGGGGACAGGGAAAAAACTAGCCAATAGCTGACCGGCGCGTCACCAGTCACTATCCCAGAAACAATTACGGGACGCATTTCTCGTCTCCAGTCCTCTCCTCGTTCCTAAAGAGACGAATTGTCTCCTTTCAAGTTGCTTCGTGGTCATACGTACCCTTGCTTTCCTCGCCGTATCCTGAGCCCGGGTGTATTCTTCCAAAACTTTCTGTAATCGCTTCTCCTTTCTCTTCTCAACTGTCACCAAGCCATCTGTAACGAGACTCTTGCCAATATCTTCTCCGTTCTCCTGCACCAGTGTAACATAATCCTAACAAGACAAAAGGAGCTACAAAGTTCACACCAGGAACCTCGAAAATGGACTACACTCAACTCTTTCTAAGACGGACAGCTTTGGGAACGGCAATGTCCGGCTAAGAGTGATACCCGTCAAGACGGCAAACTTTGTGTGACAAGCGTGGCAATAATTTTGTTTGAAATAACTTCACGCTTAACTTCACTTTCCTTTAAACAGATGTTTTTGCAAAGACCAGAAAACATTAATCTTAAGTGAGGATCACGACATAAAATGCAAGTAATAGCCTTGTCACGTTTGTCACACACAAGCGTTTTGCCGTCCTCTTCTTTCCGCCGCCCTGTTGAGTAAACTCACTATTGATGAAAAAAGAGAATGCGAAGTTCAGTCATCGTTGCCACAGCTGGAGGATTTTGAAAGTCCCTGACTTTTCCCTGACAAATGTCAAATTTCCCTAACGCACTCAACACTTCCCTCACAGCCATCCTCTCCACCCATTTATTTAAGCTTTCAGCAAGTCACGTGTGGGGTGCACGAATTCATAGTTCCTTAACATAACTTCTTGTCGTTCAAAGTAATGAACAACAATCTACCAACACAACATGATTCATGTCCGTAAAATGTACAAAAGAATTAAAAATGTTAAAGAACAACAAAAGTAGAGGGATAAGAATAAATATGTACTCTTAAAATTTCCCTTTTTCCTGACCTCTTTCAAAGATTTAAATTTTCCCAGACTCGAAGTGAAATTCCCTAACTTTTCCCTGACCATGAAGAATTTTTTCCCCCTTACCATTTTCTGACCTGTAGCAATCTTAGTCTCCAGGCCCCCCCTCCTCCTTTCCTTCATCCCTTGGGCCTCCGTAATAAAGTAGGATATTTACCTGACCCATGGTTTTGTACTCCACATTCAGCATAAATTGTCTGTTCTAGAGAGGAAATAGATCAATTCTTCGATTATTAAGTGATCTTAGCAAGACAAGATTTTCCAAGAAATGAACATAAACTCAAAGGAAACAGAAAGGAAGAACACTTACAATAACAAGGTTTTTAAATGCATCCAACGCATCAGCAACTGCTTCTACCTATAAAAATTACATGGAAAAAAATACACTGTTAATTATCGAAATAAGTGACTAAAAAAGGCCACTATACACCCTTGGTTTAGAATTGTGATATTCGAAATTCCCCAATGATAGGTAGTAAACTAAACCCAATCAAGCGGGACTAGCTTGCGTATGTTTTTCCAAACCGAGTAGCCAGTGTATGCTGTTTCACTGGATTGATTGTGGCTGGTCAGATTACTTAACTTGGCGGTACGAACCACAAAACCACGCGACTTTGAAGCGTAAGAGCGGCACTGGGCCATTTCTGAGATCCAAAAACCCTGCCTTTCAAAACGAGGCTAAGTGCAAAACCTTTGCTGTGAAAATGAATTTATTTGCATGAGAAGGAAAAATCATTTCATATCAATGGCTTTGCACTTAGCCTCGCTTTGAAACAGAGGCTTGAGGCAACTCAAAAATGACCTATTACTTTGGTTCTACGCAACAACGCTTTGTGATTGGCTGAGCAACTTCACGCTAACTTTGTCGACCAATCAGAAGTAAAGCGACGCAAGGGTGAATGTGTCTATCATCCGACCCAGCAATAACAACTTACATCAGCTGGAAGCTCAATAAATGCCATATTGTATTCATGTGCTTGAGGTGGAAAACTAAAAGAAAATAAAGAAAACTTAGCAATCACACAAACGTTCACCCACGTGAACTCAGTCTTTGGTCAAATAATTAACGTAGCTGATGTTTCTTTATCGGGGAGTACGTGGAGTTTCTGTTTAGGGATGGATCTTTAAGACACATTTGTGTACCATTCAGATGTACACTACAGAGCTGTGCGGGTCGGAGATGTACTCTAAAATGATGCAGATGTTTAGAGGAATAGACTATAGAAGAAGAGTGGGTTACCTGTGGAAGGCTGCAGGAAGTGGACATAGCTTGGATAATGGCAACACCTCTTTCTGCAATGTAGTAAAATTAACGCACGTGAGCTCCTTCGGAAATTTTATTTTCTATGTTTTGGGTCACTCAGTTACCCTGCTGGCTTACATGGTATCCAGGGCTCGAAAATAAAAATAAAACTCCAGCAGGTTATTTGGGCACGCGGATCTTCATTTTACTTGCTTGGCCTTGACCCTTTAAGCCTTAAGAGTGATCAGCATGAATTTCCCCTTATGATATCAATGCTTTAGAAAACAGAGTGGTCATGATAATTGAGTACATGATCAGGGAAGATGAGTCTAATTGATATTTCAACAAATTCTCCCCACTACTTCTGTTGAAAAAGTATAGGGACAGTAAATGAGAATCTTAATTTTGATATTAGGGTTTAAGGGGTTAATTATTTAATTGGGCGCTGACTTGCCTGGGCCCTTGCTCATCGGGCCAGCGAGCTTTGAAAGTTACTTGTTTAGCAAGAAAATCTACTCGCACTGGATTACCTATTAGCGGCAACTTTTTTGAGCTCTGATATTTTCACATAATAATAATTTTCGGCAATGTTTGATGCTTGTCCAGTGAGCGGGTAAAAAGTATTTTTGGCAAATAAACAAGCTACGGTGAAGGGTGCAATAAAGCTTTTCGAAGCCGTGGACTAAACTACAAAACAATTTCCCTGCAGTACTTACATTTCCATAATCGATGTAAAACACATGGATTTGCTTAGGAGATGTAATATTTTCTACCCGAGCACGGTACCTGAATTGGAGAAAACGACGAAGTGTTCTTTAGACGGAAACGTGCTTGTACTGATTTAATATGATGAGCCCAGAATGAAGGGAAAAGAAGCGGTGGTTCAATAAAGGTTATAATACATTGCATAGTAAATTAGCGGACTTGTCGACAGCATAGTATCGGCTGTAATCACCGTTATACGCGCCATTAATACAACAAAGAAAGGCAAAACAAGACAAAAGAACAGATATAGAAGTTTAAGGCACGGCATGACCGGCCACTGTCACGTGGTCGATTTTAACATGTTAAAAACGATGGAAACTGAAACAAAAAAGTGGTCGCGGTCGCCTACAAGAGTTTCTAACTATAGGGCTTTGACTGGGAAAATTTTGGTATTTTAACAGGCGGTCGCATAAACAGGTTCGACTGTATACACTATATATTTACTACTCTGATGAAGTGGGACTTGACAACGAGATGACGGCGAATCAAGCGCACTCTGCTCACGAAGCTTAACAAGATATTGACCAACACCTAAAGAAGTCGAGGGGGATGGGGGGAGTTGGAAACATACCAGTTATTATCGACGAACAAAGCAGCACAAAGATCTCCTTTCCTTGCCGTGTATGAACCTGGTAATGGCGGATTAGTGCTTAATTCAGCATGAAGATCATCCATAAGTTTCTCTAACTGGCCACCTGGTAAGGAAAAAAAATGTACTGTGAGTTGATAAAAGAACGGACGTAGTCAACAATTTTGATGTCTACAATCTTTTAAGTTCAAGATTTTGCATTCACGACTGCGAAATCGTGAGCTCCAAATTAAACCCTTTAAAACCCTAACATTAAAATTGAAATCATCAATGGCCGCTCCTATAAAAGTAGTGGGGAGAAGTTGACAAAACATCGATTTCATCCTCTGTGATCATAACCTTGATTCTCATGACCGTTATGTTTGACATTACGAGGAAAACTTTAAATTGATAGGGCTTTAAGAGTTATTTTTCGTATTATTAGAGTCTTATTTTGAGAGACAGCGTGGCATACACACTGATCTGGTAATCATCCCTGAATCATATTACCTGCGCTGAATACGTTTTTATCATCCTTATGTTTAAAAACGTTTTTTTTTAAAGATCGAGGAATGAAATCGTGGTCACCCATTTTTTTTTTTTTCAAGTATTATTGCCCAAAAGAAGCCAAAAATACAAACGCACTGCGGGAAGTGATCATGAAGAATAAACAAAAAAGGATTTCTGATGAATTAAGATGTTCTCAATTCTTCTTCAAGAGTGAGAGAGCTGAAGCCGTTTCTGTAAAAGGTATTCTAGAAATCACGGCACGGTATTGATATCAGACGAGACCCCTTACCTGACTCAACATGCTGCGCCCAAAAGGAAAGACTCTGCATTGTTTCTGTGACAATGACCTATGACAAACGGGAAAAAAAAATCAGCCTGGAACATAAACAGTATAGCAGGGGCTATGCTAGTCTATTACGCAGCCGTTCTTTTGGGTCGTCACGCAACACTCCAGTCCTTATGGGGAGAAAGAGAAACAAAGAACGAGCTTTTTTCATTAACAACTGCATCGCTAAATGGAGGTTGGGTTCTTGGAGTATCCAGGGGCTTCCACTTTTGGCATCCAACCCCTAGATTAAATAATGCTCCCCTGGTTGGCACAGCAGCGCAACCCAGCCATGAGCCCCCACACGAAAGGAAACAAACAGGTACCTGTGTCACTGAAAAATATCAGTGGGGAAAGAACCACAGGGAGGGGGACGAAAATGGCTGAAAGAAACCTCGTGGCACGGATAACGCAGCAGGAAGGAAAATCTCCATGCCACTGAATCACGCGAGGATGTAGCGAACTACTGGGCATGCGCATGCCGAACGACCGCGGACCTCTGGCACTGAAGACGCTTTTAGTTGTCAACTCCTTTAAATTGCATTTAAATGCATAAAACGTGTACATAACTCTGATGATCATTTCTTTCTTTAATTAACGCTTATTGTTTAATAACAAACCTTCTTATAATTGCACTTCCTTTCTGTTTCCTCCACAACAACAACATGTTTAGGTTCTTCATAATTGGCCCATAACTAAAAAGCAATGAACCTCAGTTAACCTCTCGATTGAATGTATGGACTTGGCACGCGAAAGAATTGGGCTTTTTGCTACCATTACCCGAGTTAATCTGATGCTTGTCTTATTTTAAGGCAACTACGGCAGTCTGATATGTTTCACATTTAATCTCCAGTTTGCAATTTTCTCTGTTTCTTGCCAACAGTTAATTCCTTCAGAGAATGTGACAAGAAAGAAAACAAAATTGTCCGCCATGTTGCTGAGCCAAATGACTTCTAGCTACCCTTTCTTTTTTGTAGGGATCTGAAACAAAATACCTTAAGCTTCTTTGATTTGGCTTGCTCCTCAGCTTGTGTTAGCTGTTGGTAGAAACTTGAACGCTCGGCTGTGAAGTGAACTTGTGAAAGACCAGCCTGCGGAAGAATCAGAGACCAGAGCCAATCAGGCAATCACGGAGGCGCATATACTTTACGACAAAGGGTTGGAAGGATTTCAAATAAGCAAATTATTATTTTTTTGTTCTCTAGTCGTCAAAAACGAAAATAACGCGAGAAAAAAGAGACGTAGTTGCAAGCTCTCCTTCCTTTTCCCGCTCCGCCGCCAGAGCGGCACGGAGGGCTTGCTCGCAGGCTACGGCGACGCTTGAGCCGATTCAGGCAGAGCCACCTTTTCTTTTCCTCTTTCAAGAAGGCAAATTAAGGACGCTCTGTACGCAGGGTTGCTAAGGGACTAAGAAAAACAAGTGTCATTACGTTGGCAACTTTACCTCAACCAGTGAAATAGAAAGGTTTGTGTTATCAACAAACAGCCATCCAATGAAGTTTCCGGCCTTGTCCATTGCTTCCACATCGACTTCAACCTTATCAAGTGAACGCATAAAGAACAATATCTCATATATTAAGATTATAGTGAAACATTTAAATTTTCTTATCCCAATGGTCAACTACGAAGATAGCATATGTTTATGTGGACCAAATCCTGTGATATGACCATTCAAATTAAACCTCTTTAGTAGTCCTTTCACAAAGCGCATCTATTTTTTCAGTTTTGTTAGTTTTTATCGCAGTAGTTTTAGAGGTTTATAGAACAAATGACGAAGTTTTCATCTCATTATTTTCAACTGATATAACAAGAAACGGCAAAGAAATGTACAAAAATGCGTTGTACACGTGCAGAGTTGTTGTTTTGCCAATCTTAGGGCCTGTTTACATGGAGGTGGGGGACCTAAGCTACGTGAGGTAACATGCAGCGGGTCACCCCACCTATCATGTAAACGTGATCAAATTAAAATGAGAGATTATATGGACAGGCGAGTTACGCCACGTGAGCAGATCCCCCGCCTCCATGCAAACACGCCCTTAACCTTTTGCTCTTTTTCCGCTCTCGTTGAGGTCGCCGTCGTCTTTATATTTAAGCTCACCAACAACTCGCTCAGTCTGTAGAGTGCTTGATTGCAGAGAGAGAGCGAGAGGTCGGGTTCAATGGGAGATGAAGGTACTGCCTTTGCCTTGCATAAGGCCCGACGACCTTCTCGTGGCTCGGATGACCGCGTAAAATGGCAGTCACATATGCAGTGGGCGACGTAAAAATAGTGTTGTCAATTGGTACTTTCGTGTTAAATGTATATTAATTGTACACTCCAATAAAATGCTTTTTTGATCTGATCTACTAAGGCCTCGTCCACACGTATCGGGTGAATCCGGCATACGAATCCGTAACTTTTTGAATCCGCTCTCCTGAGTGGCAAAGTTTGAATACGCTATGAATTCGGAATCATGTGGACGCTATATCCGGACAATCCGGACATTTTTTTTATCCAGTGACGTAACAAGATGGAGCTCAGTTCTTTACCGTGAATACTGTATTCAAGAAGGCGACCTCGACCCATGCTCTGTTGCCAATATTCCTGGAGAAGTCCTGAGAACTCCAGTGAATCCAGATACGTGTCGGATACGCGTGGACGGGCAAATTCGATTTGCATCCGGATACGTGCGGACGTGGAAATTTTTGAATCCGGAAAGAAAAAGTTGCGGCTTCAAAAATATCCGGATAAGTGTGGACGGATGGGGCCTAAGAATAGTTTTGTTTGCTCTTCAAATGAATGATGTCCGTAGTGCAAACATTGATGCCCCAAAATGAAATTGACTCCTAGTCGTACCTCTCTTTGCATACAAAGGTCCTTGGTGAAAGCCAGAGCTTCATCACCGTAAGGTTCCCCTCCAGTGGCAATGACACCTTGAGAAGTAACTATTCTGCTAGCACGAGGACATGTGATACCTTAAGCCAAAAAAAAAAATAATAACATAAATAAATAAAAAAGGACTAGGTCCTCCGGTAGAGGAGGTTAAAAGAATACAGGATTGACGTTTTTCTACTTAAGAATAAAAGATGAGAGAGACATAACTTTGTAACTATCTTAAACTTCATTAAATTCCAAACATGGAAAAATTTTCTCCATAAAGAAAGATATTTAGGTTGTCAAAAGATGGACTAATAGACGTCTTCGTGAATTCAAAAGGCGTCAAGAAATTGGCATCTTTAAAAGAAGTGCTTCTTTCAGAGAGATCTTAAAATTCGTGATAATTTTTTGGCTAAGATTGTTACTATTCGCTTTTAATTTGTACTGCATTTTTAGAAAATAGTATGGAATGATCTTAACACGCATATGGAATGATTGGACAAAAACGACGCCACTTCCCTGTCACTGGGACGTTTAAGTACGCAAAGAAGTGAGCAAATTGAAAAAGTGGCTGACTTTGTAAACTCATTACTTTATGAGGCTAATTATTCACGATCCTCCACCACAAAGAAAAAAGCACTGGCAAGACCGCTCTATATCCCATTAGCCGCGCAGGCTGATTGACTCTAGAGCTTACCTGCAACAAGGAAAGTTATAAGACATGTCTCCTTTGGTAGATACAATCTTAATCTTGAGCCACTTGCGACAAACTGTACGAAAGAGAAAAGAAACAATTTAATAAACCTGGTCACGGCGTTGTACTCGATAAGCATACAAATAACTAACATTCTCATAGCAAAAATTAATAATTATATCATTTCATTCTAAAATAGCAAGTTAGGCTCCCACTCACTTCAACTATTCCTGAAGATCTTCCTGCTCGTTGTAAGAAAGGTAAGAACTGTTTCGCCTTGGCTGGTTCCTAAGTGAAAAAAAAATATATTGATACCTCCATTAACTCTTTTCCCCACCAACCCACCCACGGAAGGTGGGCCAGGGCGTTCTGATACTTTCTAACAGACTTTTGGGTTCTCTAACGTCTCTTCCGTATATATTTACAACTGAGGAAAGATGAAGGATAACAAAAGTCATTTTTAACGTCACTGCTCAATGACGATTTACATGGAACGTTAATCAAAGCCAGCACGACCACACTGGTTTCTGTGGTCCAGCCCTTTGAGTAAGGATTCAAATTGGCGACATTATGCTTCCCAGAGAAGCACACAGGTTTCTTTGAAATCCTTGAAAAAAAGAACTTGTCTCTGTCGGCAAAAATATTTAATTGCGTATTTGGGGACATATCGCGATGCAAGCGGCGATGTTCATGTTATGGCCTTAACTTTTACGACTGGCCTGTAGACACAAGTAAAACATATTTTGACTGAAAACAATTCTTGTAAAGCTTCCTCACCCCTGAGATATCGGCCACTCTGTGTATTGGCACTTCCTTCTTGCTGTGTAGCCCTTTGCCATTCTTCATAGCACGTGTCTCGGCAGCGAGCAAGTCATCGTAGCATGAAGAGCGCATGTCATCATCCTGTCTGTGCCGTAACGCAGTGGCAAACCCTTTGCTGATAAGAGCCTCTGCTATATTAATACCGCTGAAAGTTACTGTGGCACATGTTCGCTCTGGGAATCCATCACTAGGGGGCTTGATGTAATCAACTTTTACGTTAACCTATAAATAATTCGTAAAAGACCAATGAGTGAGAAGCGAAGCGGATTTCCTAACGATCGTGTTGTAATCCTTCTGTTTGTCCACTACATTCTAGTGGTTAATTTTCAAACAAGCCTTATTCTAAGAGTTGGCTGCAATGCCTCCCCCGGCTGTGGCAAGCTGTTCTAGGTGTAATGTTATTTTAAAAATACCGATTTCGAATCTTTTAGTTACTAAGCGTAAAACGTCTAAAGGCCTTGGTAACCTGTCCTATGCCCTAAAGTACCCACACTCCTTTGCTCCATATTTTCACAAGAGTCGATTATCCATATTTGACATAATGACAAAAACGTACAGCCATACCCAATGTACGACCAACTCTAGTAAGGAAACATCTATCCAACACATCAAAATTGTCGAAAGTCAAGGCAATACGGTTCTGAACTTCTTCTTTCAAGCAACCGCGACCACACTCTTGACTGAAGGTTTATTTTTTCCATTGCTTTTAGCCCCCTTTCCGACCACCTTAAGCAACCACTTGCCACGTGGTCTGATTTCATACAGCTACAAAAAGAAAATGGAAAGACGCACAACCGATGATAAAAAGACTTAAAGTTCGTCCTTTTGGTACGATGTTTTAGTTGCGATATCTAACGGTCGCTTCAGGTAACGAGCGACTCGGAGAATATGGGGCCCTTTTAGTGGCGAGAAGGCACTGCTCGTTACTCGTATTGTAAACTGTACGCAAAAAATCCTCTTCGAATATGTACCTGTATCAGCACCGTTGCCAAAAAAGACCCAACAAGGTACAGCTGTTGCAAGGAGCATCTCTCTTAAACTAAATCCTAAATCCTCATTTGCGGCGGGTTCGGTGGAATTTTACGTTCACCTTCACTGGTGTGTTGATGTTACGTCGCAACGTATACCAAAACAACAAAATATACAACATATTTAATTACCGTTTTAAGAACGCCTTTACCTTTTTGCCAATTAATTTTTTTCTAAGGAATTCTCTAGCTTCAAACATGTAAGGAACATCATACAGTGGTCTGCTCTTTTTGTTATCTTTAACGTTCGTTATGGTGTCCTGTGGAGCAAAGAACAAACGGATGGTAAGGCGTTAGTGTGCTAACAGTGCTTAAAGGCCTTTCCCTGATAATAAAAAGAAATGCTACCATGTTACCATGGTAGCAAAATTTGTGGATCACAGCAATAGGGAGCTTAAGCAACGACGACGGCGACGGCAACGAGAACGTAAAAATAGCAATAGGTGTAGGTTAAAAAAAACAATAAATATGCACGTGCATCACGCTTTTGTACATTTCTCAGACGTCCGTGTACGACTGGGACATGAAACTTCCTTATTTCACGCGTTCACTTCATGGAGTAGGTGAACACAACATTTTTCTTTTTCTAAACTTACACAAGGTTCTTTCGGATTCAACCAGAGAAAATTTCGCCAACATTTGACAAATTAAATGCAACTGGATAAGATCGATGAAATTTTAAACATTGCGAATTCACTTTTTGAGTGACGTTTTCGGTTTGTTATCATACAGAAATTTTGGTACCATGGCAACGTGACGTAACGACCTCTCCTCTCTGCTGAATATGTGCATGACAACGAATTGGTGACATTTCAAACAAATGACACAAGTTTCAAGTTTTAAGTGTTTCGACAGAAACAAACCAATCCAAGCCACACGTTTGCATGTTTCTTCTTATCCTTTCTGGTTGCAACGAAAGTAATCAATTTAACAAACCTGCGAACCATCTTCTTTTGGAATTAACCTGCAGGAATGAAAAACCATTCTCAGCAAATGGACATACTACAAAATAAAACGCTTACGTTGAACTCAAAAGCCTTTCAACGACTAGCCTGAATTTCAGACGATTACTTCGAGTCGTTTGAGTGAAAACGATCCGAAGTATTCGTCTGAAATTCAGGCTATTCAGCGACTGTAATAAGGTGTTTTAGGGGCCAATTTGAGACCATTGTGAGAATGGGTGAAAAACTACTGCACATGATTTGATAGCCTTTTCATTAGGGACTGCAGAGTGATCATTCTGCAAGCAAAGCCTCATTTTGTCCTCTAAAGTAAGGAGGAGAAAAGGACACTTTGCATGAATCGTGTCAAGCATTTGCCCAATCTTTCTCTCTCTCGTCAAACTGGTTTTTCCCAGTGCTGGAAACCGTTTGTTGATAAACCGATTAGACTGCATGCAGTCTCTCTTTTTGCGAGGGGAATGCACGCTTGCGCGAGCATCGAGCAGCGAAGCCGCGAGACGCGAGAAACTCTCCCGCCACGCGCCTTCAGTCACATGCGTGTCTCGCGCATTTTGCTCGACGGACGAAGAAAAAAAGAGACTGCTCGTAGTCTATAGACCAATGGGTATAACCGAGCCCGGTGTAACAAGAACACAGCTATTATGCCTAGGTACGAAACTGTACCCCAGCAACAAGCAAGCAACAAGCAGCACATGCTGAACAAAGATCTTAGTCGATTTGTGCAGAGTGCGCCAAAATCAAGCAAATGAAAGAAACTAAGACTCTGCTAGCAGGGTGGGGTGATACGTTTAAAGTATCGTTATTGGTTCATACCTTGGAGGTCTTAAACTCGAGAGATGAATCTTCTTCTGTGCTCCATCAGCGGTTCTGACAACCAACGCATCAGCATTGACAACTTCTACAACCTATCACGTTAAAGAACGGAGCAAGAAAAGTCGATGACTTATAACGTCGTGGCGAGTTGGTCGACTTTCCAGTCTGTTATGGTTTAATTGTATCCTTAGTCCAAGTTTTGTACTTTCGTTGTTTGTGCGTACTATAACAGATCATACTGAATAAAAAAAGAAAAACAATGCAAATTGAACCTTAAAGTAGCCATACTAACCTTGCCAGAAAATTCTTTGTTCTGAATTGGCACTACAGGAGTATTCGGTACATAGTCTTTCCACAACCTAAACCTTTTTTCCCTCGCGAATCTATGACATCAAAAATACTGTAATCATCAATTTCCTCTTGATACGTGAAATGAAAACCTCCTAAATTCCGCCACTGTTGGGCCATGAAATAACGAGGTTTTAAGAGAAGAACATACCCGACTGTTTTTGAGTTTGGGCAGATCAAAACAAAAGTCGTCTTAATTGTCCGATGATCTTAGGGCGTGTGCATAGTATTTTTCTGGGAAATTTGTGTCATTTAAAACAAAGTAAATAAATATATAAGCTGGAAGTATTTTTTTCCTCTTGAAAGGAGCTATGTTCTGCTAAGTCACCATCTGGTCGGACAAAACAAAATGTGGTCGGTGCAATCAAGGAAGCATCATGCCTCTTTAGCGAAAATTGTGCACGGTGGATTTGCAGGTACATTGCATTCTGCCATGTATTTACTACAATAATGTTAATTTGCTGGCACACTGAAAAATCCACACGTTCATCTACAAAGTGATAGATTTTGGTAACACGTGTTGTCCAGACAACATGTCCGACCACAGTTGAGACCTGAGCCAATTTTACTCGGTTATAGTCCGATGACCACCTGTTAATTGGAGCATTGCTCTATATTACTGAAGACCGTAACTGTTTCAAAGCAAAAGAAGTGTGATAAGTTAACTTACTTTTCCGCCGCACGCAATTTGTCATGTCCTTTAGAAAGTACAGCCATACTCCAATCAACACAACGCGCAAAACCTTCACGGAGCAGAAGTTCGGCGATGTTTCCTGCCTATTGGATAAATGTACCGAGTAAATACACATAATCATAATCATAATCATAAAAGTTTTTATTTGCAAACCCACCCCCCCAAATTACATTGTGTTTTACAAAAAAAAAAAAATCCCAGTCAAATTTGCAAAAAAATAAAAATGCACGTAAAATACATAAAATTTCTATCAAAACACGACCGACCTTTTTAACCACCCAGTACTCTCTTTTTGTATATAAGGGGATGCCGACTTTTAACAATTTTGGACCATGTTGTTTTCGTAACCACCTCCTGTAAGCGACCGCCCAAAAACCAAAATTATCCCACGCATGGTCGTAATCTGACCGCAACCACAACCACCTTTGCTCGCTATAAGTTTGCGTTGTTGTTAACCTCTCAGAGTATATAGACAACTACTACTGACAACGTGAACTATACATATCGTAACTTAGAAAATGTATGTTCTGAATTCCTTTCCAAAAAGCAGATCAGATGTGTCGAGACGTCTACTCAAAAAGACACCCAAAGGCTGAGTTCTCGTGAAAGACCACCTCCCATGAGCGACCACGGTTTACGGTCAAGTCGCCCGAAACCAGAGTTATGTCGCCTGAAATTCATCCCGCTTGTTTCGTCTCACCATAGCATCATTGCTTAAGGAACGAGACTTATTTACAAAATTATCCCGCTTGTTTTGTCTCATTATCGCTTAAAGAACGAGATATATTACATACACTCTTTATTAAAATTTCGGGCGCCATGGCTCTGGTTTCGAGCGATATAACTTCGGGCGAGATGACTTTCGGACGACTTGACCGGTCACTGCGACCACTACATGGTCACATTTTGGGTGGTCGATTAAGGAGGTTTGACAGTATTGCTTTACAGTTCAATGAAGCACCGTTCACTTTACACTGAGAGCAGTCTCAACTTTGCATGACACTAATCTGCCTAATACGCAAGCAAAAAGCACCAGCGCGATAGAGCGATTTTCGTATGACCTTGAAAAGTGGTTTCGGTGAGTGTTCATTATTTGTTTTATCAGCCAATGGATGAAAAGATCAAAATATGGACTTTTCGTTTTCCCGCCAAAGAAAACCCTAATATGGAGAGGGCATCCTTCGATTGGCCAATGGTGTTGCAGCATGACGTCAAAGCAAAGTGTCGACTGATTTCTAGAAAGTTCTCGGGCATGACAAGTTTTTTCACCCGAGCGTTCGCTAAACCAATCAAAAGCCACAAGCGTTTGTATCCGTTCGACAGACCAATCATATTGCTCTATTTCCGTTCGTTTGTTGTTTCTGTTTTGTTCGCGCGTTTTCATTTCAAGGTCATACGAAAATCGCTCTTTGCTTCGACACATCATCAGAAAAGAGACTTCTCGCATTCTGTGGTTTCAAGTGTAGGTTTTCGAGATGAAAATTTCCTTGTCAAGGAAAACTTGCTCAAGTAAATGGGAGTGCAGATCAGCATAAAATTTCTTTTCGTTAAGGGGCGGGGGCCGGGGATCTCTCGGCTACTTTCTAAGGAAAACGGAAGTAAAATAAAACCAAAAGAAACCCTTAGCTGTTTGATTCTTCGCCTACTTTTTGTATTTGCTCAGCATCTTAAAATCTTAGTGACAACCCTGCCTCTCATGCTTTATAAAACAGAGTGGTCACGAGCATTTTAATCGACAGATACTTGAACATTATTTCTCTACACTACTTTCACAGGTAATGTAAAATGACAACAAATTGGAATTAACTTTTGATATTAGGGTTTCAAGGGGATTTACACAAGGTATACTTGTAGAAGCGACGATAAAACATAAAAATACAATGACTTACTGGATGAATGATTGAGCCAAGGAAATTCTGATTAGATACACCTAAAAGAAGAACTTTATCATCAGCTGTGGTATGTATTGCAAATAATTTGTATCAAAATATGACAAGCAACTTACAGTACGTTAAATGGCTCATACAACCCTGGTCAGGTTTTAAGTCCATTCACGGCAAAGCATTTTCGTTTCACTGCATCAACGGCTGTAATAAGACTTGTTCAAGACGTTTTAAGGATATTTTCATTGAGTTGATTCTTTGTTCTACCTACTAGTGAAGCTTCTCTGTGAGAAGCCGAGTTGACGCCCCTTTACTGCCGGTTTGACTAGTCCGTTTGTTGAAAAAAAAACTTAACATGTACATGGTAAGTTAGCCTGAACTTTCAGTAATTTCAAATATGTGATACCTTCTAAAATTATCTTGACTTCTCTTTGTAATAGACGACTTTCTGTGAAAAATTTGGCCTGGAGAAGAAGATAAGAATTTAACTAGTTATCAGATACATTTAAGCAACAATGATTAAGAAGTAATTGTTTACAAAAAATAATGGACTCATCAGCTTAATGAATAATAATTTTTTACTTGTTCCCTTTTAAGTCAGGGCCACAAATAGCAAAATAATTTGTTCGACAATAAGCAAGGTACCTGTGGATTAACCCTTTTCATGAGAATTAAGGACATGATCACACAAGATTTGCTTGGAATTTTACCAACTTCTTCCTACTACTTCTGTAGGAAATGAATAGGGGCAACAATTGAGAATTTCAATTTTGATCCTAGGGTTTAAAGGGTTAAACAATAAACTTACAAAGCCAATACCATTGCATGTGACTAGACATACCTCATCGGCAAATGGTTCTGGGATTTCTTTGTCTCCTTCCCTTCTAAACATTGGACTCTAAAAAGTCAGACAAAAGGGATGAATTGATTGATAGAGATATGTTTTTGTTTCTAAAGGAGAGCACAGAGATACAGGGGTTTCAATAAGTACCAGTGACTGACGAAACACATCAGTCCTTTTGCTCAGAGAAGTTGGCTACTTTTGTCCCCGAAAGAAGCAACTAGTACAATGTCGCATGCAAAGGATTGTCAGGCAGGCCTTCACAGGGCTGCAAATAACAGTTGGTCATCAGACATGGCTAACCAAAATTTGCTAGTGTCTGTTTGGATATTATGTCTGGAGAGTTTCTTCTAACATAAATCATTTTGTGAAAGGTTTGAACCCAGGAGTCATTTCAAGAGTTGGTTGAGTTTGATCGTCCGGGTGAACATAGTCCTGAATAGGACTGTTGTTGTTGACAGTGACTGACGTTTCGACAACCTGTGCAGTAGTCATCTTCAGAGTCAAAGTGAGTTGTATCACGTCAGTTGATGGTATTACACTCTGGTTATTGATCTGATTGGTCAATTACGTCGCGATGTTATTGGTTATATTTTATGGTAAGGAAGAATACAAAATCTACCTCAATATAAAGTATATGAAGTTTAACATATGTCCTTTCAAGAGAAAAAAATATTTGCAGCCCTCATGCCTTCACATTGCAAACTGTGAACGTTAATGTTAACCACAAGAATAGCATGCTAGAGTACAAAAACTTATATACAATTACAATAGAATGTTGTAGGTAAAATCATTCTTTTCTTAAGTTAACCCAGGAGTAAAGCAACATGTAGTTTGAATCAGAAGGAATTTCTGGCTCAAAAAAACCTGAGAACAGATTTTACATCCTACAATAATACAGTACCAGAAGTTAATGAAAGCACCATACCTTGATTCCAGTGAACATAACTGTCACATGGTGGAATTCAGGTAATAAAAACGCTCTTACTGTACAGCCATCACGGACATGCTCAATAACAGCTGAAAAAAAATGCAGGCCATGATTTTCTACATATTTTCTACCTGAGGAGAGAGCAATAACTTAAGTCTGCTTGAAATAAGGAGCTGGTGTCTTGAATTAAACCAGAGAGCTACAGTCAGCCACATTTATTTTACAAAGGGAACCTACATGTAATTGATTAATTTGAGTAAACATGAGCACATTTCAGTTCTCTACCATTAAATTCCTTCCCATGGTTAGCATCCAGAAAATGTCTTGGATTCTCCAAATTCCAGATGATTTCTCTGATATGCTGTAAAAAACAAACAAAACAAAACAAATTAAAAACACAAAGAAAAATGTTTTCTTGTTCAGACACAATATACACGCAATGACGACTGTGTTTTTAACTATCAAGCAATTGGGATGTTAGACTAGCTGTTGACAGTCATCTATTTTTCTGTAAGATCCCTGAGATTGAGTGCTTTGAGTTACAGGTAGCTATATCTTAAATTCAAATGACTTGCACTGTGTCTGGCCTGGGGATGAGTATCAAATCTACTTTCCAAAGGGGGCAGGGTAAAAAATCCAAGGCCCTGCCCCCTCGGTACACTTGAAACCAAGATGGTCACCTGTGATGGAAAGCACTCGATCTTGACGATCTTACAGAAATATTTGGAAGTACGTATACAATAATTATTATTATTGTAGCATACAGTGTATACTAATTGTATTGGTCACAAGACCCAGAGGCACAAAAAGTTTCCAGAGCTTCATGGACATTATATTATAACCTGTGGACAATGTTTTCAAAAAACTGAGTGTCTCTTATTAGCCTTTCCATTCCCAAAAGAACTGTTCTCGATCATGAGGTTTTGTTTGAATCAAGATAGAGTGTTTATGGACTTAATGACAAAAATACTTCTGTGCATGACTTTTTTGATCACTAGCATGACGCTTTGGAATGCTGATTCCTCAAGTAAACTGAATACTTAAGGACAACGCTGAGTTGTCATGTATAGTATTGTATGAATAAACCTTTCACAGTGAAAAGGGCATGAAAACTTATCAAACTGAGTTTCTAAGGTCGAGGTAAAACATGAGGTAAAATGATGCACTTGAAGAACAATGTATTGTAGTCTCAGGTATTGCACTTGATGACTCCAGCACAATGTATGTAGTATTAATAAAAAGAACTCACATTTGAAGCATCAGCAGCCCACTTTCCTTTTGCCATTGTTTTTGCCATTTCCTCAAGGTCAATTAACTTTGTTTGGTCACTAAAAAAAAGGCAAAACATTAGTTCACAAGCTGCAGGGACAATCAACTTTGGTGATTTTGGGACCGATAACTGAGAGGGGGAAAATATACGGCTACCTGTATTAAAAAAACTACACCTACAAAAGTATATACATGTACGTGAAAAACCTATTCATTACTTACTCTGAGGGTTTGATGCCTCCACGTCTAACTTCGACAAGTCCTTCAGAAACTATGGATTCTGTTACATTTTCAAGTTCTTCACCTATAAAACAAACCCCTTCATTACATTGAGCATATACATGTACGTAGTATTGATGTCTGAGCAAAATAAAAGGTGAGGCTGAAATACAGTGTGTATTCATCTCCAAGTTTTCACCTCATTGTCCATTCTTTCAGACACGTAATCTTGGCAATATCATTAGATCAATTTGGTTAGTCAAATAGAGCTAACATGATGGCAACTGCAGCAGCTATCTTTAAATTTCACTAAAAAAAAGTGAACTGCACCATTTCAAACTTCATCTCAATTACTCCAACTAGTCGAATTTGTCAATGCAGGCAAATTTTCCAGGAGAACAATTCTTAAGAACCATACACAAGTTCATCCTGATTTTACCCTGAGTGCAGACAGCAATTAAATGTGATAGTTGTTTTGGGCATCAAAAAGTTGCTTCCTGTTTTTCTTTTGACATTCTTGCTACTATATGTTGCTATAAGTTATTTAAAGTTGCTTATGCTCCCTAGCTAGTAACCAAAGGAACCAATTCACCCCACCATAAAGTGTACCCCTAGAAAATCAACACAACAGAATAGCAAAGACCGGGTTATACCATCAATGACCAGACACAGCAGATAGCAGAAAGAAAGCCTAGAATCTGGAATAAAGCCCTGAGTGGATCTTGATGCAAAGTTTGATTTCCTTTGTTTCACCAGGAAAAGAGGAAATTTAAAAGGGAAAAAAGGGAATCAAGTACTTAATCGAAATTAAGTCACTTAATTATTTCTTAAGGGCTATTATATCCCCATTGCACTCAATAATTTAATTATTCTAGAAGTACGACTTTAAAAATGTAATTACAAATTATGGCAGTCCCATTAATAGTCCCTGTAGAAAACTATACTACCTTTTTGTAAATAGATGCAACCATATTCTCGTCCAGTTCCAGGAACTTTGTACTCTACCGAGAATAGTACCTCCTTTCCAATAAGTTTCTTTCTCAGAAACTCCCTGGCCTCCCATGCAAAAGGCTGTAAAGTAAATCAAAGTGATTTAATTTCTAAAAATGCAAGCATTTCTTTTTCTTTTTTTCGTCTGTATGTGCCAAAAGGGGGCCTGAACAAAAAAATAAAAGCCAAGAAACAAACCAAAAAAATTGTATATAGTAACTGTAAGGATCTGTCCTTCTGGTTTAGATATCCATATACAGTGTATTTGTTGAATAACATGAATATTTCCTCTTCTCATTCACTATTATATTCTACTTCATAGTCATCACCATTATCATCATCATTGATTTACTCAGACATGAAACGCTATTGGACTTCAGACTTACAGAAAATGGACCATTACAGGAATTTTCGAAAAATTCACTCTGGCAGCATTTAATCTAGTCTCCAAAATCAATATTAATGTGCAAGTGCCCAATGAAAGGTGCATGTCACCAGAAAAAATGACTGAGAATTTACATGTATATCTGCATGGCATTCATAGATCATGTACACCAACACTAACATATGCTGTTCCTAGAGAAATACAACATCAAAACACTCCCTACATAACAGTCATCCTGTAAAATGCTTGTTTAAACATTGTGTTTAAAAACAAAAAAGTAATAAGAGCCTGGGGAGCACTTTAATATTAGACTAACTTTTTGTTTCAAAGTTCAAGGTAGTTTTGCTGCTAGAGCATATCCGTCATTAAGGCAGCATAAGGATTTTTCTACATTGTATTCAGTGGTTCCACCACACCAAGAAAAAGCCATGCATCAGCAATTCCCCTGGACACCACGGTCACTAGACAGTCATCTGTTCGACTGATAGCCATTTTGGTTATGCAGTAATTTCTTTTCATGATTTTTTTTTCAAATGACAATGTGAGGTATTAACTTAAGTACACTTTTTTCAGCATGATACAGTATAACAAGCCATATTACAGAAAATTAATAAGAATTCACCAGTGACTTAGAGGCCACTTATTCTATCCTACATGTATACATATTACACAAATCTGAAACTCTGGCTGAGATTATTCAGATGCATGGGGCATTTTAATGGCTCCAAAATCAGTTGTCTTCCTGTTATCGTGCAGTACGTAATAACTTTTTTTTCTCTAAGGAAGCTAATAAAACGAAAGTTTGAATTTGCAAAACTTCCTCCAGTCTGTGGTCACAGTAATCAATCAAATTAAATTATAAATTTGCAATTACACTTAAACTATAAGTTCTTATTAAGCCCTGTAACAACGCAACAACGCAAAACAGCAAGTTGTACAGGCGACAAGACTAAAAAATTTTTCTTCAAGAGCGTGTTCAGTATCACCGCACGTGTAAATGCTGATGACCTTCAAAACAATAATAGCGATAGTTCCTCGTTCTTGCTTTTTCTTCCGAAAATCATTAAAGAGTATTTTACATTTACATATATTGGTAATATTACCACAAGTATTGCCTTATATTTTACTTGAGAAATGAGAAATAAATTTGATGTTTTTCCTGGTAGCAGTAAAAGACTGAGGCACGTAACCGAATGCTATTGGTCAAAATGGAGTGACTGAAGTCATTGAGAAGAAATGAACAAAACACGAATTTCGAAACCATCAAGAAATCACCAAATTATTCACTTCTCTGTACGTTATCGTGATCTAAAAGTTAAAGATTTTAGATTGTAAGAAGCCATTAAAAAGGACAAAAGCAAACCCAAGGCAAAAAAATTTCAAAGAATGTAGTACACTGTAATATGTAACCATACAAAACCTCGTCACGCGTCTCCACGCTGCCCTCTACATTAGGATTTGATCTTCGGGCGAGTTTTGGTGCGTTCACGTTGGACAAACAAAGTTGTCTCTCTGGTGGCGGGCCACCTCGGGGTTGGCCACGTATTATTACGCTATCTCCTGAAAGAACCTGTGTGAAAACAGAAATAGGATAGGTTTACACTCTTTATTGTATAAAGTTGACTTTGAATGCCGTGACCCGAGATTTTCCGATGTAAAACGTGGCATTCCAAAGCGAATTCACCACATCAAAAAGGTTTTACGAGACGAATAATAACGTATACGATTAGTATTACCTGTTTGACGATTCCGCGATTCATCTGTGGTGACTGAGCCATTATTTTCCTAGTAAAGAACCTAAACTCGCCACAATTCAAAAGTAAAAGGAAAGAACCTTTTTACGGGGGACTACTATATTTGGAGTTCACGTGACGTCAGAACATTCCCGGAAGTAGAACTTCCTCCGAAGATCCAGCGGAACTCTCCGATGACTAGCTTCGTGCTGTTATTTCAAAAAACTCTTCCAATAAACTGGAGAAGAAAAATATAATATATCTCTAAAGTATATAAATAAAAACGGGAAGTATAAAATATTGCTTACGTACAACGTCTTAACAACATTTGGACAAAACGAAGAAGGGCCGGAAATCCACCGGAAATATTGCATTCCTACTCTCTTGGGTAAGACAACTGACCAAAACATGAGAGCCGATCATCGCCGGCAACGGAAGTGAAATGGAGATGGCAATGTCGTTTGTAAGGTTCTTCGTATCTTTGATAATTATTTCAAATGCAGGACAACATATTGTTTCTTCTGATGGAGGCGATTTAGTACTATCAGACTTCTACAATGAAACAGCCATTAGTCGCATAGCATTTGGAAGTTGCAGGTAATTTTTGTTACATTATGGCGTCACCAAAATGATCCCTGATGTGCTTTTGCATACCGTGAGTAAACTTTGTTTCCCTCCCGTTATGGACGATAATTTATAAGATGCGTATCCTAAACAAAGATATTTAGGCTGAACATATACTTCAAAAGCGACGATATTGATTTTGTTTGAAACTTTGCAGCACGAAAATAAGTGTGTATGAGATGTTGTCTTATTTATTATATTAGCGACTGTAATAAATGGATTTTTTCAACATTAGCTTGAAATAAATAAAAAAACCTTATTAGCTTCTAACATATGGTCTACTTTTCCTCTTTAGTTTTCCTAAGAAACCCCAGCCACTGTGGGAACATATCTCTTTCCAACAACCAGATTTATGGGTTTGGCTAGGCGATGGTATGTCTTGAAATTTACTGTATCCAATTTTATGACAACAGGCTGGGTTGTTGATGTGAAAATATGCACGTGACAGAAAGCCCGTGGGGGATGAGGGAAGTACTCCTGGGGCTAAGATCAGGCTAAGATGATGGGGAAGTGCCAATAGGGTCAAAAGATCCCTTGAGTTTCTCTTGAGTTTGAAGTAAAGTTTTCTCACCCAGTCCCCAACTCCCTCAACTGAAATGACATTCCCAAAAATGTCATGCTGAATTTTTGAACTTTTTTTGAAGAAAATAATCTGCCCAGCAGGGTACTGATGTCATAGCTGGAAACGTTTTATTAACAATTTACACATTTCTTAAGGATGTTACTTGAGAACATACGTACATACTTTATTGAAAGGTCAATAGTAGGCAATATTATTTCTACATTAAGTTGGGGTAGAATGCGTGACTGACGGGTAGTTTATTTTATAGTTGCCATTCTATGTACAGTCAACTCCCGTTATAGCGGACACCCTCGGGACCGCGATTTGGTGTCCGTAATAGCGAGAGTCCGTAATAGCGGGGTTTCCTACTGTACTGAAGTACAGTAAACTACATCTCTAAAAAAAATATTTTCAAGGAAAAAATTATTTTCAAGGAAAAACCTGAACATCAGCTATTGATTGCATCAGCTAACCACAAGGCAACAGCAGGAATCTGTGGAAAACGGATCAATCGAGGATCTGTCTTGGGACTGGAACTTCCCGTTATTTATAAGATAACGGCGGAAGGATACACTTGGACAGACTAGACGAACTTATTCATGGCAGCGAGACTGCAAAGAGGGCCTTACAAGAGAAAAAGATGAGGGAATTTTGACTGATGGACAGAAGAAGCGGAAGTCGACCAAAAAAGACAAAGACAGTCTCAAAAAGCAGAAAAAATACACTTGATATGTGTGCAAATTTTCCAAGATGCTGCTCGGTGTCCGCTATAACGAGAGAGAAAACAATAAAATTGTGACGTTGGGACCGAATAAAGTGTTCGTAAGTCCGTAGTAGCGAGAGTCCGTAATAGCGGGAGTTGATTTCAGTCAAACGTCTGTAACTTTCGCCGGGGATTTTGCTGCTGTCCGTAATAGTGAGGTGTCCGCAAGGCGGGAGTTGACTGTATGTAATTAGGTTTTTGCACTATTCCATTTATAGCCTTACCTTTCCCTTGACGGAGTTCACAAATTCAGCGACTCGTAGCTCCTTGACTGTTATTTAAGTGTCCTGACATTCTAATAACACACGTCTGATACATGTATAACTTGAGCAATTCATTATTTTTGTCTAACCTGAAAATCCTTCCAGTGAGAATATTCATAATGGTTTTGTTAACTTGTCAAAGCTTTGATCTTGGCCCAAGAAATATGCTTTGCTAATCAGGGCTGAGAGAGCTTCCAGTTTCTTGCTTACAATACATTGTGCTTCTAAGAAAGATTATCTTTGTAACACAAGGCATAACACAGTATAATATATGCAATATAATTTCACTTGGATTGACTTTTTCTTCTGATAAATGGATGCTATGAATAATGATTATTAGTACTTTGTCATTAATGCATAAAGAGCATTATCTCTGACTAATGTTCTCATGACTTCACTTTAAATGTATAACATTGATGTACAATATGTATACTTATATCTAATTTCTCTTTGTAGCTGTTTATGCTGACACCAAAATATTGCCCCTTGTGTGGACTCCATCACCTCTTGGTGAAATGGTAGACAAGTTTAACGCCTTAAAGTATTCTTTGGCATATCAGGTTTGATTTTCTGTCAGATCTTTTTCCAGTAAAAGTAAACTATGTGAACACCTTAAATTCATGTTATGAGTTAGGAAAAAAGTAAAAAAAAAGTTCCTTTCCTTTCACTTCTTCAAGTTGTTTACCAATAGTAATAACCATATTTTTACCAATTTTGATTTTACTGTATCTTCGTTCTAGCTCTTTCTCCATTTGTCTAATTTGATATCTAGCATTAATTGAGGATAAGAAGCCTTATGATTTCTTTAGGCTTTCAAGATTCCTTTGCTCAGTAATTTATGCATTTTTTACTTCTGTATACAATTCGGCATTTCATGGCAAATGAAGAAAAAAATTACCATACATTTTAAGCATCCAAGTGACTGCTCTGCTTCTGTCAAATGACTGGCCACTCCAGATTATTAGGAAAATTATGTTTACTTAGCAGAACTCTGATTTTTCCTCCATACAGTACTTGATCTTCATTGACAAGTCTAATTTCTTACAAATTTTTTTATAGCCAATTATGAAATTAATATGAATCTTTGATGTATAACAGACATAATCAACCCAGTGTATAGCCTCCCACGCAGACGTTCTTAGGGTTTTGTCAAGCGTTCCTGCCCCACGAACGTTCGTGGGGCAGGAACATGTGATGAACCCCTAAGAATGTCTGCGTGGGAGAGGCTACCCAGTGCACAACCTCACCATCAACTGGCTGATAAAGATAGACAGGAGTGGAGTCAAAGGTCTTTTTTTTAATTTAGTGGACTTTAATTTAAGGATTGCATTTAGTTTCTTACTTTTGTTTTTTTTTGCATTAGAAATTCCTCAAAAGTGGAGTTCAGGTCTTAGGTGTATGGGATGACCATGATTATGGAAGTAATGATGGGGGGAAGGTATGATTGTTTTTCCATTTAAAGAAAATCAGATTATGGGACCAGATCGGGACTTTGTTTTCCAAGTCAATAAAACATGATAAAAAAAAAGAGAGAAGACCGAGGAAAGACATTTTATTGAAAACTTATAAAAGAGAGATGTTAAAATGGTAAAAATGTTTAAGAAGGACTCCAGAGGCCATTATAAACCTTTAAACTCATCGCCAATTGATGAGCTTGGGAACTGGTGCCTTAAAAGTTAGCGGGGAAGGGCCCTAGGTAATTCAGGCACCACGGGGAGGTCTCCATGGCAACCCGGCAAGCGGGAACCACCCCAAAAGCAGCCGCTAACAGGCACCGTCACACTGAAACTAGTCCAGTGGAAATACTTACCTAACCCGATACTTAGCTCTGAAATCCAGAAGCCCTCTGGGAAGGGAGGGTGGGGCTAATGAATCCGCAAAGATTCGCTCACAAAAGCATTGATCGCAACGATCGCAAGCAAGCAAGGCTGCACGTAGTTTGCCCCTGCGAACTCCAAAGGGGCGCCCCCACGGATCATGTGCAAACTGGGCGAGACTGCTGGCAGCATTAGCTCGAGATTAACCTTGCCTAAATTACATTTAGCCACATTTAATATCTTTTCTATCTAGCAGACTGCCTGATCACTTATTTTCAGTAGCCTATGTCTAAGGTATTTTTAACTCATATGTAGTGTCAATATGCCAATTTATTATTATTAGCAGCAAAGAAAAGGAAAATCTTTATTGGAGTAAATAAACGGATGAACAAAATGGCAAAACTGCGAAAAAAATTTATGATCTTGAAGTTTACTGTATAATTAAGAAGGTTTTAGGAAATTTGCAAAATTTTGCCTCATCCACCCCCACCCCCACCCCCCTCCCTTCAAAAAAGGAAGAGTTCATGCTTTGTTTAATTAAGTGTACGTGGTCACTGAAGGCTTAAGCAATGGGTTTGATATGTTTTCTTTACAATTGCAGCATTATAAAGATCGTCTTCAGGCTCAAGGAATTTACTTAGATTTCTTAGATGAACCAATGGAAAGCTTGCGAAGGAAACGCGAAGGTGCTTATGCCTCGTACATCTATGGTCATGGCAATAAGAAAGTCAAGGTAATTCTTGCGTTCTTCAGTATTGTTTGTTAGTAAGGTGTTCCAGACAATGATTATACATAAGACCGTTCAAGGCTGGAATTGTGGCAAAAGACAGAACTTTCGTAAATTATTTTTTTATTGCAGATGTGATGTAAAGAGGGGCTGTCTTTGCATCGTGAGTTATGGGCCAGGAATCACTTTTTCTATTGTCTGTTTGCTTGTTTCTTGTTCACTTTTACTATCCATCGAATCACCATCGAATACCTACGGAATACTTTTTACTGGTTTTCAGAGGGCCTGCGGCCGTTACCACTTTCTAAAGGCCTCTTAAGCGTCATTCCCGTGACTCCCCAAGAGGGTTTGGAAGGAAGGCTACCCGAATTGAAAAATACTGCTTTAAAGTTTCCGTTAAACTCACTATAGCTAGAGGTATCGTACTAGCGAAAAAAATTTTTAGATATTTAAATCTGCTGGTTAACAGAATGAGTAATCTTGTCACATTGCCGCTGGCATTTCCCTTTTAAAAATCCCCAAGTTTGTAAGCGTTTTCCTATAGGAATGAGGCCTACTGAGAGGGAAACTAAGCAAAAAAAAAAAAAAAAAAAAAAACGGGCAGAAAAGTAAGTGCATACCATAACTAGAAAAGCTATATTTTTACACCAGGAATGAAAGCAAGCCTGCGTAGTTAAGATTCGGATAGTCATAGTTTTTTTTTCTATGTGCTAAATGACGACTCGTGATACGAAAACTACTTAAGTACTATAGCTTCAAAGAGCGTTTTTAGGTGACAAGTCCAGAGGCGAAAGCGTAATACATTTCTACAGTGCCAGTGGAACGTCGATATATTAAAACGAAGGACCATGGGACTGGCAAAATATTTTCGCTATAACGAGGTTTCGTCATAGCGGAGTTCTTAGCGCGTAGGGGAGCACCATGGGTACAAAAAAATTGGACAAAATCGTCCGTACGTACGACCGTACGTACGTACTTACGTTTACGCCTGCATGTAAGCCGGGGTGAAATTTCTCATTTCAAGCACCCGCGCGTTTCGGCGGTAAATCGCATGGCCACCTCGACTTTTAGAGAGAAAGAAACAACAACCACAAAGCCGAGTCTTTCTTTTGACTTAAAATTTTAATGTCTACATTGACGTGCATAACAGAGAAAGAGCTAGAGCTAGAGATAAAACACAAAGGACACCAATTTCGTTGGAAGAGAACATGAAAATTTTATAGCGGCGGTGAGAAAATCAGAAATGCCAGCGGCCACTGACCAAGGTCAAAATGAGCTGCAGTGAAAAAAATGCGAACAGGAACATTTTCTCCATAAAACTTCTAACTAGGAAGTTTCTGGGAGTTTCACGTTGTAGTCAAGCAAAACAACGTCAAAGAAATGTACAAACAAGTGTGCTGCACGTACAAAGTTGTGTCTTTGCTGATTAGACTGATAGATTTTTTGCTCTCGCCGTTTACTATTACACGATTTTATATTTTGTTTGAGAAACTATAAATGTTTACGAGAGCTTCGCTTTTAGCCCTGGCTAAATTTATATGTTGTGGTTAATTTTTTGATTGAGGTAATTTTTGTTTTTCTTTTGTTTCAACTTCATTAGCATACATTACCATACCCAACAACAAAATAATTGGACAAAAATTACCTGAGATAAAAAATTAACTACAACATAATTATATATTATCGAATATCGAGGTTCTGGGGTAAGAAAAAATGTTCGTTATTCTGAGGACTTTGTCATACATAGACTCGTTATATCGAGGTTCCACTATACCTGGAAAACCCCTTCCTTGTCCCTCAGAATTTCCATTAGCCTAATCTACCGCCGGAGATTGTAAGATAATTACCGAAACCAATATAAACCCACCACAGTGACTGTTGCATTATTTTTCCTTTAGATAATCCTACTGGACACCCGATCACATCTCAGGTGGGGATCAAATTGTGACATCCTTGGACGAGACCAGTGGGAGTGGCTTGAAAAACAACTGAGTGAATCCAACACAGCTCAATTGACAATTATTGGGAGTGGAATACAGGTGTGAATTCTCCCTTGTAAGTGGGCTCTACTACTCCCTATAAAACTACCAGACACTTGCTGGTGGTTTGGGCCCAAGATTTATTGTCAGAGCTAGGACAGAAGATGAGAAGAGTAGCCTGTAGAGTAGCCTGTAAGCAAGCTCTCCATTTATGGCGAAATGGTGCTAAGAAAGTCAGTTTTAGGGCTTGCCATTCGGACAAGCTTTAGCTAGCATGTACTACCCCCAAAAGTAATTTGAACAAGCCGCGAAGAGAGCCGCGAGAGAACGCGCCCTCGCACTCGCTCCTTCTTTCGCGTGCTCTTCACGCGTGACCGCCCAAATGGAGAAATCTCGTTCTCTTTTTTGACGCCAATTTTTTCCCCAGGGGCTTTCTCTCGGTCAAGCCCAACTGGTTTCAAATTGAAACTCAGTCAGGAGCCCATCATTATATCACATTCATGAATGACTAAGCAGTGAAATCACTTACCCCTCCCCTGTTCTGTCGCGCGCACTTCTAATCTGTTGCGGGCGATCAGAGGATTCCGCAATCCTAATCTCCAGGTTGCTTTAACGCGTGCGCGGGACGTTTGTAAATTCACCATTATAAAAACGAGAAAGAAACTGGGCCGAGTTAGGTTTTGCAAAGACTTCTGGGATCGTTTCTGTGGACGCGCCGGTCAGCTATTGGCCATTTTTTTTGCCCTGTCCCCAGTAACATCCCAGAAGTCCTTGTACAAGATAACTCGGGACAGTTTCAGTCTCGTTTCTAAAAAAGCCAGGCCAGGATTGTTCAAACGTTGGATAGCGCTATCCACCGGATAAATAACCTTCCAGCGGATAAGTGTGAGGGAAACAAAATTGCGCTGTCCACTGGATAGTGATTTATCCAGTGGATAGCGCTATCCATCTTTCAAAAAACTGGGCCCAGGAGTATACGTTTGGACTTCCACCAAAAATGAATCGAATACACAGAACGCAATCTGATCTTGTGTGTTTGGACCTTCCGTCACTCGTAATCTGATTGCAAGTATTTTGACCTTCTAGAGCGGTTTTTACTTGACTGTCGTAAAACCAAAACCAAAGTAAATACACTAGCCAACCAAAGGGCGTAGTAAAACCAAAACCAAAACCAAAACCAATCCCTTTCGACAGTCAAGTGAAAACTGCTCTATCACGTGAAACCTACGCAAAGCACAGCGTTTAAGCAAGTGCGTTTTGACCTTCGATCAATATTACCGGTGCTCCCTAACCTTTCCTTTACTAGTTATTACCTAGTTATTACCTCTAGAAAATAATTCTATCCATTATGGACACATGTAAGTGTTTTACCCTAGGTGTTGTCAGACATGTCCTTCACTGACAAGTGGATCAGTTGTCCGTCAAGCTACGACCGTTTGATGTGGCTCGTACAAAAAAATTCCAGAGTGAGTAAAATTTGAATCTTTAGCTTGAAGGCAGGATGGCATTGAGAGAAAGGTCCTTCGAGCGTTTAATTCTGTGATAACAAAGCTACTTCTTTCTTGTAGGTTATTTTCATAAGTGGTGATGTTCACTTTGGAGAATTCGCTTGCTTAAATAACACCAGTACAGGTTGGTCAGGCATTTGTAAGTAAAGTAAGTAAAACAGCAAAACGTGCGTGATGCAGGGTCTGGAAGGGTATTGCCGGGATTCGGGAAAAGTTACTGGGATACAGGATTTGATAGCCTGCGAGCAAGCTCTCCGGTCCGGAGAGCTCTGGTGGCACGTCTCTGGAATTTGAATATCTGCACAAAAAAAGTCGATTCGAAATGCTGATTGGCGGAGATGACATTAGTAATGACGTCCTTGCCCTGGGAACGGGTTTTCAATGTTTGTTTACATTCGCACTTGTTTCCGCTTCGCGTTGATTGGCGGAAATCTGACAGCTCAGTCGACGGGGAGCCACAGGGGAATTGGAGGCGGAATTCAAATTCCAGAGACGTAGTTGCAAGCTCTCCTTTCTTGTCCCGCCCCGCCGTCAGAGCGCCCCAGAGAACTTGCTCGCAGGCTAGGGATTTGACTGCTACCCGAGAAGCGGGATTCGCCAAAATCAGGGAAGGATACGGGATGATTGGGAGGATAGCGATGACAGAAGTTTTTTGTGAAAAAGAGAGGAAATGTGGAATCAGCCCCCGCCCCACTAATAATAAGGTTCGTCTAACGACAGCCACTTTGATACTTAGCCTCAATACGAGCAGTCTCTTCCTTCCCTTATATTGTTTAAAAGACAGAAAGAGCCAAACCAAGTGAGCTACGAGTCGCGAAGCCGCGAGACGCCAAAATCGTTCTCGGCCTGTCTCTCACGCCATTCAGCAGGCTACGAATATCGCAGCAGCGGTTGGCGGGGGGGGGGGAGACGGTTATTGGTAGACTAGCGATCAAGTTTTGGTTTGGTGAAAAGGTAAACATCAGGGAAACTGGAAAAAAAAAAGAAGGAAAAACTGAGACAGAAAAAAGGCCCATCCGCACAAGACAATTAACACCAGTTAATCTTAGCTTGGTATTGATGATCTGTGGTTTTCTACATCATGGTGATGTACCAATGTCACTTCCTACACCATCAAAATCTCTTTGAAGAACTTTCTTTTTCTCAACCGTTTTGACTCTTAACAGGATATCCTGTATATGAAGTAACCTCTAGTGGCTTAACAGTCACTTGTGTAACATGGATTTCAACTGATATGTGTCGCTGGCTTCTAACGTAAGTACATAAAGTCGGTATACGCAATCATAAGACTTGAACAGTATTTAAAGCACGATAGCTTATAGTCAATAATACAGATTATTCTTAACCGCTGAAAAAAGAAAAAGGAAAAGCAACTGATCCATAAGCAAAACTTAAAATCTGTTTTGTTCACCGACTTTGAGTCCGTTTTGATAGTGTGTAACGAATTTTTGTTGATTTTAGCAACCTTGAAGGTTATTTCCTACACATACACAGGGCCTTTGTATTACTAGACAAGACTAGTACAATGAGGTCCTGTTTTTGACTGAGATTTTCATTAAACCTGTGAGTCACGCGATAAGGAAACGTTTAGAATTTCATTCACTCTGTGAGTGAAAAAGGTGTGTTTTGAACCGCTTTGGCAAGTGTTTTTTGAACCAACAGACCGCTGAATAGATATAAAATATTTGTGTGACTAACAAAATTCATGACCTGTGCGGAACCTGCACGAGAACTGTCTATCCTACTTTAATAAATTCAGGTATCTCAAGGTAAGCGTTGGTGGTATAGTGGTGAGCATAGCTGCCTTCCAAGCAGTTGACCCGGGTTCGATTCCCGGCCAACGCACACTTTTTTTTCTATTTTGTTATTTTTCTTTCCGTTATGTTTCTTTAAAAGGAAAAAAGATTCACTCAACGATATTTCCTATGCGTACGGTTAAATTTTAATTGCTTTTAGACTAAAAAACGTACGAAGCGCAAGGGCGGATCCAGGATTTTTTTTAGGAGGGGGTGCACTCGTCTCTTGCTCTACTTCAACACCAATAAACCACATAGGTTTTTTTTTTGGCAGAATACCAGTTGTATCAGAAAACCGCAGGTCATCTCAGGGGGGGTGCGCACCCCCTGCACCCTCCCCCTAGATCCGCCCCTGAAGCAGACCAAATTCTGTTTAGTTGTGAATGACTTGAATCAGATTTTTTAGTACATTATAATTAATACCTTTGCGGAGAAAGAATTTTATGGTCCATAGATGAAGATATTACAATGTGTTGCTTACCCACTGGCAACTGAGGAAGGCTTGAAATCGAAAAAATTATTCCACAGGAACTAGTAGGTCAATTGAAATATGTTCACAGACCCTCTATTTTCTCTTCAAAGTCCGTCGAGCTCGCGTGATAAAAAATAAACCGCGGTTTTCCAAAAGAATGAAAAGAAAACTAAAACAACGTCTGTGTACAGGCTATATCAAAGATTGCTAACATTGCTTCCAAAACACTGCGTTTCTAATCATTTAACTTAACCGTTTTATAAGCTACCATATCGCAACAGCCAGGATTTTTCGATTTTGTATGGTCCAGTTTTCGCGACTGCTTGCAAGTGTGGAGCGCTTCTTTTAGTTTAGAGCGGTTTATTCCCTTTAAAGATGAAGCATTAGAGCTGGGGCTGAGATCAGACCAACAAGATTTTAAAACATCGTTATGAGGGTATCTCCTGTTTCCAGCCAGTACACCCGATATCCGTCTTTTGTCGCCGAACTGAGATCAACCATGACCACTCGACGTTCTCTATCATTCCGTAACATTCGAACTTCCAACTTCACGGCACCTGAGGGAAATTTACAATTCGCTATATGAAATCAATGATTAGCCTGAATTTCATCCGATTACTTCTAGTCGTTATTATTCCCTCAGTAACTGCTAAGAGGAGAAAACGAATCCAAGCGATCGGATGAAATTCAGGCTAATCAATGATCGTCTCGGGATCTGATTTCCTAAAAGGAATTTTAAAGTAAGTTTTCATAAGTTGCCAATCGGAAAAACGCAGTAAGTCAATAGCTAAGCTCTCAAAGCAAAGGGGAGGGGATGAGGGCGAGAAAGAGAATTCTTCAGCCCTCGAGTTGAGAGCTTTCTGCGGCACTCGTCACTCTTTATAGTCTAACCTCTCTAACCTTTCTTTTTATCATTATTTTGACGATAGGAATATGGGTCATTCGTCGAAACGTCTTCAACCAATCATCACAGAAATTAACTATGGGTTAATAACAATTCACTGGGACACACAACCGGTATGTAATGATTCTGGGTAGTTTTTATTGTGGCTTCGAAAGTAATCGCCACGCTTAGTATCTGATCTGTTAAACTTCTCGCGCTACTTCATCGGACAATCGAGGCTAAACCAAAATTAGTAAAATCCAACCAGTGGTCTATTATCAATGCTGTGTTCTGATTGGTTGAGCTACTACTAGGCTATTAGCCTGCGAGCAAGCTCTCCTATTTGGGCAAGCGAAGTGAGCCTCGCGGCTTCGCCGCTCGCTCGAGCGTTCTCGAGAGACTCGCTTCATTCGCCCAAATAGGAGAGCTTTCTCGCAGGCTACTAGGCTATATGTTATAGCCCACTAGTAGTGAAAAGCGCAGGCTTTTTGGCGGCAAAAAACGATTAAAGTCTAGCTTTAACTAGCTAAAGTTGTTTTGTCTCGATATTTTTGACCAACTAGTTGGATTTTACTAAAACAATTATTCCTCTCGTGAGCCCATTCGGGCTCGAGGAATAATTGTTAAGTAACTTCCCTCTCTACGCGGTGTTTTCCCGCCTATAGCTAGCGCTTGCCACATTCACTTGCTTCGAGTTTTGATTGCATGGTTCATTTGCTCGCTGTCATTGTTACTCAACAAACAGATGACAATTTTCCACGGTCGACACTCCTGGGAATTTTCTTGGAAAATCGAAAAAAAAGAAAAAAAAACTATTGCGCCATACATCACTGGACATGTTCATGAGTGGCTCGACCCAGTATTTTTGTAGGTGCAACTTCCATCTTTGAATCTCTTAGCGTTAAACAATTTTATCTTTTTAGGTAAAACCATTATAACACACAATTATAACACCTGTATTACACTAAACTTTATTATGATATTAGTGTTTCGGCGATCGGAATATATATCACGTGACAATGACGTCACAATAGTTTTAGCTCTAAATCGAATTGCAGACCTTATCGACATTTTCTTTAGAAATGCTTGTCACTACCTATATATACTTTGGGTGCTTGTCTTCTGTAGTGCGAAGTTTCACAAAAATATAAAAATCTATAAGAGAAATTTCCACCTATCATGGAATTTCTACAAAAAGGCATAAATTGTGCATGAACTGAAGGATGGACTTAAGGCAGACAAATTTGCAATTTTTTCGTTGTTTCCGCAAAGTTTTTATCACTCATTCGTTCTGTAAATGACCTTTATACTCTCTACAACGGGCTAAACGCAAGTAGACTTGCGCGATTTCGAAAATCACGAAAACATGTGAATCAGGGTAAAACGCAATGCTGAGTCTTTTTGTAATTTCGGAGGCTACTTTCACGAAAACAGCGATTAAAACAAAATTCGTCGATAGATTTCGTTATAAAACTTCATTGCTGCAGTTGATCAATGTACTGTAAAATCCCCGAATTTCGTATCCACCACCATACAAACGTCTGTATTGTACAGCAATATCTCCGCTCATTATGGAAGTATCACCTTTACAGGGGCACCCAACGGCAATTTTCGGGAAAATATCTGTTCGGAAAACGATTTGAGATCTAGAATTTTCGGAGCATTTGTTGTAAAATTTCTTGCTTGCCTGCCTCTCCTAGGATTTTCGAACATCTACAAAATGGTATAATTACTCATTTTTAACGGATTTTGACCCTAAAAAAAAACACCTAGAATTTTCGGGAGCCTTTTCCTGGCTGAAATTTTCGAGAAGGTAAGTTTTTATCCCTATAATTTTCGGATCACTAGATTTTCAGCTAGGAAATCCGAACAGATAAAAAGGTTTTAGGGGATAAAAATATTCCTATATCTACCGTTTGAATACTAAAATACGTTCAACAATGCTATGTTAAGTGGTTTTGAACTATATCCTCGTTGGGTGCCCCTGCCTTTAAATTTGGAAAGTTAACTAATCTCAAGGCCGGCGCTCTCTTTCCAGCAGTGTCGATGGGTATTCGTTTACTTGTCTTTATAGAAACTTGAAAAAAAAAAAGAAAGAAAAAACCATGGACGAGGCTACTCTGATCCGCTAGAGGATCGCTAGGCTGAGATATTTTTACCTACCACAAGCTTGTCAAAACAATACTAAAAACGCCGTTGTTGATCTCTTTGGGTTTAATGTTTTCTCACGTAGGTTAGCGTTACGGTAGAGGTACGAGGGGAGGCCGGAAGTTATCTCAAGCAAACTCTATCATTAGATCAGTTAGAAAAAGTAAGTATGCCCCAGATTTCTTTTTCTTTGCGCTTAGTGTAACAACAGGCCATTTTCAAGAAAGTTCAAGAACTCTCACTTAAAAAATGAGGCTCAGTGCAAAACCTTTCTTGTGAAAATGAGCTTCATTTTCTTACCAATGGCACTTAGCCTCGTTTTGAGACAGAGGCTTGCACCAGTCGGAAATGGCCAATGGGCGTTTGATATTTTGAAATATTGAAGCAGCAGAAAAAGCTTCAAACTAAGCTTAACGTTTGCATAGGCAACTGTACCCATTACCTATTTACTGTCAAGATCTGATTAGTATTCTATGCACCTTTGTTATTTTTTAGACCAGGAATCTTAACAGATGTCCACAAAAAATAGAAGAGCCCCCAGTGGTCAAGAAAGTAACTTTCTACACTGGAGTCTTTCTACTTTTGTCGATTGTATTTATAGCACTTTTGAGGTAAGCGTTTTTCCCAATCCTTATTTATGGCGTTATTTTTTAAAACACTCTACAGTTGCAGGTTTTTCTCTGGGCAAGCTAAGGTTGGAGCCAGTAAAACTATGCTTGTTCAGTTTTTCCAGCAAAGTTGAGACGTCGGCTTAGTCAAGATCAAACTGTTTCAGAAAGAAAGCATCGGCTGTCAACAAATGTTGCAGGAGCCTGTTGAAACAATGTTGTTATTGTTTGACTGGTGGTAATGTTTATCAAAAACATATTGCCTTTTTTCCTGCACACAAAAGCCTATAGTATGTCTCTACCCTCCAATCAATGATTGTAGAGTCTTTTATAACAATTGCAATCCACCCGTACGATTTTATATCGGCGTTTTCCATCTCAATTTGTTCTTTGGTCTCTTTACAGGTTATTGGTCTTCATCGCCAAAATAGTTTTTAAAATTGTGCTGTGTTTGCTGGGAATAACTGTTAAAAATGCTACAAGTGGCTCGGAGTACGTTAATTACAAGAACAAGATTATCAAAAGAGAGTAACTTAAAACAGTTGAACCCCTATTATACGAAGATAATTTGCAATTATTGGAACACGTTTTTGTAGTAAGAATTATAAAGGTGTGGGGAAAAATGAATTTTGGATAACATCATCACTGCATGGCGTTTCATAAATAAACAATGCGCAGAGCATGACGGAAGTGACAAAGGATCTTTTAGATAAACCGCTTTATTAAAGACCTGATGTAAACTTTGCAAAGACTTGACTCTGAACACGCACGGGTTTTGAACCTCGGATTTTTAAGGGTAAAAGTCTACAACTTCTTCTGCTTAAATTTAGGCGAAAAAGCTGTCAATGCGTAGGGGAGATGTGCATCTTCGATAATCCGTTGTTTTATACGTAGTTTGTCGCTTATTTGGACAAGAAAAATCCAAACGGAATCTTAATGCGCTCTTAACCCATACTAGAAAAACCGAAAAAACAGAATTTTGAAAGCAAAAAGTCTACAAGTTATTCTCGTTGAATTTTCCTGGTTATTACGTAACGTTGAAGATTAGCCCTTTAACTACAAAAAGCCGCTGTTTTATCCTAAAACAAGTAGACTATAAGTATTTAAAATAACGATTTTACTTAGTGATCTACGCAAAAATTCCTCCCTTTTCTCTCTTATTGTGGCGCTTTTGTGCGGCGTTCATGCTTGAATAGCCCGCCGCGGTAGCTCATTATTATGTGTAAATGTCAAGCCATTCTGCCCGATGACACAAGCATGGCGCTTTCATTTACCATAAAAACCATCTAGATGCAAGTTAAGTTACTAATAAGCATAAGGATTAAGAATCTGATGTTTCCTTTTCTTTCGATTGTGCTGATGTTTGTTTCCTACTTGACACGTGACCCTCACCCCTGCGCGTACCTAACCGTTGCCTGCGTGCAGACGTCTCCTATTTCGTTTTGAGACGTCCGCACGCAGGCAAACCTAACCGTGCGTCTAAACGGCTCGTTCAAAGCATGGCTTGTATCGGACGAAGCAGGTTTCTGTCATCTCGTCGTATAAGCTGCAAAATCGACTCAGTTACATTTGCGGCTACATAACGTACGTTTTGCGTGTTACAGATTGAAGCAGCTGGCTACAATCGGCCCTTGTTCGTCAAACAGCTAAGAGAATGAACTGTCTTTAACATATTTATTAACAATCGGCTTGAAGAATTATCTTCATCACTATAAAATTTGTATTATTTTTGCGGTATTTATAAATTCCATTGTTATATAGAATTCTTTTTAATTTAGTCTTGAAGAATTATCTTCATCACTATAAAATTTGTATTATTTTTGTGGTATTTATAAATTCCATTGTTATATAGAATTCTTTTTAATTTAGTCTTAAGGGCATTCATTTAATATATGTTTTACTGATGTCACCAATTTGTAATGGCTAATAAAACTGTTGCTTAACGTTAAATGTCAATGCAGCGAGTTGTTTAATGCATTGGGGGTAATGTCTTTAGGGTAACTCTACGGTACGCCAGATGGGTATTTAGAGACTGAAGAAATTCCTTGAACGACCAACGGAAGAAATTACTTACGGACCATAAATAAACTTCTGTGGACTTCTATCCAAAAAAATAGCGAGGTTTTGTGATATTAGTATCAGCCTATCTATAATTTTTAACTTAACCTCGTGCTTGGACAACGATAGCTGGGGGACCAAGTACTGAGATCTGAGGACCGCCACGAGAATGCCAGGCTGAGCTAGCTTCCTGGTCAACGAGAACAACTGATAACTCGTTATCAGAAGTACGGAGCTTGCGACACTACAAGGGAAGCAGCCACGACGACGAAGAGAAAAGTAGTCTTATAGATCTGGTAAAGCCATTGAAAATTAAACATAATTTTCAACAAAGATAAGACGAAAAATTTTTCCATGCCAAGTGTTCGCTACCTGAAGCGGTGGAAGATAAGGGCGCTTGACAAAATCCTGTATTGTTCATTTTTTAGTTCAACTTTGCATCTTTGCCATTCGAATGATCCCAAATATGATGAATTCATTAATTATTACCGGCAACACATTTTCTTATCCCGCTGTTTTTTTCTATCTGTGGTATTTGAGTTGCCGAGTCCCTCTACGGCGTTTTCACAGTCCCTCTCGGTCAATCCTAGGGATCAGGTAAGTATTTGAGTTGAGTTGCCGCGGACTTATGACTGATTCGGCTCTGGTACCTCTTTTTTTTTTTTTTTTTTTTTTTTTTTTTTTTTTCGATTCCATATTTCAGATATTTCAACATTTAAACAACGAAATTAATAAATAACAATCTCTTTCCCTATTCAGTGGACTGGCACTAAAATTGAGTCTGCCATAGACATATGCGCTCTTTATGAGAAATCAAAGGATTCGACCGAAGAAAGAACTGAACCAACTAGTGTTATAAAGTATCCGTTTTATTATGCAAGTGTCTGTTAAGAGCAGTGATTTTAAAGAATCAAAACTGTTTATAATCACTTGCTATTTACAACTGGCATGAAGCGGTCCTGGCAATTTCGCTTGGCTTTTAAAGGAACGGTATAGTTTACTTGTCGGGTTTAAAATTAAACTCAGATTCCATTTTATTAAAAACAAACAATTAATATTCCAAGGTAAACACAGATGGGTTTGATTTACTTATAACAACCGATAATGACAAAACACTCATATTTTATTTTGTTAATTTTTCACCTGTCTTATGGACGTTTTATTTCATATAAGGTTAGATGAGAGTGGTAAAAATGTCTCGTAGGTGGTCAAACGTTTAAATGGAAGGATGATTCAGAAACTGACGACACGTATCTTTAAAACAAGTGCGACCTACCAGTATTGCTTTGGCATAAAAACAACTTATTAAATCAATATTCAGCTGTATAAACTCGATGAATTAACGGACCGGTCAATAAATAAACAGAATATCTTAGCTGAATCTAATATATCAGAAATGCTGAACCGTGTAAAGAGCAACTCAAACAGCAATTATGCCGGTATTGACATTGCTTTTTTATAAAAGAAAAATAATTAAATTGGAGATGTTATAAGGTATAAAAACAGAAAAAAGAGAGCTTAATTCATTACAAACAGGCACAGAAAGAAGCTTGGAATCAGTACCGAAGAACGACCGGGCGAAGCAAGAATGAAAACGTTTGTTGTGTTCTGCCTCTTGATGACCTTAGTTATGGTTTCTCAGGGCCAAAGAGAAGCCACAGAGATGGATGAAGCTGAACTGGCCAACATGCCTGAACTCATGAGCGCCCCCGAAGCTGCAGACGAGGCAGTAGAGGATAGTCTCTTCGGCAAACTAGCTTCAGGTTGGTCGGAGTCGCGCTGAGTTAACTTCCACACTTGACACTTCCTACCTCGAATACTAGAGTTCGATTAAAAGCTAGAAATCCATGTTCGTTTTTTTTGGTCGGTATTACCAACAAAACTCAATCTTACAAAACACGCAGAGCTAGCGATTTAATTCAATTCCAGTGACTCGACAGGTATGATGTATTCTGGAAGATGTTATGAATGAAAAGAAGTTTAAAACAACCATTTGGAACGTTTATTTAAAAAAGAAAAAGTTGCCTTGTAAGCCAATAGGTCATTACAACTGGTTGAAATAAAAACTTCAAAGAAGAAGAAGAAGAAGAAGAAGAAGAAAAAGAATAAAAAAAGGCACGGTTAAATAGGTGTACGTGATATTTACTTGCTCAAATTTGAAGTTTATTAGAGAGGACAACAAAACCATGTAGGAAAGACATTTTCGGGTTCTGAGGTAGCAAAAACCCCGAAATATACTTCCCTTCTCCCTGATTATATACTGATTTCGTCTTTTTCTCTATGTATTTTGCATCGATTGCAGATCCAAGAAGGAAGTAAATTCAAGAGACCGCAGTAGCAGTAGATTTAAATACCTTACCTTGTTTGCGCGAGTGATTGGAACTGAGAGCGATGATCATGAGAGGTTTTGATTCAAAATACTATCTCAAATGAAACGACATTATATTTTTAGTGCTAAAATAAGCACAGTTTTAAGAAAAATGTTGTAATAAACAGGAAAGATATTTAACATGGAAGTCTGAGTGTTTCATTTCACCTCACTATCTTTTACTGTATAGACGACGCTCTTTCTTTTCGGCTTGTAGCAGATGGTAGACTTTCTCAAAGTCCTTCGCTTCTCATTTCCGGTTCCGGTAGTAGGCCCAGAGCTCCCGCTTTACAATGGTTTTTCCAACCAAGAACAACAACGTCTGCACAGTAGCTGAACATGCGCAGATCAAGACCAATAGTAGCAGATAGTCTAACCAGATAGTAGAAACCACGGTTTTAGAAAAAAACATGAAATGGGAAGAACCCCAAGGAACTTCACCTTGCTTGTTTACGCTTTACCTTGGTTCCCGGTAAACGTCTGAGTATGTAATAGTCTACCATCATATTTCAATTTACTTTCTCTCCCAGTTTTTAGCTATTTTCATTGCGACTTTGAGGCCTATGAATGAAAATAAAGCCCTCGATTCTGTAGCCACTCAAGACTTTTTTTAACCCAACATACAAACAGAAATACATACATCCATAATCTTTATTAGGCTGCCTTGCCGGCCGCCCTAGCGTTCTAGCGTCTCTTGGCATGGCTGACTTTGAGGATACCTCAAAGCTAAAAAATACACGTCTAATAATGATAAACAAAATCAGCATTTTCTAATATGATATTCTCTAGTGCTAGTGCCTCACTTGACTTATATAAAAAAGATCTGCTATCTACTTCAAAAAGATTTTAAGTGAAAGCATCAAACTTTTTCTTGTGATTTCAGTTTGTTTAAACTCAGGACCACAAATCTACAAATATGTCCCCTCAGCTCTTGAATATTTTAAAAAAGGACGTTCAGCATTTGCTGCTATATATTTTTTATTTTGCTAAGTATTTTTTAACGCAATGATAACTGATAACCACCATCACGACTCATTATCTTTAAAATAAATTTACAGTTTTTATACATTGTTTCAATGTGGTATTTTAATTTCACTGATTAAACGAGCTCGTTTCGAAAGCCGCCATAGTTTGTTTAATAAATTATTTGCTGACAGGCTGCGTCACTGTCATTTGACAATTTTTCTTCTAAATTTAATGAATAGCAGCCATATTAATTTGTGTAAGTGTCAGTCGGCAAGCACCTATAAATTAAGCCCTGTCCATGACTACAGAAAATTTATTTTAAACATTATTTTTCTTCTTGAATATACTCTTGCCAATGTATTTGTTACAGGTCAAATTTTATAATTCAGGTTAAAATTTTTCCAACCTAATTTGACTCTCCACTTCTTATGTTTCCTAAACCTAATCATTCATGAATTAGGGTCAAGAGAGGTGGAAATTGAAAATCAACCTACGTTACAAATTTTAACCCGAATTTAATTTTGACCTGTAATATATTCATGAAACTGTAATCGTGTTAGTAGCTCAGCTTAGGCCCCTTCTGCACATATCCGCTTTTATTGTTCTCAAAAGTTAACTTCCAGTGGGGTGGAGCGATTAATCAGTTTATTTTGTATACACGTCGATTTTCCTTTAGATTCTAAAATTTGGTTTAACTGTTGTACCATGTAGGCCTGTTCCAGAAATATTCAAATACTCCTACGAAATAAATCAATTAGAAAATGGGATTCAAGTCTATGAATCCTCACACCCCTATATTTCCACTCCAGTGATCGTTTTCGAAAAGTTGCTTTTCAGCGACTATTTTCGTTGAAATAGATACTGTATGTGTAGATGGGACCTTTACAATTTATAAAAAAAATACTAATAATCCTCTTTAATCTGTTTCACTTGTTTGACAAGTTAAGATGAAGTCAACAAATTGGCTGGCTCCAAATGTAAAGATTTCCATAGCTCAATTGGTAAAGCACAGCAGCGCTAAGGCAGAAGGCATGGGTCCAAATCCCATTGAAACCCTCTAACTTTTTGGGTTTAATTGGCAATGATTAAATTATATAGATGTGATTACCACTACGATGGTCATATCTTCATTTAGATCAGTACTGTGGTTACATGTGGCCATGAAGAAGATTGCAGGTACATGTATTGCAATGCAGTTTTGGAGACTCAGCCCAAGAATTCAAAAAAGTACCACATCCTGGCTTTGAGAATAACACAATTCAAGATTTGAAAAAAAACCATCCATATACCACCTGAAATACTGGAAGTATTGAAAACCCAAAACTATTACACATTGAAATCAGTGCCCTTTTCAACTCACACAAAGTAAGAGAACAGTGCATACGCTACTACTGAGTTACCAGAAATTTACAGGGATCCATCAATACCCTGCACCAGTCGACTTTTAAGCCTCCAAAGATCCTGAAAGAAAAATAAAAATAATAATAAACAAGTAATCAAATGAAAAAGCTAACTGTTATTAAAATAATTAATAAATTTGGCTCAGGCTCTGGCAAATGGGCAAAATGAAGCAAATCGTGTGTTTTAATTAGCTACTAGCCTGTGAATACAGATGTCTCTACTCACTCCTAGCCATTAGGATCGTTTCACAGGAGAAACATCCCTACCAATTTGCCCTCGTAAGTTCTTTGCATTGCACACAGAGCTTGAACAACTGGCCAGGAGAGATTTGAAACAATGGTTTAGTGAAGATTAGAGAATTGAATTGCTGGCTGAACTAGGTCACAAAAAATAAATAATGTTCAAAATTCAGCAATGTTGTCTAAGTCCAGTAGCAGATGTATAATTTATGACCAGGAAAAAATGCGATGGTGATTCTCCTCTATGGAACAGAACGATGCTACAGTATTTCGAACAGGAAAACCTCAAACTAAAAAGTGGTTATCTGTTTTGTCAGTTGCCCTTACACAGAAAGGTATCATCTTACAATGTACAGTGATCAACAACATTCATTTACAAATACACATGGTGTTAAGAGTTGTATGAAAGCTCAATAACATAGACTTCTTTCATAATGCCAGCCTATCAATATTTTCTTTTATATGTATGATAATAAGTCTCCCTGACCTTGTTTGAAAGTAAGAATTCTTTTGTATTTTGCACATGCTAACGTCTGGTCAGAGAGGCTAATTATCACACATGTATATTTAACAATTATTCGTCGAGCCCGAATGGACTGTGAGTCAATAGCCCATGAGGCAGAAGGCCGAATGGGCTATTGACTCAGAGGCCATGAGGGCGAGAAGAATAATTGTTTTAGTAAAATCCAGCTAGTTGGTCAAAAATATCGAGACAAAACAACTTTTAAGCTAGCAAAACATGATTCAGCTGCCATTGTTTTGGTTTTCGAAGCCGGCACTTTTCGCTACTAGTGGGCTATAACATATAGCCTAGTAGTAGCTCAACCAATCAGAACGCAGCATTGATAATAGACCACTAGCTGGATTTAACTAAAAACGAATATATGAATAGGCTGCCATTATGAAAGAGGTCTATGTAGTACGTTATCATACAATGGCATTTTATCTTGCATACCTGGAAAGTAAATTGCACATCTTTCCCCAATTTCTTTTCTGCCATCTCTACAATTTCATTTTCAAGGCTCTCCTGTGATGTTCCCTTGACATCAATATAGTAGCAGTGGGAACTGGCATAGTGACCTGAGATAGCCTAATACAGTAACCGATTCTTATCTTGTAAAATTCATCAATTATTTATTAACGTAACCAATCAATAGGTGGTATTTGAGTCCCACGTACTCCTCTGTAAACTCCAATACAAATTTAAACTGGGTTGGGCATGTACTAGCCCAAAAGTCATTTCAACTAGTTCCCTAAAAAATTTGACGAGCAGGATTGATTACAGAAGAATCTTGCCTCTGTATTTTGAATTCACTAGCCCTGGACTATTGGACACTGCTTTTTTTGCATGCTGGGTTTACCAAAGAATTAACTTTTGATACAAACCCCTGCTCAGCTAATAAGTAACACAAATAAATAGGAGTTTATCCAGCGATTAAAAAGTTATTCTGATTTTATCTCTCTTTTTTTAATATCATTAAAATACTAATCAAAGGGAGAAAGGGTTATGGCCTAAAGTTGTAGGTATGATATATGCATGTACCTTACCTTTCTGAATCCTTTTGTTTGGTTACTCCCTGATCCATGAATAAGCAGGGGATGGAAAAACACTGTATCTCCTGCATTCATCTCCAAGTGCAACAATGGTTGAGTAGGGTTATAATCCTTAATGCCATGGTATCCGCTATTTACTCCACCCTGACAAAGGGAATTTTTTTACATTTCATAAAAGTGCTTTGTATCAGACTGATGAATTTCTGGCTTCCAACTACATGTAAACTGGTATAAGGTAGAAAATCATTAATTTGAGACATGGAACAAGATTCTGGCACCTATTTAGACTGTTTTTGAAATAGTTCGGCTAACGGCCATGTTATTGGTATTGGAAAGTATAAAGTCATGTTGCTGCATAGCTAATTGAAGCAGCCAAAAGTAACATAACTAACATTACATTGCGGCCACATTAGCCATGTCACCATCATCATCATCATCATCCTTCCACCACCAGAGGTTGGCATTCATGGAGATTTATTCATGATTCACCATCACTGTACTCAGGTCCCTGCCATCACGTCCTGAATCCCTAGCAATCACTTTGGGGTATGTTAGCTAGCTCATGTGAATGCACTCTGCTTGTTGGGTGCCAGAGGATGAGATATTATTTCTTTGTCTGCCTGACCGAGAAGCCTTTGCTTGAGTCTCAAAGACAGAGGTATTAGTCCCCCATAGATCCTCTCACAGTGCTGAATCCAGACCTCCAGATTCAGATAAGGGGGGGGGGGGGGAAGAGACGGTTAGGATAGGATAGGATAGGATAAGTGCTTTATTATCAACAGAGCACCTACAGACACATGTGTTTACAACGATAACAAAGATTTTCGTGCAATAATTACAGAGGTGTACGTTTGTAAAATTTATACAACTATTAAACAAGGTTATATTTAACGCGTCTATCTCTTTCACGAAAGCGATCATATACGTATTTAGCCACAATTTTTTGCATTTTCTCTCCTTGCTTCATACTTATCAACGACCCTGAGATACAGGGTGAGGGTCTCAAAAACAATTTTGTGCTGCTTGACTTACCTCCCATTTTGGATACTGGTGTGGCAGGAGTGGAGTGTAGTGGGTGCCTGGAATGACTACCAAGCAACCATTTTTCTTGTCCACTTTCTCCATTGCTGTCCAAGAACACACCATCCGATTGGCTGGACGGAAAGGAAAATAATGCAAATCCTGATGCAAAGGATGGCGAGATGTCAGAGTACCAGGATCAGGCGGTTTGTTTATTAGCATGCTGTGCACAGATTTGATATCTGGACCAGTAAAACACGCCACGTACTTTAAAATCTGGGGCAGCTCACAATAACTGAAAAGGACCTCATCCTGTTCAAAATTTTGAAGTTTATTTACGGTTCTCTCGTCACGTGAACGGTTAGCTTTCGCGTAGGTGACATCCCTCATCACTGTTATACCGGGTACTTTGACAACACCATTACATATTTGCCTAAAACGATCGTAATACTTGTTTAACAGCTCTTGAGGTACAAGGCTCCGCACGACAAGGTAGCCATTTGTGTTGTAGAAATCGACTTGTTCCTGGGTCAGAAGATCATTTTGTAGAACTAAACGTTCGGTATCGAGCTCTTTTGCATCTGCAAATGATATTTCTGGAAGTGCAGAATGTAATCTACAAGAGTTAAGGTGGTCAGAAATCACTGCCAACCTCTTCTTCGCACGGGCGGCCATTTTGTTGTTTGTCGAATGACCGATGTGCATCATGGGAAAACAGGGGCACTTCTCCCACACCCAATCTTAACACCCAGTTCCAGTCTGTGCGCGACCGGCTCGTCGGGTGAAGAACATTTTCCATTGTTCCTTTCGTAAAAGAGAGAATATTTGCAGTCTACTCTCTCGGCAAAATTCAAGATGGCAGCAGGGGTATAAACGAAAATCGGTTCGGTGTTTATATCTTGCAAAGTTTATTTTTACGTAGTAAAATCGGCCAGCACGGATATATCCTGGAAATGGTGATTTCTTGTGAAAACTCGTATGGAATACATGTTTCCCCCAGAAAAGTTTCCAACAGGAAAACAGGAATATCTTTTCAAAGTTTCACTTTTTGCTCGAATAGACCCCTCCACAGGAGCCCATTTGATGGGCTCCCGCCCTTCCACGGTTTTTTCAGCTTGTGACATTGACCAGTCAGGGAAAATCCGTCGACACCATTAGTAATGGAAAGGCTAGAGCGCCTAAAAATTAGTATAATTACTAAATTTGAAAGTGAAATTTGAGGTGAAGATAAAGCTCCGCAATTTTGCGAAAATTTACAGACGTTTGTATGGTGTGGGACAAGTTTGTGACCCCCCCTACCCCCCCCCCCACCCCCCAAACATACAATTCCAAACGTCTCTAAAATTTCGCGCTTTTGAGGTGAGCTATATATCTTCGTTAGTTTTCAACAAATTGTTCTTTCAAACTTGGCAGTTTTATTAATTTTGAGGCGCTCTTTTCAGTGGTGTCGACGGATCACGTCAAAAGTTTAAAAAAAGGGGAAGGGTGTATTTTCCAAAGGAGCGCCCGAATTAGATCCCAGTCGCAGTCTCAACTCATTTATTAAAGCAGTTATCCTTGTGTCATATTGTTATAGTTACACAGAAACAGACCGAGATCTCACTAGAGTTCTTTTAAAGACCTGAAGTTATCAAATGTGCTTGAACACTACATTTTCACGTAAGTAGGAAACGGTAAATGACCCTAACTCGTGCATTGTGAGCTCAGTCCGATCTTGAACCGTCCCAGTTTCGCATTACTCCTTATTCTTCGCCAGAAGACACCCAGGCCAGAGTTCTTCGCAGTTTTCGGGTTTACTGATGTCTAGGTTTAGCTTCTCCGTCATAGTCAATGTCTCACTGACATCGTACAAAAAGATTGATTTGACGATGTTGCTGTTAAAACTCCTTTCAGTTCGGTTCTCGCAGATAAAAAGGAGTGTTGCTAAGATCAGGTTCGTTGGCCGCGTAGAATTCCGTTATTAATGTTCTCGAAATCGCTCTCGGAAGGAGAAGCTGCGATGGCCGAGTGGTTAAGGCGTTGGACTTGAAATCCAATGGGGTCTCCCCGCGCAGGTTCGAATCCTGCTCGCAGCGGCTATATTTTTTTCGAACTTTTTTACGTAACAAGAAACATTGCTTGGACTTTGCTGGCTTCAGAAACGGGACAAAAGGAAAACAAGGCCTTGGGGCAAGAAAATCAAAAATACTACATCATTCAAAATATCCTTTCCAGTTTCAAAGTCCCACTGAGTTTTATTCCACCAAAGTGATTCTGTATTATGTGACCAATCGATGAGCATTAACATCTCGTGTTTGTGATGGCCGGTTTAAACTTGCGAGGCAATAATGCAACGGTCGAGACAGTTCAGAAACAATGGCAACAATTGATCCGCGTGCGTAATTTGTACCTCTTAAGTTGTGCCCGTGTTCCTAGAATTTTTTTGATTATTCTAGCATACTGTAAAGGTATATATAATATATATAGGATTATACTAGCACTATAGCTTTTTTTATTTCTTATCTTTTATTTATCATATTATTCATTATTTATTTTATCTTTATGTTGTGTCCCCAATTAGCGTCAGCTAAATACATCGACACATGAATAAAGTTCATCATCATCATCACCTTATCTGTAAACGACGTCCATTGTTATTTTCCCCTCATATACGACCCGGTTAGCTGGGTGAAACCATTACACGCGTATTTCCCTGCCACCTTAACTTGGCCTGCACCTTATTATTAGCTTATTATTAATTAGGGTTTTCAACCATCAATTACGTATTTTCATCGTTTTTGGCTATTTTCATGATAAAAGCGAACGTGCTTGTGGACCGATAATACATCAAGTGCCGAATTCTAGTCTGGTTTCACTTGAGTGAAGGCATCGGTTAAGATTAGAGTCAGAAAAGCTTCACCCGACGCTGCGATGGCCGAGTGGTTAAGGCGTTGGACTCGAAATCCAATGGGGTATCCCCGCGCAGGTTCGAATCCTGCTCGCAGCGTAATTTCCTTTTTGCTGATAGCATGGAATATTTAAGAAGGCCTCAATTATTAAACTGCCTGCGTGAGTTCAGCGCAAGTTTAATTATCATGTAACTACTTATTTTCCATAAGAATTTCCTTTATATTTTTCATTCTGTTTTCTTATTTTCAGGCCATTTGTCAGTTTTGAGGTTCCAACCTGATTCGTGGAGGTGTGTGGGTTCAAAGTTCCCTAACAGCGGCAGGTCATCGAGCCTAACGATGATGAGAGCTCATAGACAGCAAAGACCACCGCAACATGGGTGTGTCCCCATGGCCATACAGTGACTCGACGTTCGTCGATCAAGAAGCTAATAATTTTTTTTTCGTTTTCCTGCTATACTTCTAGGCCTGATAAACTATATATAAATTCCCATCCCCCATTCACATTAAAAGATTTCTTTTGGCATTTTCCAACTTTTAATATGATCTTCCTTTTTTATTTCTCTGAGAGTATAGCAACAAACGCGTTTGCCTGTTTGCATTTTCTTGTTTCGTACCTAACTTCAAAATAGATTTTCTTCTCACTATGCACATTAGAAACGTTGCTAAGTGAGGGTAGGTTACCTTAAATCATTTAGAGTCATTTTACTCACTTATAGGTGCTGCGATGGCCGAGTGGTTAAGGCGTTGGACTTGAAATCCAATGGGGTTCCCCCGCGCAGGTTCGAATCCTGCTCGCAGCGGTAATCATTTTTACTCACTTATATTTTAAACATAAAAAGTAAATGAAACATGGCAATGGATGTACGTAAAACGAATCAAATTCAGAAGATCGTATATTGTAGTTAGCGCACAGCACATAACGTCTGCGTACAAAAGTTTTTCCTTCGTTTCGCTCAGATGCTGCTCTCCCCGTGAGGTGGGGGGTCGGAGTCGGAGAAGTTTTGTAACCCTTTAACCCCAAGATCCACATACAAATTCTCCAGACTTAGCTCCATACATTTCTTTTAAGAATACTTGAGAGAATTTGGTTTAAGTTCAAAGTAGTCTCCCTTTGGTAATCAATTTAGTAATTCAGTTTGAGTGGAGTTGTGTTTCCGAAGACTGAAAATATTATTTGATTATTCGACAAGCTCAAAATAAAAAGAAAGGGTATCTTAAGTCAACATTTTACGTTTTACATTTGCTAAATGACTTCAGACTTGCGTTTCCGCTCTTTGATTGGCTGCTGTTATTGCCAATACTTAACAGCATAGTTACGGTTCCTAAGTTAGGTTTGTTTTCAATTGAACGAGCTATTTTTAAAGATGAGCGAAATGCTTCGAACAGTACTATCACGGAACATAAAAAGAGACACAAAGTAGAATCCATGAAGTTTCCGTGTGTTTAATTCCTACTATCTTCCAGCGTGCTTCCAGCATTTTGTCTTCAATAGTTTTCTGTTTATAATTAACCTCTAAACCATTTTTATAAATGTGCGTTCTTTTTGGACGTCTTATTAATTATCCGCATTTCTAATTTTTACCCATAAAACTATTTCTATTACTGAAATAGCTACGTTTCTTGATATTCCAACCTGATATTAGAAGCCTATATTAAGCGACGAATTCCCTGAAATGAGACTTGTCTCCATATTTTCGTACTACTACTAGGCCTGACAATTACTCATATACCACCCGAGCTTAATCTTTGTTTTTCCTATTTCCTCAGACCTTGCTAAAAGCAGCAATATATGTCTGCCATGTTTACCGGACGGCTTCATTACTCTTTTCATACTGAACTTCAAGCGACGTTTTTCAGACCCTATGGAATTAGAAATGTTGCTAATTGAGCACGGTTACCTTAGACTTTTTAGAATCATTTTATGCGAAGGAGAATGTATGAGCTGCGATGGCCGAGTGGTTAAGGCGTTGGACTTGAAATCCAATGGGGTTTTCCCGCGCAGGTTCGAATCCTGCTCGCAGCGTTAACATTTTTTTGCTGTCTTTTTAAGTGAGCCCAATTAATTAAGTAATAATTTAAGCTACAATGCTCTCTCAAACTACTTGTAAATGCGCTTTACTTGCATTCTGTTTTGACGGTTCAGTCACATAAAAGCCTCTGGGAAAATTAAAACCTTTCACTTTTCAATTTTTCATTATGTTTAGTCAGAGGGAAAATTCTTACAATCAATTTTGTGAAAACATCACACACATTTTCCGATTCTATTGTACATCGTCCTCAAACATGGAAAATGAGTATATTTCTCGTACTTTGAACAATGATCCGACCTCACTTACTTCGTTGTCTGTTGATTAGGCCTGTCCCGTTTGTGCTTGAAAAATGCTCAAAAGTTGCTTACTGGAATGCTAAAAAGTTGCTACTTAAATTTCAGGACCTGGCTAACATTGGTTAAGAAAAATAGCTTAAAGCTAGGCATTAAAAGAGTTTCTTGCAAATATGGGCGAAATTTAAGGATACCAAAGCTTATTATAATAGCCCGGAACAAATCATCCTACATAGCCAAGAGCCATAATAGGACTATTATGGCTCTTGGTTGTAAACAATATAAGTTAATCAGATACCAGAACTTATAGTACTGTAAGTGAAGAGTAGCTATTTTATGACAAGAAATAAATTCCAGTGACTCTTCCATTCATGGATGGTAGTTTTAACTTAAAAAAAGGTATGTTTACCATGCTAAATTCTTTTCTATTTTGTGGCTTTCATGGTCGTGTTTTCTCCATCCTCAAGCCACTCCATACAATTTTAAACATATAACCTTCAGCCGCTATTTCCTAGGTATACCTTGGGAGAATTGGATTCAGACCAGTTTTCTTAACCCCAGTCTAAATTCAAGAAAAGCTTCGTGGTTCTTTTTGAGAAACAGTGGCATAATTTGTCTTGACAACTTTACCGTTGCAACAGATTGTCTCGCATGCTTGGACTTAGTTTTACATGTTTCAACAACGATTTCTGCTCACTGTTTTCATCAACAAATTGCAGCCATCGGCAGTGTGGGGTGAACCAATCTTTCCTCATGTTTCGCGGAGTGACGAGGTCACAAGGAAGAGAAGGTAGCTCGGTCAATTATTCCTTAACAGCTCCCGCGACGATTTCACCCGATTCATCTCTAAATTTTTGGTGCACAAACACCGAGGTGGTATTATCTTTAAAACTCGAGATAGAGCAAAATCCATCAATTCATCCGTCTGGCAGATCGAAGTTAAATAGTTCTCGAATCCTTGCCTTAGCTGTCTGTGGTAGTCGTGATAATGGGCCTGGGCGGTGATCCCGATAGACTGCAAAATGCCTCGATACATTACCCTTCGATGAAAATATATGTTGGTTCAGTGGACATGTCAGTTGGCAACTTTTTTGTTCGGAGAAAACAGGACGGTCTTCAATAATTTAAAGAGAAAACCTGTAAAGACAACATTGTACTCACTTTTAAATTTCCCGTCAATATTTATTGAAGGGACGCGCTTGCCTGCTTGGGTTTTGCTACCTTTTTCACAATCTCTGGGACGTAATTCATTTTGTGGAACTAAGAGGCAGTCAGAAAACCCTTCATAGGGTAAGTTAAAGGCTAGTAGTGGGAATTTTGTTTGAGAAAAAAAGCTTCTAACGAGCAGCCTCGAGCGCTGAAAAAAAATTCCATAACTACGTCATTTAGTTGACATCGAGGTGCAACTTTTATACATGAAATAGATGACGTAAGAAAACCAAGTTTTGCCTGCCGCAGTTGCTGCGGGCTCAATCTCCGTATGGCAGTTAATATGACATTTGAAATCGGCTTACATGTAGTGTGTGTACGGGCGGGCAGGCGTACGCTACGTCATAACCAAATTTTCTTGCGTCCGTCAGTTTCCAATTTCTCTTAGCAATGGGGCTCCGCCGAGCGCGCTTCGCTAGCGCGAGATCTCCGCTATAATAGCACAGCTCCACCCTCAACGGAGCCCCATACTTAAAAGAAAATGGCAGCCTATCGATGCCAGGAAATTTGGATTACGACGTCAGCTTATGCCTGTAAGGACTTTGGGCGAGGTAGAGGGGAGGGGGTGGTGGTGGGGCTAAGGGTGGGGCTGGAATGGCTAGCAATGTTTAGGCGCGAAATGAAATTGGGATTTATGCGGTGGAAAGCCGTTAACTACCTTTTGGACATTTCTTTCCTCAGAAACCAAGACAAAAATAGTACTCAGCCGTCCGAGAGTCCCTATCGGGAAGGGTGGCTCGAAATGGAGCGCGGAGGGAAAAGAGGATGGATGGCGAGAGGGAGAGAGGATAAAGCAAGTGGCAGAATCAACGTACCAATCTGTTATACACTAACGTGTAGGCTTTCCCTCGTTCTCTCTCCCCAGTTCCCTCCTTGATTTTGTGTTCTATTTACTCGTTGACGCGGTCTTACTGAACACGGTGTTGACGCAGTGTACCTGAATTCCGGGAAAAAGGTAGAAGATTTCTTTTTCGGCTGCGTTGGAAGGAAATCCGTAATCCACTCACAGTAGCCCCTTCCAGGCTCTCAGATATCGATAATATGGAAGACGCGTAAGAGAAAGGAACACGAAAATATGAGCGCGTGATCTGGGAAAAGGGGGCGGTGGCCCTTCCTCTCCCAGTTTCCTCCCGTTTTATTTTCGTGTTCGCGCTTTCTCAATTCCGCGGACCCGACTATCTCGTAGCCTGGAACAGGCTACAATCACGGGTACCCCAAGCTCACGAGAGAGAATAGTTGTTGCGTAACAAATATAAGGATGTGTATGGGATTTTAGCGATCGTTATTTTTAGCCGTAGAAAGTTGTTAGAAAAAATACCTCAGAATTTCTTGCCTTGGATCGTTGTTTAAATTTACGGTATGTTATTAGACTTTAGGTCGTTCAGCGCGATTCCTTCGAGTTTTATTTATGCCGTTGTTCTCTCTCTATTGGGAATAATACTGATATATAGTAAAGAGAGAACAACGGTAGAACTAAAACTCGTGGGAACCGCGCTGAAACGCGGCCTAAAAAGGGCTAATCTGACACCATAAATTTAAACAACGATTCAAAGAAAGGAATTCTGATATATTTTTATCGCTGTTTTTGATCTCTTTGAACTGTTGCTAAACTCCCCATACAAATCCTTATCATATTTCTGTTACGAACGATTTTCATTTGTGAGCTTGGGGTACATGTGCTTCACCATGCGGCCACGCGCTTGTCACAGAGTGGCTTTTGTGCATTTGGTAGTTGTACAATAGTTGGCACGAGATGACCTTTAAAGTCAAATGTGTAATGTGGATTTGAAAAACCGCCTGAATAGGTGTTATTATAATGGGACTCATCAAGAGATACATTGGCCATGGGGTATCATTTTCTGAGGTTACATTGACGATGGCGTTGCCTTGTTTGAATACGTGCAATATCCAATCAATAACAACAAACGTCATTACTGATGAAGGAATCCGTATGATTCCTCGAAGAATATTTTTTTTCTGTAATACATGTCCAAACAGCAGAATCTTCACTCTGTCAATATCCAATCAGTTTTCCTAGTGCTAAAATAAAAAAAACAAACAAACAAAAAACAACAGACCTGATCATTTGGTTGGTTTTAGCTATTTGGGCATTTACTAATGCCCTTTTTTTTGCGGGATTAAAAATTAAAAAGGTCTTCCAGTTTGTTTCAGGGGCATCCAACGACTGTATTTACACAACGTAAGTTACAAGCATTCTTCATAAACTCAATAAATACAAGCTCGCAACTCGTCAACATGAGTTCCAGCTACGTGACAGTAGTTCCAGATTCTATTAGATAGCATGAAGAATTTTTAAGTACTGTTCTGCTGCGTACAAAATTCATTTTCACATAATGTTCAGCTGATTTTTACCTAATTTGCCTACTAGCATAACGAGGAATATACAACTTACTGTTTGGATCTTGAAAATGTTCAATATATATCTTAAACAGTAAAATTAACAGACGATAAAAAAGATTCTTTTACTTATCCTAGGAGAGCTCAAAGCATAAAAAATGCAGAGCGATCGGAAATACAAGTGCAAAGGATGAAAAGCTGTAACTAGGAGTATCGCACGCTAAGCGATCGTCAGACTAAAAGTTCTTCGTTATCAGATTTCATCAGTTTAAAGTTAGAAATTTCAAATTTAAGGATGGCTGGGGCAGCGTAATCTGTAGCCTGTGCCGCAGACGTAGTCTAACCCCGGTTATTAACCAGAAGCTTTAGTTCCTTCTGTTTCGCAGGCTACGTGATTTGTGATTGGTCGTAAGGAACTTGTTTTCCTGTCAACACGTGGTTTACAGCTCAGCTCTCTACACTCAAACCTTAGTAATTAGATTGTCAAAGTTCAGATGATCTTCTTTGAATACATCCCTTTTCGTCAAAATCGATAATACGTTTACAGCTGACAATTTTTATTGGTTTTCTCGGGTTTGTTCGACCAACATGAACAGTGATAACGTCTGAGCACTCGATTTGTGGCTGACCACTGAACAAGACCCTTTACTCTATTCATTCCAGTTTCGAACCCTTTCACCAACATTGGACCAGTGAATCCTTCTTCAATGGCAGTGAATGTCGTCTCAGTATTTATCATAGAACAAGTAGAATTGCCTCAAAAATCGCCGCAGTTGTCCTCAAGTGCAATTAAGATCACATAAGAAATGGTAAGCATGAGGACAAGAAGAAATCTTGTGGGTACTATGCTGTTGGCAGAGGAAACTGTGAAACGAGAAATAAAAAAATAAAAGGTACACAGTCCTTAGTAAAATTGATGTTACAGTGTGAGTCATGCAAATATTTAAAACTCCATCAGCCACATCCAATACCCAATTTTCTAAAATTGGTTGTAGTTTTACCACCCAGTGTTAGCATAAACGACAACCAAGACCTAGTTTTTTGACGTGAAGCTGACCAGCGCCGTCTTAATTTTTTTTAGGAACCATTATTGGACTTATACTCCTGTAAGGTCTGGGTAAGAGACTAATATTCCTTTTCTTTAGTATTCACCACGGTCAATAAAACAGATTCTGAAATGCCTTAAAAACTAAAAATTCTTTATCTGTGGCAATAGCGTGAATTGCCACCCCGGTAATACTAAGAATGAGAAGAGTTCGACCCCCTATAACTAAAGCTCGTGGAAAGGGCTACTCCCCTACATTAGTAATATAGGTAAACGCCGCCCCAAAGGGTATGGTTTTTGAAGCCCTTAAGTCTAAAAACGAGTATAGGTTTTGCCAATTTATTAATGGTGTGAATTCGGGTGTAGATTTTCAAAGGAACCAAAGGGGCGTATAAACGTATTTCTCTTTTCATCTCCAAGTGCATTTAAAAGCAAGAGAGCTGTCTTCTGCAAAAGCCCCGGTGATTTTACTTGCATTGGACGACGTAATCGGTTTACAAACTAATTACAACTTTCAGAAGCGAGGTCTGAAAATGGGTGTGGAAAATGGGATGTTTTGGTCTGCAAAAGGGTCTGAATTTGGAGAATCGGGTGGCACAACTATATCAAGAATTCACCGACCCCGGGATCTTTACTGTGTCGGATATGATAGAATCCCTCACCTTCACAGACTTGACCATTTCCATGATACCCTCTGGAACATGTACAGCGATACGATCCCGGTGTATTCACACATACGGCTTTTTGGTGGCAATCATGAATATCTCTCATGCACTCGTCATAGTCGTAACACCACTGTCCGTCTCCTTGGAAACCTGTTTTACAGTTGCAGGTGTACGAACCGTCTGTATTTCTGCACACTGCGTTGAAATTGCAAGGATTTCGATAATCATTACACTCATTTTTATCATAACACGTTTCTCCATCGCCTTCGTATCCGTCGTGGCACTTACAGCTGTAGGATCCTTGGGTGTTGATGCATTGCGCATTTGAGCTGCACTTTGATGTCCTAAGTAGGCACTCATTTATATCTAAAGAACGAATCATAGTACCGTATAGTCGTTATTAAACGATGTCATCTTTAAGAGCTTTAGACAAAGACCTTTTAACTCATGCTCAGCCGGGGAGTCCAAATTCCCATGAACGTGGACCTGTTCAGTCTCAGAGATTCTCAGGGTGACCTAAAATATGTTTGGTTTGATAAAACCTCTCTGTTACAAATGAGTAAAAACCGAGGCGGGTGACAGCTTCCTAGTCAGATTTGTCCAGTGACATTTTAGGCATTATAAGAAGAAGATATCAAAAAAAGTGCACGTAGTCAGTCAACATCTTCGATATTTCTTGTCAGTCCATTGTCTGAACTAACTGTTATAAGGAAGCTTAAGATAAAGATAAGGTTTGTTATGATATTCCTACGTGGAAGCTCTATCAGCCACATCCAACACCCAATTTGCTTATTTTGGTTGTAGTTTTAGCAGTGTTAGCATAAACGACAACCAAGGCCTAGTTTTTTGACGTGAAGCTGACCAGCGCCGTCTTAGTTTTTTTTAGGAACCATTATTGGACTTATACTCCTGTAAGGTCTGGCTAAGAGACTAATATCCTTTTCTTTAGTATTCACCACGATCAATAAAGCAGAAATGCCTTAAAAAATCAAATGTTATTTATCTGTGCCAATAGCGTGACTTGCCATCCCGATAATACTAGGAGTGAGAAAAGTTCAACCCCTATAACTATAGCTCGTGGAAAGGGGGCTACTCCCCTACATTAGTAGTATAGGTATGTGCCGCCCCAAAGGGTTTGGTTTTTGAACCCTTTAAGTCTAAAAACGAGTATAGGTTTTGCCAGTTCATTAATGGTCTGAATTCGGGTATAGATTTTTTCATGCAAGGAAACCAGGGGGCGTAGAAAAGTCCTTAGATAATTTGCAGTCTGTCTACTTTGAATTGGTCTTTTCATCTCCAAGTGCATTTAAAAGCAAAAGAGCAGCCAGTGTCTGTCTTCTGTAAAAGCCCCGGTGATTTTACTTGGACGACCTAATCGGTTTACAAACAAATTACAACTTTCAGAAGTGAGGTCTGAAAACGGGTGTGGAAAATGGGATGTTTTGGTCTGAAAAAGGTTCTGGATTTGTAGAACCGGATGGCACAACTCTACCAAGAATTCACCGACCCCGGGGATCTTTACTGTGTCGGACATAACAGAATCACTCACCTTCACAGACGTAGCCATTTCCATGATACCCTTCGGAACAGGAACAGCGATACGATCCCGGTGTATTTACACAGACGGCTTTTTGGTGGCAATCATAAACACCCGCTAGGCACTCGTCATAGTCATCACACCACTTTCCGTCTTCTCTAAAACCGAGTTTACAGCTGCAGGTGTACGAACCGTCTGTATTTCTGCACACTTCGTTGAAGCTGCAAGGATTTCGATTCATTAGTACACTCGTTTCTATCATAACACTTTTCTCCATCGCCTTCGTACCCGTCTAGGCACTTACAGCTGTAGGATCCTTGGGTGTTGATGCATTGCGCATTTGGGCTGCACTTTGTTTTCCTAAGTAGGCACTCATTTATATCTAAAAAACAAAACATAGTACGGTATAGTCGTTATTAGACGATGTCATCTTTCCATTGCTTATATATATATATATATATATATATATATATGTGTGTGTGTGTGTGTGTGTGTGTGTGTGTGTGTGTTTTAGTCTTGCATTCGTCTACGTCTGTGCAAGACCATCCATTGCCTTCATAACCATCATGACAAGTGCAATTATATCCGCCGACGTTGTTTGTGCAGAATGTATTTATACTGCAGTAATGTTTTTAGTCTTGCACTCGTGTACGTCTGTTCAAGACTATCCATTGCTTTCATAACCATCATAACATCTGCAGTTATATGAACCGAAGCTGTTTGTGTAGAGTGCATTATTTTGTACTGCAGTTATGTGTTTTAGTCTTGCATTCGTCTACGTCAACGCTGAGATCTGTTTACACACGTATGAAGTACATCGGAGACTTTTCCGAGCTTACCTGTGCAGTGGGTTCTATTCCCTGTGTACCCTCTTTTGCAGAAACAACTGTACGAGCCTGGCTTGTTCACGCACCTAGCGCTAGAGTGGCAGTTGTCAGTTCCAATCTTACACTCATTGATGTCAGTGCATTCCCATCCAGTACCTTCATATCCATCACGACAAACGCAGCTGAATGCACCGATGGTGTTCGTACAGGATGCATAGACACTGCAATTGTGTGTTTGCATTTTGCATTCATCAATGTCTCTGCACGTTCGTCCATCACCTTTAAATCCACCACGGCAAGTGCAATTATATGAACCGAAGTTGTTTATGCAGAATGCATTTATACTGCATTTATGTGTTTCAGTCTTACATTCGTCTACGTCTGTGCAAGACCGTCCATTGCCTTTATAACCATCATGACAAATGCAATTATATGAACCGAAGTTGTTTATGCAGAATGCATTTATACTGCAGGTATGTGTTTTAGTCTTGCATTCGTCTACGTCCGTGCAAGACCATCCGTTTCCTTTATACCCTGCATGACAAGCGCAATTATATGCACCGACATTATTTGTGCAGAATGAATTTATACTGCAGTTATGTGTCTTAGTCTTGCATTCGTCTACGTCTGTGCAAGACCATCCGTTGCCTTCATAACCATCATGACAACTGCAGTTATATGAGCCGATATTGTTTATGCAGAAAGCATTTATACTGCAGTTATGTTTTTTAGCCTTGCATTCGTCTACGTCAGTGCAAGACCATCCGTTGCCTTTATACCCTGCATGACAAGCGCATTTATATGCACCGACATTATTTGTGCAGAATGAATTTATACTGCAGTTATGCGTCTTAGTCTTGCATTCGTCTACGTCTGTGCAAGACCATCCGTTGCCTTCATAACCATCATGACAACTGCAGTTATATGAACCGATATTGTTTATGCAGAAAGCATTTATACTGCAGTTATGTTTTTTAGCCTTGCATTCGTCTACGTCAGTGCAAGACCATCCGTTGCCTTTGTACCCTGCATGACAAGTGCAATTATATGCACCTATATTGTTTGTGCAGAATGCATTTATACTGCAGCTATGTGTTTTAGTCTTGCATTCGTCTACGTCTGTGCAAGACCGTCCATTGCCTTCATAACCATCATGACAACTGCAGTTATATGAACCGATATTGTTTATGCAGAATGCATTTATACTGCAGTTAATATGTTTTTTAGTCTTGCATTCGTCTACGTCAGTGCAAGACCATCCGTTGCCTTTATACCCTGCATGACAATCGCAGATATATGCACCGACTTTGTTTGTGCAGAATGCATTTATACTGCAGTTATGTGTTTTAGTCTTGCATTCGTCTACGTCTGTGCAAGACCATCCATTGCCTTCATAACCATCATGACAACCGCAATTATATGAACCGACGTTGTTTGTACAGAATGCATTTATACTGCAGTTGTGTGTCTTAGTCTTGCATTCGTCTACGTCTGTGCAAGACCATCCATTGCCTTCATAACCATCATGACAAGTGCAATTATATGCACCGACGTTGTTTCTGCAGTATGCATGCTGGCTACAGTTGTGTGTTTTCATCTTACATTCATTCTTGTCTATACATTGAAACCCGTTGCCTTCAAATCCGTCTCGACATTTGCATTCATATCCACCAATGGTGTTTATACACGATGCATGTCCGCTGCAATTATGCGTCCACGCTTTGCACTCGTCAACATCTTGACAGGTTCGTCCATCACCATGGAAACCTGACAAACAGGAGCAGTTGTGACCACCAATTGCATTCGTGCACAATGCATTGGGACTGCAGTCATGAATTTCTCTTTCACACTCGTCTATGTCTTTACACGAAAAGCCATTACCTTGAAATCCGTCCAGGCAGGTGCAAGTATAGGAGCCAGCAGTGTTATTGCACAACGAATAAGCACTACAGTTATTTTGGCTTATACTGCACTCATTAATATCTGTACATGAGCGCCCATCTCCTTCGTAACCAAGAAGACAAGTACACTTGTAGCTGCCAATGGCGTTCACACATGTTGCTTTTGAGAGACAGGAATGCAGTTTTTTAGATAAGCACTCATTTATATCTGCAAGAAATTCAAGTTGGAAATTATAATTAGCCTGAAAAAACTGTCCGTTTCAGACAAAATGCCTTTCGCTTACCTATAGTCTATTTGTAACGCGTGTGCTCGTATTTACGTAAGCACATTTTGAAGAAAAATGTTCCAAAATCTTCGTTACCTTTTTCTAGGCAACGTTCAAAAACACAACATATAAAACATCGCGATATCCCCTAAATATGGTTGTTAAAAATTCTCGTTACAGAAATTTCAACGTGTCAGAGTTAAGATGCTAAGGAAGCATCTCAAAGACAGTTCCGATGTCTTGAACAAGGCGTTAATCGTCCCGGCTACTGCCAAGTGGCAGCAAAGAGGTTTTAAATGTGGTGCTACTGCCGTGCTTCAGGTCGACCTTAACTCAATCCCCTGAATTAATTGTGCCCTTGCCCCATGTAAGACAATCCGAGACAGTCTTGGATTCTGGTTTCCACGCCGTAGATTCCGGATTTCAGGAACAGATTTCGGCTTTGTCAGTGGAACGTGGATTCCGGATTTCAGTTTTGCGTAGGATTCCGGATTCAAAAGCCCATTGGCTAAGATTCCGGATTCAACAAGCAAAAACTTCCGGGATTCTGGAATCCGGATTTCCTTACATGGGGCGAGTCGTTGTGCTACAGCCGTGCTTCAGGTCGAACTGAACTCGATCCCTAGCCTGAATGTGGCCCGACAGAATCTGAAGTTTAAAAACGCGCTTATCTTTCTCTGACCATGGCACGAAGAGCCGTTCCCTTGAAAGCCATTGTTACAGACACAGACATGACGATCCTTGTTCAATGGGTCTGTTGTACAAATAGCATTAGCATCACATAGTGGCTTCTGTCTGCAGTCAAATCCAGTGGCCAATATTCGATTGTCCTCTTCAACTATGGAGAGCAGTGAATCAAAAAAATATGCAAGGTTAAGCCTATAACAGTTTTTGAAGTTTTATAGCAAAATATCGGAGAACATTTACACGGTGTCCCTATAATTTGAAAAGGTTTCGTGGTTATTGCATTATAACTGGGCTGGTATAAAATCTGTAACGATTAGACAAGATGGGCAATTTAAATGGTCTGAGTTAGTAAGCAGGTTACAGTTTCATTCAAAATGGTAATCCTGTTGATTGCTAAATGCGCCATCTTATTTAAAAAATCCTTCGTGATGTTTGATAATTTTGTTTGTCTTTTGCAACATAAATGAAATACAGTATAACTTTGTACCCAAAAACCTGTAAGCGAGGCTTATTGCTAGTTTCAACTACGCGACAAAGAGGCCATGTTGGTGGAACAATATTTTTTGGGATAATTTGCATGAAGAAAGAGTTCAGGAACGACTGCTTTTGTTCTTGTTCACCAGCATGGCCACCGCTTTTATGACTTGTGGCTCTTCGAATATGAGGGAGCTTTGGCTTAACGAAGACGGCGACTGCAGCAGAAACGTTACCATGAAAAAGAATTCCAACTGGTTTTAAGTACCAAATGGGGGTGAATTTACCTGGGGTTGATTTCTTGAGGACCGAGCCCAAGAAGAATAAAGATGGATTCATGGTCGGGTGTTTCATAGTGTTTATTAAAAGTGGATTCATTAAGGATCGTATAAGGTGATTTTACGTCGTAGTCGTGCAATCATGAAAGAAATGTACCAGTGTATTTTATGTGCTGAGTTGCTGTTTTTGTTAATATAAGAGCTCTTGCTTTTCTGACGTTCTGGTTGTCGTTGCCAGCGTCGTTGCAAAAGCTCCCTGACAATAAAGTTAATAGGAAATAGTCTTTCCGAAACGGAGCCAAACGACGGAGCAGGCGGAAGATAGAGTTTTTAAATTTTCTAATATTACCGCTTAATGCTTTCCGTACCTACCTTTAAGTTCTGATGATCTTTGTCCCGGATTATAAAATGCAAAACTATAAATAAGAAAATAAGCCAAGAAAACTATAATCATCCCAAAAGCGAGCCAGAGTTCCTTGGGGTATGAAGCGATTCTTCTCCCTAAATTTCGCATAAACACCTTAACACTTTCCAAGTCGAACATGATATATTTCTTTCAGATATAAGACAAAGGTGAAGCCCTCACGATTCTTTTGCAGAGTCTAAATGAGCAAGCTGAGCGAAGCACATTCCTGGAACTCAGACCTGCTTTCAAATTCTCGTAGAGTCAGGGAAAAATCCCATGACGTATTCGCGCAAAATACATCAGTGCTGACTCAGATCTCCAAGGAAACAGCGCGCCCTATGACCCCATGAGAAACGAAGCTGAACGAGTTTATGTAGGCTCGATTTCGGCTGCTCTATCGGTCCTTCCCGAGAAGAGAGGGCTGGACGGGTGAGTGGCCTATCGTGTCTGTGACACGCGTCGTTACCAATCACCGGTGATGGGAAATGTCATTAAATACGGAGCACATTTTGTGCTTTGCCTCTTCGAACGTATTTACATTGATCTTGCATTTGCGAAGTTTGGAGTGAAATTACAACAGTCGTCTCTTTCACTTTAGCTGTCAACAACTATCGTTGCAGACTGGAAAATAATTAATGATTCAGATACGGTTGGTTGAATTATCATTCGCCAGCTTCTCTAAGCTAACGCTTTTCTTTGTAAATGTTTCAGGTTGTTAAGCTTAAAACGCTCTAAACCCCGATCACAAACAACACCTTTGCATCCGCAGTTTGAAATCTGCTCCAGGGAAATAAATTTATGCTTCCTGCTCGATTTGACAGCTAGATTTGGGCAGGCAACGATCTGATTGGTGCGAATTGACAATAGCAAACTCATGCGTCCAGCCGTCTGTTCGGAGGAGGAGCGCGGGCTCATTTCCGGAACTGCGGTAGGTAATCTAACTTAAGGCCTGTTTACATGGAGGTGGGGGACCCCAGGTAGGTTAGGCAACGCGCTTAAGTGGGGTAACCCGCCCGTCCATATAATCTCTCAATTTAATTACATTACGGGGTGACCCGCCAAGGCGGGAAGCCCGGTCTGCCAAACTGGGTAACTCTCTCATCCGGGGTCAAATTTTGCCATGTAAACGTTTCAAGGTGGGGTAACCCGCCTAGCCGGGATCGAATTCGTGATACATGGCTGTTCACTTTGGCTGTGACTTTGCATCCTTATCAAAGGTAAAAAGAGAAAGCGACAGTACTGAAGGCTGCAGCAAGAGCAGCAAGTGAGTGTAGAAGAGCATTAATCGCCAAAACAAGTGGTTTGTCAGCGTTTTTATTGTTTACGTGCTTAGTGACCATTCAATAATCTCGAGAAAGTGTACGCCGGGATGGCGGGGTTATAAGATTGCATTATTTCATCAAAGGTCGGCTCGGAGACGGGTGTTTGTCTTTGTTAAATTTTACATTTTCTGCTACTATTAAAATGCAGAAAAAATGGCAATGATATATAAAAACAGTAAAATTTGTTCCACAAATCGGAGACATAATTGTTACTCTAATTTCTAAAGATTTGTGAAAACTATATATCAACAAAGTTAAAAAAAAAGATCAGAAATTATACACATTACAAATTAATTCTACCACGCCAAGCTCCCTCAGTTCCAGTCTGCGCGCGACCAGCTTTCGGAACTTCGAGGAAAGGTCCATCGGGTGAAGAACGTGTTTCCCCCAGAAAAGTTTCCAACAGGAAAATAGGGCTATGTTTTCAAAGTTTCACTTTTGAACTGAATAGACCTTCCAACGGTTTTTCAGCTTGTGACATGGACCAGTTAAGGAAAATCCGTCGACACCATTAGTACTAGAAAGGCTAGAGCGCCTAAATATTAGTATATTTACCAAATTTGAAATTGATACGTTTTAAGGAGGTGAAGATATAGCTCTGCAAAGTTGCAAACCTCTGTAAAATTTTGCGCTTTTGAGGTGAGATATATATTCGTTAGTTTTCAACAAATTATACTTTCAAACAGTCAGTTGCAGTTTTATTCATTTTTAGGCGCTCTTTCCAGTGGTGTTGACGGATTCATGTCATCCTCGGAGACCCAGGGGCAGTCAGTCGGGTCGGGAGAAAAGACGGGACGAAAGTTTTCTATTACGGGCTCTTTTGACCTTAACTGAAAACTTTCGTCCCGCCTTTTATCCCGACCCGACTGACTTCCTCTGGGTCTCCGAGGGTGGATTTATGTCAAAAGTTAAAAAAAAAAACCGTGCCGGGAAGGGTCTATTTTCCAGGGGAGCGCCCGAATTAGATCCTAATCTCAGATTCAACTCATTTATTAAAGCAGTAATCCCAGTGTCATAGTGTTATACTTACACAGAAACAGACCGAGAGCTCACTAGAGGTGTTTCGAAGATCTGAGGTTATCAAATGTGCTTGAACACTACATGTAGTCATGTTATTTTCACGTAAGTAGGAAACGGTAAATGATCCTAACTCGTGCATTGTGAGCTCAGTCCAATCTTGACTCGTCCTTTCGCATTATATATATTACTCCTCATTCTTGGCTAAAAGACACCCAGGGCAGAGTTCTTCTCAGTTTTCGGGTTTAATGCCAAAGGTTTAGCTTCTCCATCATAGTCAATGTCTCGACATCCGTACAAAAAGACTGATTTGGCGATGTTGCTGTTAAAACTCCTCTCAGTGCGGTTCTCGTAGATAAAAAGCAGTGTTGCTAATATCAGGTTCGTTGGACAAGTGGAATTCCCTCACTACGGTTCTCGCAATCACTTCAATCTGGAGGAGACGCTGCGATGGTCGAGTGGTTAAGGCGTTGGACTTGAAATCCAATGGGGTCTCCCCGCGCAGGTTCGAATCCTGCTCGCGGCGGATATATTTATCGTTCATTTTTTTGAACTTTTTTACGTAACAAGAAACATTGCATTGGACTTTGCTGGCGTTAGAAACGGGACAAAAGGCAAACGAGGCCTTGGGGCAAGAAAATCAAAAAGACTACATCATTCAAAATATCCTTTCCAGTTTCAAAGTCCCGCCGCGTTTTATTCCAGCAAAGTGATTCTGTATCATGTGACCGTTTCTGTAAACAACGTCCATTGTTCTTTCCCTCTCAAATACGATCTAGTTAGCTGGGTGAAACCATTACACGCGCATTTTCCCTGCCACCTTAACTTGGCCTACTGCAATTTTAGCTTATTATTAATCAGGATTTTCAACCATCAATTGCGTATTTTGATTGTTTTTGGCTATTTTCATGATAAAAGAGAACGTGATGGTGGACCGATAATACATCAAGTGCAATTCTAGTCTGGTTTCACTTGAGTGAAACATCGGTTAAGATTAGAGTCAGAAAAAGCTTCACCAGACGCTGCGATGGCCGAGTGGTTAAGGCGTTGGACTCGAAATCCAATGGGGTATCCCCGCGCAGGTTCGAATCCTGCTCGCAGCGTAACTTCCTTTTTGCTGATAGCTTTAGCCAGTTTAAGTGATTAGATCTAACTTGGAATATTTAAAAAAGGCCTCAATTATTAAACTGCCTGCGTGCGTTCAGCGCAAGTTTAATTATCATGTAACCACTTATTTTCCAGAAGAATTTCCTTTATATTTTTTATTCTATTTTCTTATTTTCAGTCCATTTGTCAGTTTTGAGGTTCCAACCTGATTCGTGGAGGTGTGTGGGTTCAAAGTTCATCGATCCTAACGATGGGAGCTGGTCAACGATCCCCATAACGAAAAAGATGATTGGATGCTCATAAACAGCAAAGACCACCTCAAAAACATGGGTGTTTCCCCATGGATAATATTCAGTGACTCAACGTTTGTTTGACAAACCCTGTAATGAAACTGAATTAAAGTTTTTGTTCGTTTTGTTGTTGTTGTTGTTGGCCTTTGTCGATAAAAACTATATTATTTTTCTTCGTTTTCCCTATCCCCCTTCAAACTATTAATCTTCCTTCTTTGATTCTCTGACAGTATAGCAACAAACGCTCTGTTTGCATTTAGTTGTTTCGTAAACTCTTTTTCAAAGGGGCTTTTCTTCAAACTATGTACATTAGGAACGTATAGGTGCTGCGATGGCCGAGTGGTTAAGGCGTTGGACTTGAAATCCAATGGGGTTCCCCCGCGCAGGTTCGAATCCTGCTCGCAGCGGTAATCTATTTTACTACACTTATTTTTTTAAAAAAGTGAATGAAACATGGCAATGGATGTATGTAAAAAGAGTCAAATTCAGAAGATCGTCGTTGGCGCACAGCACATAACCTCTGCGTACAAATGTTTTTCCTTCGTTTCGCTCCGATGCTGTTGCACGTATTCCCCGCCAGGTGGGGGGTCGGAGTCGGAGAAGTTTTGTTTTTTTTAAGCCCCAAGATCCACATACACATTCTCCAGACTTAGCTCCATACGTTTCTTTTAAGACTATTTGAGAGAATTTGGTTTAAGATCAAAGTATTCTCCTTTGGTAATATTTTTAGTAATTCAAGTTGGGTAGAGTTGTGTTTCCGCGAAGACTTCAAACTTTACCTAACAGAGCTGTTTCGTATACAATTGCTTATGTCGTCAGTATCTTCCTCCATATGTATACATAAAATATGAAAGGACAAAAGGCAATCTTCCTTGAGAACAACACGTGGCTTGAATTGAAAAAGAAACATACAAGCCAAATAGACCTTCTTGCGCCTGGATCCCCCTCTAACGCGTGCCACGCCGGGTGCTTCTGATTAGTAAGCACTGGCGCTGTGGCATTATCTGTCGTATTGAGTTTTTCGATTTCCACCTTCCAACAAATACCTTTATATCGTACATACGTCAAGCACAAGCGTTCATTATTGGAAGAATACTCGATCAGGACAAGTAATTGTGAGAAATATTGGACTTGTTGTGTGGAATAGCGTAATCCATTTTCACGTCGATAACGTCGTCTTTTGACTACTAAAACCAGAATTCATTTCCTTTGTTCGATTATACTTAAATTTGGTAATCCCGGTAAGGTGTGATAAAAAAAGGTATAATTACCAAAAGAAAGCAAAACCCTGAAGGATTCTGGTAGTAGTATTAGTAGTAGTAGTAGTAATATAGTAGAGTATAGCATAGCATAGCATGGCAATTAGCATAGTGTAGTGTAGTGTAGTGTAGTTTAGTATAGTGTAGTGTAGTATAGTATAGTAAAGCGACGCCATCAGAGTATATTGCTTTTCACCACAATCCATCCTTTGCATTCGGATGTCTTCCCTTTGCTGTGGCTATAAAAGCATTGAACACCATGGCCAACTTCACGATAACCAATCTCAGTTGGCACAAGTGCTACCTCATTACTTATATTCAATATTATAAAAACGTTCAACGTAAATAATATCCCTGCTGAATATACAAGGGAAAAAAATAAAAATAATTTAAGGTTGCAAAGGTTTAAAATACTGTTACAGACATGAAGTGTAATTCTCTGGTTCTGGTGGTCTTGCGACAAAAAACATGAACTTGTGTGTTTTTATTGGCCCTGAAAATAACACGGCCCTAGTATACTTAAAAACTGAAAACATTATTTGATTATTCGACAAGCTTAAAATAAAAAGAAAGGGTATCTTAAGTCAGCGTTTTACATGTATCATATTTTCGAATCTCAGGGGTCTTACTGAATGACTTCAGACTTGCGTTTCCGCCCTTTCATTGGCTGCTGTTATTGCCAATACTTAACAGCATAGTTACGGTTCCTAAGTAAGGTTTGTTTTCAATTGAACGAGCTATTTTAAAAGATGGGCAAAATAGTATACTTCGAATACTAGTATGCTTCGAACAGTACTATCACGGGAACATAAAAATAGACATAAAGGAGAATCTAGGTAGTTTCCGCATGTTTAATTCCTACTATCTTCCAGCATGCTTCCAGCATTTTCTTTTCAATAATTTTCTGTTTATGTTTAAATTTACCTCTAAATCATTTCGCGTTCTTTGTCGACGTCTTATTTTTTCTCCGAATATCTAATTTTTACCCATAAAACTACTTATATTACATAGTTAGCTTTTTAAGGTTCCAACCTGATACGGGGAGCCTATATTAAGAGACGAATTCCATGAAATGCGAACTAGATCTGACAATTAGGCCTGGGCGGATTGTGCTAGCATAATTTTTGGCATAATTGGAGCAAAAAAGCATAATTTTTTTAAACGAGCACTGCCACGGCATAATTTGCCAATTTTAGCACTTTTTGGAGCATAAATTCATAAAATTTAGTAAATGTGGTGTATTTTCTACAGAAATAAATTAAATCAGCCGAAGCGAAGCAGGTTCTATTGGTGCAGCCTTCCTCTGCTGCAGCTGAGCGAGCCTTCTCCCTACTCTCAGCGGCATTTAGCGATCGGCAGGACAGCGCTCTGGCAGACTATCTCCAGGCCAGCGTAATGTTGCAGTACAATAAGCGCTGATATTGACTTGTGTATACTATTCTTATCCATGTTTATTCAAACAATTATTGGTGCTGAAAGAACTCAGAACTGTCAAGACAAGTTGATTTACTTCTTGGCTTGATACTTTCAACGTTATAGTTCGCTATAGTTTGAGTTAGTTTAAATCAAGAGAGTACGATATTCTTTTGGTTCAGTCAGTATACATGTATACAAGTATGACCGTTCAGTCGTTGAAGGCATTTTACAACCGGTTCAGAGATTCGAGCAGCTAATTTGGATAGCTGAGGGCCGAGACAAACTGCCATAAAACACAGAAAAATTTACAACAACAGTTTATTTGAAAAACATCATAATTTGGTGTCGTTATTGCGCGCCTATATGTACAGAATCTGTCATTTTGTGAGCATAATTTCGGAAATCAGGAGCATAATTTGGCAAAATTTCGAGCACTGCTAGTAGCATAATATGCCACATTTAGGAGCACAATCCGCCAAGGCCTACTGACAAGCACTCTTATATGCCCTCACCCCACCAACATGCGTATTTTGCCATAATCGAGCTTAAATCTTTGCCTTCTCATAAAAGCGGACCTTTCTAATGGCAGCAATATATGTTTGCCAGGTTTACGCGACTTCATTACTCGTTTCATGCTGAACTTCAAGTGACGTACTTTTTTCAGACCCTATGGTATTAAAAACGTTGCTAAGTGAGCAAGGTTGCCTTAGATTTTTTAAAGCCATTTTATACGGGAAAAAATGTAGAAGCTGCGATGGCCGAGTGGTTAAGGCGTTGGACTTGAAATCCAATGGGGTTTCCCCGCGCAGGTTCGAATCCTGCTCGCAGCGTTATCTTTTTTTGCTGCCTTTTTTAGTGAGCCCAATTAATTAAGTGATAAGCTGCTATCGTCACTATACATGGAAATTGAGCATATTACGAGGTACTTTGAGCAATGACCCGACCTCACTTCGTTGTCTGTTGATTCATCAGGGTTTTTTTTTTATCCTTACACCAAAGTATGGTAGCGATTCCCAGGTAGTCAGAAGATTACCGTCATGCTTAGTCAATTATTAAAGTTACAAAAAGTAAAAGTTACTTTTCTCTGGAATAACCGCTTTGCCGCCCCTTAATTTGTGCCAAAAATATATAAAATAAATCTTGACGCGGTTAAATTTAGTCAAATGTTCTACCACAAAGTGATTGCTTTCAGTTTACTCTGAAATTTTTAGGCTGCCATAACCACGGACACCGCTGATAACATCTGATCTAAATGTGGCGCACACTTGACACAGCCCTGCTCGGTAAGGTGTTATCTTGAAGGATGTTTGCACCTCCCTTCCTTCAGAAACAGTTGCACTAAAGTGAACGATAGAAACACAAATGTAAATATATCTTTTTAAAATGGTGTTCGCTACACGAACTGATTACAGAGTCATAAATTAAAACAAAAGGATACTTCCTAAAACGGCCTATACATAGGAGGAGGTTCTGCCCGAAGGGGGTGCCCAGGTACCGTCGGTTGCACCAAAGCGTTGTGGACGAGAGCCACAAAAAATCGTGTTCTAATAGGGTGCCAGATCTACGTAAAGCTAGACCTGTTCACAAGCTAGAATGTGAAGCCTATACTAAAAATCAGTGAAGAGATAATTTAATAGCGAACCACCATGGGTAAGAAAATTTGGTAATCTATGCATCCAAGAAATTTTGGTTCTGACCAAATCGTCCCTACGTACGTCCACCCGTTCAGGTAAGCGGAGGTGAAATTTTGCATTTCAAGTACCCGCGCGTTCGGCGGTACATCATATAGACACCCGGACTTTTTGAGATAAAAAACAACAACAACAAAGCCGATTCTTTCTTTCGAATTAATTTTAATGTCTTTATTGGCGTGTATAACAAAGAAAGAGCTAGAGCCAGAGATAAAAAAACAAAGGAGACCAATTTCGTTTGAAGAATAACATGAAAATTTTATAGCGGCGGTGCATGAGAAAATGAGAAATACTAGCGGCCACCAAGTTAAAAATGAGCGGCAGCGAAAAACGTGAACAGGACCACATATAAAATTTCCTCAATAAAACGTGTAACTCGGAAGTTTCTGGAAGTCTCACGTTGCCGTCGTGCAAAACAACCGCAAAGAAATGCACAAAAAAGTGTGCTCCAGGTGCAAAGTTGTTGTTGTTTTTTTTTGCTAATTAGACCTACTGTTTTTTGGCTGTTTTCGTTACCGTCGCCGCTTAGCATCACACGATTTTATATTTTGTTTCAGCAAACTATAGATATTAACGAGGGCTTCGCTTTTAGTAGCCTGCGAAAACATCCGTTTCTCCTTGCTTTCGCCGCTGGGGACGTCCCCAGCGGCGAAGAGCGAGGAGAAATGGCTGTTTTCGCAGGCTACGCTTTTAGCCCTGGCTAAATCTATACTTTGAGGCTAGTCTAGTTGAAAACTGCAGACAAAAAAGAAATAAAGAATTGATAAAAAAGTAAAAATACTTACGAGTTGGGGATAATTTTGCTCTTTGGATTAGCGCCCGAAGTCTCAATGTACCACTTTCCTCCTGTAATGTTTAGTGGCAAAGGATTTTCAAACGACAACTTGACTTCGAGGTCGTTGCCGATTCTGGGTTTACCACGAGTGACCTAAGTAATTGAATGAAAAAAATATATCATATTACTTAAAACCTGGGTAACATTTCGAAAGCATGTTTTGGCATTTTTCCGTCATTAGGGATAACTTTTCCAATTAACCAATTCTTTTAGCTTGGGGTTGAAAACGAATTATGAAAAAAGGAAAGATCGGAACGTAAACAAAGAAAGAGCTTTCTTTGCGCTGATTTTCATCTAATGGAACAATGAACAAATGAAATACATGAACAAACGTTTGTTATGCTGAACACTCGATAAATTATGTACGTCTAATTTCGGCATAAGTTACCCTAGGTAAGCTTGGAGCAGATTGCAATTGGAAAATGAAGTTCGAAGGCTTATACAATTTTTTATACAATTTTCAACTTAAAAACTATTTCCAAAAAATGCCTTTGAATTTAAACTGTCAATTCAGCAATTTACCTCTATCTCCATATCCGGTTTCTGGAACTCAATTATGTCATATGAAGCAAACCGCTGACCATTTTCCTTGACTGTCGCCTTGACATAAATCTTCAGGCCCCCGTCCGCTTCGCACTTGTCAAGATATAAGGCCGACGGGATCTCAAGTATAAAGGTTTTTTCTATACAAAAAAAATGATGGAAAAAAATAGATTATGCTGACTTGGCTCTCACAAAAAAATTACTGGTAAGTCATCACAATAATATTAACTAACTCACGATAATATTAACTAATAAGCCTTAAGCTACGTGCAAACAGACGCAACAACCCAACATTGTTTCACCTACAATGTTGCGTGTTTTTGCGTCCGTGTTGCAGTGGTGTGCAAACGGATGCAACAACTCCCAACAACACGCAACAACATGCAATAGGGTGTACAGACAGACAAAACATGCCATGTTAGTAACATCCAACAATGTTGGCAGTTCTTGGCCAAAACGTTACGTCCGTTTACACTTGTAGTTTAAGAAGTTCTGTTGTCTAGAGAAGCAAGAGACAAGTTGTTTACCATTTACATGGCCAAACAAGTCTGTACACGGTTTGCGTAAATGGTACAAAAATTCAGGACTGGTTAATTTCTTCCCCGAATCGCGTTGGCCATTTGTACAAATCGGTTCCATTTACCGAAAAAACGACTTACCGCGAAGGCCTGAAACTAGTATCAAAGATGGCTTTAAAGAAATGGAAAAAAATTCCCGTTTGGAATATTTCAGATGTTCCGTTGGTCCCGGAAATTTTCCGCCGAAACGATCCAGAAAGTCGTCGGTTCTATTTACTTTACAACCGGTTTTTTCGCAACGCAACCTCAGTTTTTATAAATGGTAAATAACCACTGTCAACCTCGTCACCTGGAGCGAGAAAGACGAGGAGACGAGAAGAAGAGAGAACGCGGGCGCGGACCTGCGGTCCAGCTGCGGTCCAACTTTTCACAAAAGGGAATGAAGAAATCAGGAATCACTAAAACGGATAGAGAAAGATATACAAAAGCATGATCCTAAAAGAGCAACAGACAAAAATGTTAAAAACTCTGGAATTCTACCCACCCTTCCTTGGTTCCAAAATCATGTCAAATTCTTCCTCCTTCAAATCTTTGCAGGGTATACCAGTGTAAAATCCAATCACTGCTGTCATTTTACCCTTAACTGTACGGCTCTGGTAAGTGGTGTTCTTCATCTTCAGTACCACACTTACATCCTTTCCTATGGGTACATCCTCCGGAAGATCAAATGTAAACTTAACGTCTTCAGCTGGTAGTCCATAAATTGCTTGGTCTTTACGGCTGCTGAATTTGTATGCCAGCTCCACCGCACGTCGCTCTGCTATGGAACCTAAGGGTAAAGAAAAAACATAATTAGTAAAATTCAACTAGATGTATATTATCAATGCTGCGTTCTGATTGGTTGAGCTACTACTAAGCTATATGTTATAGCCCACTAGTAGCGAAAAGCGCCGGCTTTGAAAACCAAAACAACGGCTGAATCTCATTTTACTAGCTAAAGTTGTTTTGTCTCGATATTTTTGACCAACCAGTTGGATTTTACTAAAACAATTGTTCCTCTCGCCCTCATGGCCTCTGAGTCAAAAGCCCATTCGGCCTTTGGCTTCATGGGCTATTGACTCAGCGCCCGTTCAGGCTCGAGAAATAATTGTTAATTATTGCATATGAATCTGAGGCCTGCAGTATGTAATGTCCAGTAATGTTGATTTTCTTCTTTCTGTTCTCGATAGCGTTAGTTAGAGCGAACACGTTTTTACCTGGCGCCAATATACGCTTCTAAAAAAATCTAAAGTCGGCCGCTGAATTATATGAAACGTTTTCTTAAAGCATTTGTTAACGCACATGTTTAACTTATTTTTTATCAATTTAGGCAATTTCTCCAGCTTTTTTAATGATCAAAGGATTCAGCATTTCCAAGTGACCTGCAATGTTGAAAGTTACGGCCGTGATACCTTACAAGATTTCTTGAAATTACCACGAGTTTTATAGCCATTCGTGGAAGAAAACTGAGGCGAAATTAAATACGTTTATGGCATTGTAAGTTGTACTAGAGCGTTAGTTAACACAAGATTATTTTGGCAAACTTATCTGTCGATTTCAAGGGTAGACTGTTCAATTCTAGGCGTTCAGGTAGTGAAGACGGGGCAAAGAGACATTTCTTCACCCTTCGTATCTCATTTTCCGCCGCGGCTAGCTATGATCTGAACTCCTCACACAGGCTACTTTCACGGAAGACGAGATAATTAATGGGGGATCGAGCTTCCATTGGCCCTGGGCGGCGACAGTAGGAACAGACAGTTACAATAAACAAGGTCTCGAATGCTTAAAGCTAATATACCTTCAGGATCTTTGTACTCGTGAGTTATGTCTTCTCTGTCGTCGCTCCCAACCGCTTTAGTGCTGATCAGCTTCCCAATGCATTTCTTATCTACACGAATAGGTTTCATGGGGCCGCCTTCTTCCACTTCCCAAAATACTCGATCACCATTCACCTCAGCGAACACGAAGCTGGTATCATACGGTAAATATACCTCTCCTTGTTTCACGGCTTTCACCGAGGCTGGACCACATCGAAACACTCCTGAAACCGTGTAAATCATTTTGAGCTTTTGAATAATCTGAGATCAGGCTCTTTTTTGGTTTTAGCGCAACCGCGAAAGAGAGAATGCTAAAAGAATGGGCCTGACCTCAGGTGAGCTTATAGAGATAAGTACTTCTTTTCTGAAATATTAATTTTGTTTTTTTAGAAAATGTATAGCTCTTTCACACAGAGCAAAACTGGCTTCTTGAATAACTTGACAATTTACATGGCAAGTATGAAGGCCTTACTAAATCTGTTTATTCACTGCAATATATAATCGGGCATGAGTTGACTTCTAATGTGACTTCAGTACTTAGGGGTAAGAGAATAAAGCCATAGGACTGGTGACATGTAACAACAGCGTTGTATTGTGTTTTTCACAGTTCTAAGGCATGGATTTGAGTCCCTAAAACTGAAAAACACGAAAAAGACTTTTTCTTATTTCTAGATGACCTTCAAGTATAACTGAAATTCTTGCTACATTTGCCACTGTTTTTCTTTCAATAATAGGAAACAAAACTATAAAATATTAATATATCGTTCTCTCTTCTTACCGTAACTAGTTTCTTGGGGCGTGGCATCATGCGCTTGCCACCCATCATGCCCGTCTGGTAAATCAGGGCGCTTGAACCATGACTCGTTCCACACGTGAAAGTTCCTAAAATCAGGCCAGGAATCAGAATTCGCATACCACTCTTCCGTTACACACTGACCAGCCTCATATCTACCGAAACTGACTGAGGGTAAAGACGAGTGAGAGAATGGGGAAAGACACTAAATCTCGATTGTTTTTCTCTTGACTAGCTCGTACCTTGCTTCACAGCGCGGCGCTCTTTTCGACAGCCAGGTTTGAGAGAAATTCGACATTGTTTACATTTTACAGTTTTGTATGACGCAGGCTTTTGAGAGGTCAGTGCATATTAATCTAGCTTATTACCAAATAGAGTCGTCCAATTCCTTCAGCGGCTTCCCATCCTCATCAAAATGGAAGTCTATTGTCATGCTGGCATCCGAGTCATGAGCCGAGGCAAAGTTTGTCACTGAGCGAGTTGGTATTCCGAGGGCTCTTAATACTGAAAAAGAAACATTGGTTTGTCGGAGAAAAATTTGTGAATGACTGCTATTACCTACGTAAACCTGCATCTTTTAGGTCCACGAACAGCAATGGTGGAACACACTCAGTTATTACTGTAGCATACTTACTGTCGTTGCATTTTACAGTTGAAGAGAATGGAGAGCTTTTCCTCCACTAGGGTAACAGTTTCAGCGGAGTACTATAGCATTGTAAAAAGGAATTAATTGTTGAAAACGCTGAATAGGGGTAAACTATGATTCGTCAGAATAAGACAAAAAATGTACAAATAAACGAGCACAGATTTATTTCAATTAGTTCGATAACGCTTTCTTAATTGTGTAATTAACTGTTTTAACTTTGTTTTTGTTGCCTGGGTATAATATTGTCTGCTCTTCGATTCTAGCCTGTTCCAGGCTCCGAGATGGTCGGGTCCGGTGAATTAGAGACCTTTAGATTCTACGACGAGTACGACACTACGAGTACGAGATTTTCTCAATACTAAGTAGTGCTCGCGCGTGATGCAGCGTCATTTTGGCGGGAAAACGTGGTAGCCGTCGTCGTTCTACTACGAGTTTTAGCGAGAATGTCGAAGTGGCGGAAACGAGTTATCAAATGTTAGAAGTTTTAGCGTTTTGTAATCGGGAGAGAGGTCTTAACCTCCTTCAATAACGATAACAGTGCTTACTTTTCTGGTGAAAAAAAGCGCAATGAAGAGTTCCGGGGGGTCTAGCTATTTTTTGACAATACGCGAAAACACTTTCAATCAAATCTCGTACTCGTAGTAGTTCTCGTCCTTGAATCTAAAGGATTGAGAAAGCGCGAAACACGGAAATATAACGGAAGGAAACGGGGTCCTAATCCTTTTTCCCGCCCCGCCATCTTTTCGTGTGCCTTTCACTTTCGCGTCTTCCACACTACCTGAGAGCCTGGAACGGACTACCGCTCTTCTAGGGTTGAACGTAGTTTTGCCTCGTTTTAATTTAGATCCGTAAAGCCATTATGGTCAAGAGTCACATTACATGGACCTTTGTCGCTCCTTCTTCGTTTCAAGTTTGACTGCATCAGTGGGGTCATAATAGAATTAACTGTATTTTTATACATACATGTTGTAACAAGTCCTGAAAAAACCCAGCACTGTCCATACTTAATATCACACTTCTTCTTCCAAAACTGTTCCAAGATGGCCACACTCCCTGACCAGGATGTTGGAGCCGTCGTGTCTCTGGGATAGTTACCATCCCAGCGACCGTGAAGAACGCCACCGTCTTGGTCATTAAAGTTTGCCTACCATAACGGGAAGAAAAGGACTTATTTAATTTCACAGAGAATATATATATCAGCCAAGTACTACTCAAACACAACTTTATTTTTTTTCCTTAACTACAGTCCACTTGATAACGAAATTTACGAATTTTCCTCATAAGAAATAATTCGAGAAACAAGAGCAAAGATCTGGTTAGTTAAGTATTGTTATTTACAACAACAACAACAACAACAACAACAACACTTTATTTCACCCCATAATATACAAGAAATAAAAATTTATAACAATAGTACAGACGATGATAGGGGCGCTGGCTGCCCGAAATAACCTAAGAGTTAAAAATGCCAGGCAGCCAGTTAAAAGAAAAGATGTTTAAATGTTTAGGTCAGGGACACAAGAACAAAGAAAACAGAGAAACACACACAAATAGTTAAGTAAACTACCAGTATATAAAGAGACTAAAATTCACACAATACATATTTAGTTCAGTTGTATTGGATTTTAGTCAAGTTTGATAGTTTAATTAAAGTCAATGTCAAACGTTACGTCCAAATATTTTCAATTTCAGCCACATGAAAAAAAAAAGTGCTTCTTTCGGGTTAATTTGCAATTGCTTAAGTTGCAATTACCACTGCGACGATAATATCTTCATTTAAAAATGCTTATTATGTCCACACTTAACAAATAGTTTCTTTCAGTTTCATCCATAAGGATTACTTTGACATTCTTTATTTAGTGGAGATTTTCTCAACTTGGTTCTAATGTTTGCCGTTTACTGTAAACTTGATTCTAAAACTCTGTATTATATCATATCGTTTTAACTATTTTCTCCTGGATAGCTTCATGAGTGGTGAAGATGATGGAAACACATTCTGTGTTCTCATCGGTTACCCAAGAGGGCAAGATGGGCCTTTCTTGCTCGCTCGAGTTTGCCCCTTTGTTCTAATTCAATGGAAAAAATTCTTCTTAACATTCAATAAATGTTTACCAAGCTTGATCAACCAAGGTAATTGTCAATTCGCCTCATTATTTCTTACTTTTTTTTAATAAACCCGCACTTAGTCACGGTTCATAACACTTCAAAATATTGGGCCAATATAGGGCCAAGCATGTCTTCCTCAAGGTTTGTCGTGAAACCAATAATTTATATTCATATAGTAGTCTTACCATGGCAGAGATACTACGTGAAACCCTGAGAGGATTTGCGCGCGCAGCCGTCGCAAGCTGGGCTTTGTCCATCAGCCACAAACAAGAGTTAAGAGACACATCTTCGAACTGAAAAGGACAAACCAAAAAGGTGGAAAATTAAACTTGCTTCCTTTTATTTCTTCTGACCTGACCGTTTAATGAGTGTTACGGAGCCCATTGGAAATTGCAGCAGAGAATTTAAATGTTAAGTTTCCAGCGGTTTTACACTTTTCTTGTGATCTTTTCAGGCCTGAAATTAAGGATTTCGACCATATTAAGATCTGCCCAGAAGTCTCTAAGGATTATGAAATCTCAGTACAGCGACGACTCAAATAGAAGTGCAGGGTTTTTAAGGCTCGAATGTTTTACATCAAACTAAGCGGTGTCTTTTATTAAAATCTAATTTGAATTCTACCTAATGAGCATTTGAGCTGAATCATTAGCAATACCAACTGCACGGCAAATGTGCACTGAATTCACGTAGTTCAAGTAAAATTAATTGAAGTGTTCTCATCTCATACCTTTTCTGGATAATATTTGCTGTATTTCTCCTTGAAAACTGTTAGTTATTGTGATAAGTACTCAAGCGAAAGGAAGTTGTACTCATTTGCGGACTTTTAATGTTTACGTTTTGAACTATCAATGAAGTTGTAAAATGGGCATTGCTAGCTGTTTTGATCTCTGAGAAAATAAACGAGCCGGCAGCGCTTCAATAAATGAAAAATTTCATTTTTGTTTTTCTAATTAAATAAACGTTACCAACAGTACACCCTATTGGGTGTCATTTACCGTTTATTTTATTTTTATTATTTTTTTTTCTTTGAACACTCTTCGAATTGTTGCGCGAAACCGTTCGCTCGTCCATAATGAGTCGCTCTTCCACCTAAAAATCTCATTGACCAAGGATTTGTCAACAAAGCAACTGATAAGTTGGTGGTCATCGACAAAAGCTAGAGTGTCCCTGGAGGGATAAAGAGTCAAGTACTATTCTGTTGTCAATGGAGTAATAATCAATTTGGTAGCCCCTCCATATCGACAATATTGGGCTTAACAACGACGACGGCGAGGGCAACGAGAACGGCAAAAAAAAAACAACAGGTTTGGATTGGCGAAACAACAACTTTGCACGTGTATCACGCTTTTTTGTACATTTCTTAGCCGTCGTTGCACGACTACGACGTGAAAGTGCAGAATAATTTCACGTTTTTTCCAGGACGTGAACACAAGGCCACAACTTTCTTTGTCTTTTCTTGAATTTTGATAGAGTCCTTTAGAATTCAACTCCAAGGAAATTTGCCAACATTCGACGAATAAAACGAGATGGAACAAGCGCGATAAAGTTTGAGACAGCGCGAATTCACTTTTTAAGTGACGTGTTCATAGCCGTCGCCGTTGTCATTGCTTATCCTAACCGACACGAACCTGACCAAAGTTCCAAGGCATTCCACAGTGTTTCCTGGCTGTTCCAATCCAAATGAGCCCGCTGTCATTCAGTACGTACTCTTCGCGCAAGGCCTCCTGGTCCAGATATACAGAATCCTCTGGCCAACGTATTCAAAGCAAATAAAACAATTTCATTAAACTTTGACAGGAAAAACTAACAGGCAACGAAAACTGTGAAAGAGTACAGAATGAATATACGCGAAGAAGACAAATGGAAAATAAACCAAATAAGTCAAATCAAAACGGGGACTCGTTGTTCCTCTTTGTCTTCAACGTAAATTCAATTTCTTGTCTTCCGTTCGTTCAACTGGTCTGCACACCAGAGCTTGTACTTTTAATCTTCAAGTTCCATAGCCTTGGTCTAATTCTGGAAAGCGCACTTTGCTTACTCTTTTTAATTGCCTTGACAGTGGTCTTAAGCAAATAGCGTGTGTATCTCCTTCTTGTATTATATATTCATTTAGATTAAATAATTTTAAGCATAAACTCTTTATCTTATTCCTTAAGTTTGCTAGTAACGTTTCTCGTCTTGAAGAATTAATGTGTTATGATTGTCGTTTATCCCTTTATTGTAACTGTATTAGAAGGTAATTAGTTTACATCATCTTATATCTTGTTAAACCATACATTTGTCTAGTTCTATGTCTTCGCTTGTTGTAGTCGTATATTACTGATTAGGCATTGTTTTTATATGTGTATTTTGAATTGTTGTGAAGGCCGTAAGTTAGATAACTCATTGGGTTATTACGTCACCTTCGTGAAATAAAAAATATTGTATTGTATTGTTTTGCACCCAAAGACATGCCTAAATTGAGCGAAGGTAATTGTCACACCAGTAACCCCATTTCTGTTGTCCTAAGTTAGAAAAAAATACTTTAATGCAATATTTTTCTTCGGCTAAGAATGCTGTGCGGTCATTAAACCAATCAAAAGCCGCGATCGGTTTGAGTCTGTTTGCTAAAACCTGCATATTCATGTATGTTGGTCGTGCATAATCATTGTAAGACCAACGAATATGACATTACTAGTAAATATAAGCAAAATTGTCAATTTACTGACCTCTGCACCATGGATTAAACAACACAATGATATCTTCAGGATGCTGGTAACGATACTCCTCCGGCTTGTCTGAACCACGAATTGTGGTCTTCGTTTCGACATAGAGCTGATATTTTCCAACAACTGCATCCACTGGTGAAGTCACTTGAAGGCGCACACTTTCTTTATTGACTTGAACGAGGTTCGCTGACCATGCTTTGTAAACCCTTTCTTTTGTGAGACTTATAGGCACCCGAATGACCGATCCTTTGCTTTGTTGAGGGCGGTACCCTGACAAATAAGAAAATAAAAAAGGCGTAAAGGGGTTCCACTACACAGTACCGCCAAAGCAGCTTGACGCCATTACAACGAATTTTGCTAAAATGGCTCAAATGGGACCAAAATAGTCTTAAACAGACTGTAGGACTAATGGCGCGCGCTTCCTTGCTAAGTAAGGAATCAGCAAGCCCGGAGCACGATATTTGATGAGTTAGCGCAATATAGGGTCTAACCACGGATCTTTTCTACTAATGCTATTAGCTCTCCTAAAGACCACGGTTTTCACATGTCCTTGTGTACAGAATAAAGATTACAAGTACTGACTAGAACTGACAGAAAACTGTCTGGTCTCGTCTCCTCAGTAAGGTGTGAATAAGCTTTGAACAGTTCCATTGTGGCCAGTGTTATCTATCCAGCCATTTTCCCACAACTGTGGGAGAAAGTGTTTAACCCATTCACCTGCGATAGTTGTTACAGTGTGTTAGCAACACGGCAATTACATATCATTCAACCTTATCTTGAGGGTTTCCTAGCCTCCCCTGACTTCAAGTCTGTAGAACCTGGGAAAAACGCTACTTACCAACAGCAAACTGTAGGGTGATGACGTCTCTCCTAGCGTCATAAGCTCTGTTAAACGTTACTGTGACGTCAAAGCTCTGTCCCCTCCTCACAATCAAGTTAAAATGCTCATACTTATCAGTGTGATGACTGCGACGATTGTCCTTCTCGTGCAAATTTATTTCTTTAGGTATCAGTTGATCGACTGCGAAGTCAAAAGAAACTTATAGTCTAACTTTTGTATTGGTAAATCAACTCATAATATCAACGTTCAAGCCTTAGTAAATAATAGTACTGGGACTGAGTGGATTCCAATTCGACTAGAAGCACGAGTATTACAGATCGAATTGTACGACAAGAAGTACTGTTACCAATTAATCATAACCATAAAAATATATTTTAGCCTTTTTTAAAACTAAAGCACAAGAAATTCCGAGAGTGAAAAAAAAGCCATTTAATCGCGCACGCGTGATGGCCCGTACTGTCCAATTACTTAGGCATGACGGTTACTGTCTTGTTACACGTGTCCTATTTATTAGTGCTGAAACCAGGACGGTTGATAGCCAATCAGATTTGAGATTTTTTTTATAGTTATGATTAACGTAATACTGTTTTAGCACGAGGTCTGAGTGGGACTAAAACGCACGTTCGTATCACGCCTGTCCTTAACCTGGTTTTCACTAGCGCATATAAGCATAAGTACAAGCACAGTCATGTGTAAGCAAGCGAAAACTGGGTCGACATATGTATAAGCAGTAAGCACAGGAAAAAAGGACAAGTTCCTCCTTCTCGTGTGCTTATGCTTTTGTCGAATCATAGGTCACCTTGACCCATACCTCATGCGAGCATATCAAAAGCAATATGGCGGACACTTCGTCCGCCATCGTTTTTATCATCGGGTTGGGGAGAGCTGGTATCGAGAACTGAGTCAAATATGCCATTCTGCGCGTGCGTATGTCCTTATTCTTATGCTTTAATGCGCTAGTGACTGAACCAGGCTTTAGAGTCTATCCCATTGCCCGGCTCTGCAGGCATAACCTGTGCATAACCTTTTAAAGCCTCCGGCTATGTACTCATCCCGCCTTACTGCAGAAAAACTCTTAAATACTTTTTAGGATGTTAACGTAATAGTTTTAGAACGTAAGAAACAAAGCTCCCTTTTCAATCTGTGTTCATCTTTTAGTTATAAAAGACAGATTTAAATCGATCCTACCATGGTCCGTTTGAACGTTAACGTAGATGGTAAACAAAGAAGTAATCATGAACTTAACCAGAATCGAAAAGCTGATATCATTCCACCGACAGAGAAATTAAAACTAACTTGACAGCATATCGATGATCAGATTTAAATGACGATTGAATGAATGAAGCTTTATTTAATCTCGGGATTGATGAGGTTGGTTAGACCACTAGCAATAATTAAATGAGCTAATAAGCCGAGGAAAAGCAAATAAATAAAATTATACATAGGTAAAAGGGAAAAATTCATTTACAACAAAAGATATAAAGCCTACATTACGCAATATTGCAATTTACAATAAAAAGCAAAACACCTGATAACGTGGCGAAAAGCTGGAAAACACTCTCTTACCAGACTTTTGTTGGTCAGACTTCCGAAGCGCCTTATTTTTATCCATGAAGTCTTTATCCGAAGCAACATTTCTACGGCCTCCAACTTCATCGCAGCCTAGCATACGGTATCTTGCTCTCTCAGCTTCAGATCTGGTATGAAACACTTTTGATTACTGACAGATTAACTGAGAAATCGGCACATTCCATTCGTCGTGAGAAATGGCAGCGAAGGCCAACGCGCGCGAGACGAGCTAAGTTTTATAAAACTGTCAACCACAAACCTGATAATTTAAACCAAATCTACAGTTAACCTGAATCAAGATTTGACTAACGTTTACCTTAAACTAAGTCCATAGATGTCGCGCATACCTGCTATCATGATCCTCAATTCGATTTCCTTCATTAAACTCTGTCTTTGCGTGGAAATATACTGACGTAGAGTAACCAACAATGGGTTTGAGGTAGATTAACCCGATCTGCGACTTGTACAATGAGCTACGGTAGTCTCTACTATGAATATCAAGAACGTCATTTTTACGCGAGCGTCGATTACGCTTCCTGATATCTGCACCCTTTTCAAGTTCGTCTTCGGAAACATCATCTTTAACTCGAATTGCTTTCAAAACTCCCGAGTTTAGGGTCCCTCGTCGCACGCTTTCGTATTGAACAACCGCAAAAGTTGTCATTTTAGCAGCGGCAGTAGTTGGAATGAAAGTTTTGGTTTGACTTAGACTTTGAATTGAAGTTAGCTTTCTCCACTGGTCTTTCAAAATAGTGGTATGTTTATGCGATAGTTTTAAGACTGGTTACTTAGCAGGAGGTATCTATTTATTTTGATACTCTTCCCAGCTGTTTCAAGACAGTTTTTGACACTGTTGGCCTGTTCTCAAACATTTAAGTTCGCAAATTCTTTTTTTTTTTTCAAGATAAAGCTACAGCGCTCTCGCTAAAAATTTTTTATACGACACCATTCTGTAGTTCCGCTCCTTGAGGCACCAAGGAGAAAAATTCAATCCACTGCATTCTCGTTGTTGCACGCTAGACAAGACAAGGGATGACATTCAGCGGTCAAAGCTACCTGTAATGGGGTGCAGTGAGATAATTGGCTGCGAGAAATAAATAATTCTGTGGTAGGCATGCAGTTTTAAGGACAAATATAATTTTCAGCCTAATTGTTTAAGCTTTGGGAAATTCTTTAGTTGAATTTATGTTGCGTTTATCCAAATTAAATTTCGTCAAGTTGACTTGAATTGATTCGTCAATTATATTGAACATTTCTTTCGCTGTCTGATTATCGAGGCGTATACCCAAAGCGATGTTCACAAGCCAAGAAATCGGGCTATTGTGTTTTTTCCCCACGAGTGAACTTCCACTCCAAACCAAATATTTTAGCAAAAAATATTTATTCACCTGTGGTTCGCGTGTTTATCAGTAATGCTTTGGAATTTACTTACAGTATGAAATATCAATAGTAGACAATAGTCTATTGGTAACCGAAAAGCTTATCTCTGCAACGAAGCAATAAACCGCGGAAAGAAAAGCGTAAAAAGAAAAAAGAAATTGAATATACCTAGCGTCTTTAGACGAGTTAAAACCGCTACCACCGCAAATCCAGTCGTTGAATTTCTCCTGGGGTTGAAAATACAGGGTCACTGAATACCCCACTACTGGTTTCAAGTACACCAATCCAATCTGTGACTTGTGAATTGGAGTTTCATTCTCGCATCCATCCTTCTTAAAAATAGTCTCACTTATGCTTAAATTATGCTTTTTAGTTAAAACATCTATCTTTTCTCTCGAGTGCCAGCGTTCAAATGACTTTCGAAAATAGACATTTTTTCGATGTGATTTCGACATCTTTAAGCTACCTCAAGTGTTTCTCCTACTGGTGGCTTGTTAGAAAAATCTCTTTGAATATCATATAACCCGGTCACCGTGTAACAAAAGCTTTATTACTTCTAATTATAATGTTAGCAAATCCAAACTCCTGTTGTCAAACAAGCAGAAGCAAGCAGCTTTCGACTGTGTTCAATACCACAACCAGTTAGACGCCGTTGTTGTGAATTCTGATTGGTTTACGTGTAGTTAGCTTTGAGGGTTACAAAGTGAGATTAAAGAAATTCAACAGCTGTTTTCTTAAAGCGTGGTTTATATAATTACAGAGTATTAATCTGCTAAATCTTCTTCTCACTCTTAGCTGATTTAGAAATGAGTGAAGAAATTAAGTAAAGCTTCTGGAAAAAAGATTTTTAATTTCTTTCTTTAAGTTTGCATTTGCACAGTGTTTTACGTGCTCGAGACTTACAGATAGCAATTGGGAGAGACTATAAGGACGTTAAAAGCTTGGCCATATGATCAAGACCAGAAAGGAAAAATGGTAAATGTTCTCATAGTCGAAAAAAGGTATCATTCTAATTACAATGCAGTACCGCGCAAGGACCACTTGGTCAAGCCTTATCTCATGTGTAGATCATGCAAATAGCAAAAATATTGAACAAACATGGCAAGGTCGTAATTACCTTAAAGAATTTTGACTGTTTTTTGCCAATTTCTTATTAGGCATATGTCACCAAAACACTGAGTAGTAAAGAAATAAAACCACGCCGTTGCTTTCTATTCCATTGCACTAAAAATCCATCTAAACCATATAAAAATAAGATTTTTTTAAATAAAAATTATTTATAAATAAGGCGAAGGGACTAATTATTCTGACCAGATTAAATTTGAATGGGCTATTATGATTTTACGGGAAAAAATTTAACACGACGTTTTCGCCCTTTTCATTTAAAGCAAATTATTTTCTCTTCACTTGTTTTCTAAGGGGGTCTTCATATGAGCCGGTCGGGTTAGCGGGACCAATCTGAATCCCCACATGGTTACCGGCTATACGAGATTTCAGCCCGGTTACTGATTCGTATATACAGTAATGTATTATTGATCAAGCTTGTTAGGTTAACCCTCGGACTTCTTACGTTAACCCTCGGACTTAGGGTGGGAGGGGGGGTTTCTCGTTCTTGCCACCCCCCTCTGGAGGTTTTTAATTGAGTTTATTTTCCTAGGCGATAAAACATCAGCACCTTACGTTTTCGTTAGCTGTTCGTTAATCCCTCGCGTGCATTTTGAAACACGTTTAATGATGGTCAGTTGATATGGTTACGAGATATGACATCATAAGTAGCAGGTGGTCAAGCCATTTTTGAGTAAAAATGCAAGTTTTTCAACTTCTTTCAACAATAAAAGGAAAGCTTTTAGATGAAATGATGCAAAGTGCTTATTTATGTGTTATTTTACATGTCAAGCACATATCGCGGTTTTAACCTGATTTCTAATTCTTGGTAAAATCCAAGATGGCGACCATTTTTTGGTGACGTCACAGACCTTCAGCAGCACCCTCCATAAAATTTACCTCATCCTTTTGAAAAGATCAAAGGCTTTCCACTGAAGGCAAAATCGTCTCAAAATACTGCAACATATCAAAAACTCGGGGTAGGGGTTCTAATACCCTCCCCCCTTGTATTACGGCGGGAGTATGAATTTGCGGGTACGTCCGAGGATTAAGATCTCTAGATGTTAGCCAAGTTCGTTTTTTCCGAAGCTATCAACCGAGACGAAGAAAAGGGTAAATAAAAAAGCAAAAAATAAAAGAAAATATATCCAGGTATCTGACTGAATGAGCTTCACTGGTCAATAATTTATTTTATGGTAATGAGCGAACTTTTTCTTTTGGGACCAATGGCGGCGAGAAATCCAAAAGGGGCCAAGCTGGGCCCATTAGCCCGCTTTTTAATACATATTAGCACCATCATTAAACATTTTAACAAAGGGAAGCTGAGTTGTGAAAAAAAACTAGGAAACTAAGCAAATATCACGTAAAATCGCCTAAATATCTTTCCGGAAATTCTCAAAAAAATGTCTAAATATCCCAAAAGATTTTCTAAATATCTCGAAAAATCCTCTAAATATATCAATATATATATCGTACTTTTGTTTTAAAAATAAGCCGAAACAACATGGATGCAAAGTTTAATGTTTTCTCACTAACAGGTTAAACCTGAGTTGGTGTGTCTCTCATGTACATAGCGACTATGACTAAGACAGAGTAACAATCCTTCTTATTAATACACATATCCGCTCTACTTTAAGAGAATAAAATGCAACCTGAGGAAACCCCTGAGACTGAAAACTTAACAAAAGGAGGAAACATCCTTTACCGACTTTGAACCACGTGACCGTAAATTGGCGTACACTCTAGTGATATGGAATACATTATTCAAGTGGGAAACCGCTGAACTTTTCTGTCAAGAAAATAGCGAGGAAAAGCTGGAAAACAGCCAAAAAAAGCTTTAAATTTTTCTAAATATCCCCAAATTTTCTAAAAATTTTTAAATTTTCTAAATATCTCAAAAAATATCCTAGCCTAGTCCTTCCCGAGAAAAAAACGCGGAGAATCGCGGGCTCATTTCACGATCAGCGTCTAATAATCGAGACTAAGTTTCCTAGGGCTAATATGAACAGGCTCTAATATATTGTTAGAATCAAAGTTACCTCGGAACACTGCCTGAACTGGAGGCTACAGTGCGAAAACCAACAGAAGAATACCTTTCGGAACTCGGAAACGTTCGTGATGAATATGAGCTGGCTCTTGAGGGCTCCGTAGACCTGGTATATTCAAATGGCCGTCCTGACAAAGTATATGACGAAGTCCTGAAATACCGCAAAAACAAATTGCACTCTGACAGTTAATGATCATGATCAGTTATATAAAATCTATATTTTAACCCACAGCCGCATGAGATATAATATGACGCTTTTAACCATATACTTTGGCTAGAATGACATTCAATTTGCAAGCTCTATGTGTTTTTCAGTAGCTATCTGGTAATTCTGGTATCCTGCAGATGCTTTGTCCAATGTATTGAATGACTAAAATCAAGATCATTCCCTCTTGCTAAAATTTCTAATTGACACTGCTAGAGCAGAATCATATGTTTTTATGCAAAAGTTGACCTGTAGTATTCTCAAGTAAAACCATAAAAGTTTAAGCGGCCATGAGTGTTTCCCAGCAAGCTATATAACTCAAATCTCGTGTATTCACCAGGCTTAAATTTACCATCACGTTTCTATCATTGCACATAAGCACGTATCGACATTCCAGTCCTAGGATGTTTGTCACACTGTGAAACTAGCTTAGCGGCCTCACCTCAATCTTACTAGTCTGATCTAGTGAAGCTTAGTAGACAGTTTAAGCATCACGTATACGGCAAACGGCAAACATCAGATTCAAGTTGAGGATTTCTCAAAATAGAAAATGAGCAGATAAAATCAGCTAAATACAATTGCGTGAAACTACTATTTTATGTGTTTAAATAATGAACAGTAAACCACAAGTAAAGGGAAAACGTGTTCGCGAATTCGCGTTTGCTGTTAAGGCGTACACGTGATGCTTAACCTCTCTTAAATGACGGAGCATCTGGAAACCAAAAACTCATAGGTTCGAGTCCTGTCGGGAATACTCGGATTTTTCTTCCAAAATAGACTGTTCTAGGCGTTCAGATGGTGGGGAGTGAGTTCAATTGTACACGGGATTTTTTTTCCTTTCAATTTTTCGCCCGGGCTCTACTATCTGAAAGCCTGGAACAGACTATCAGTAGTGTCACTGACTGAAAAATTATTTTTCTCATATATATTCACCAGGCTTAAAATTGTCCATTTATATTAAGTTTGTATCATTTCGCAAAAGCGCAGATCGACATTCCTGCTCTAGCAGTCTGCAGGACGGTTTTGTTCATGAACCTAGTTTTAATTAGTGCTGTTAGCTTCCACGAGTCTTCTGTGTCCCAGTGGTAGAGCATCGATCTGAACGAGAACCAAAAGGTCAAAGGTTCGACTCCTGTTGCGAGTAATTTTTCTTTTAAGCCGCATGTGCAACTGACTGAAAATCACTTTTCTAGCCTTTTCAACTGCTTAATATTTATGGTACATAATTATGCCCGTACGTACCTTGGACTTTGATAACTTGTTGAAGTTCTTGTTGTAGTGCTTGTTGTAGTGTTGTTACTTGGCCTTGTTGTGTTGTCGGTGGCCGGTGATGGTTGGGCAGTATAACTGGGAGAATATGGCGACACATTTGACAAGGCAGCCGCTGGTCCTGTAGATTCATTCTTTGGCTCACTGTAATCATACTCCCGCCCTGATCTCAAGAGATACGCCCTATGAATAAATTAATAAATTTCGATGCTAATTATGACGCTTATATTGCACTGCATCGTGTCACGCGAACTACAGTTATGAAAAATAAATTCACCCGAATGGTAGTGTTTCAAAAAGAGTATCCTTTGTAGTTTCGACTAGGGCCAAAATTGCTAGTTTGATATTTTTACAAAACATAGAACTCTTTGTTAGAAAAAATCGTTAACGTCAAACGGACTGATTTTTCTACCCTTTGATTATTGAATTCGGTGATGCTAAAATAAAAATACTTGCACTGAAATTTTGATCAACGAAGGAATTAAACCTCCGAGACAGGAGGCTCTTTCGACTTGCTGTAGTGGAAATAGGTTCCAGGACTTCATTTCAAACCGAAGAGGAATAAATTTTGAGAACCACATGGGAACAGTTTGAAAATCCTTACATAACCAGTTCATCCTAGTGGCAAGTGGCAGGATAGAAAAACAATATCAATTTGAGCGAATTCAAATGACCTCCTTTGAAGGCCCTCGGGTAGCACTTGAAAACTCAGACTTATATTTAACATTCTATTTTTCTTTTTTTTTTCCTAAGGAAAAAGCAATTCTTTATAATTTAATGCCAACTTATTCTCTGTAGAATCGTTTAATCCTTATATGGCATATACTGTACAATCAGAATACTGTACTCTGCCATAACTCACACCATCTTTTAAAACGAGGATATAGTTTTCTTTAAGCAAATCATCTACTGTTTTACGACTATATAATATTCATAAATAGTAATCTATTTTCGGATAATATATTTTTAGCCGTTTATTGCTTTACACCTGTGCCAGATATAAATTTAATATACATAAGGGTAAGTATATTGTGTTGTCTTGATCGATTTTAGGCTTTTGAGCATTTATTATTAGAATATATATATAAACTGTGTGGCACGAAATTATTGCGGGTTCTAATGTTTGGGATTTTTGCGATTTTTCCAGCGATCCGGTCTGAAAATAAGTTACCACAAACATTTTTCCCGCAAAAATTTACTCCAGAGTGAATATTCTCTACCTTAATCTCGCTACACAAAACTGCAGTACTAAGCAATTGTATCTGTTCAATTACAACTTGTCTCTTTCGTTCAGAAATAAAATGATTAAAATGATGCATGAGCAAAACCATCATTGGTTTTTGCCGGGTCACGCCCACCGTGGTATTGTTTGTATGTGTTTTCTTTGCACGTACTCAATAAAAACGACAATGTTATCAATGATTTGTCCGGGACTTCCTGAAAAATGCAAAAATTAATTCCCAGCAAGAAAAACCAATCTGTCCTAATCGCAAAAATTAGTTCCCGCAAAATACAAAAACTTGCCAATCCGCAAATGAAAATAAAGGCCCGCAAAAGTTTCGTGGCACACGATATTGGGCAAAATCAGTTTGAGATAATCTTAACTTAATAGACAATCGAGCCGCAAAAAAGGTAGTCAATCTTAAAAAAATCAGAGCAGATCCTAAAATTTTAGTGACTCTGTTCCGGCTAGATTTGGCTACAAACTGACGCAAAATGTACTATAACTGATGAATTGTTTGAAGAAATGAAAACTAATTAAAAGACTTTCTCTCCTCAAGGATGAATAACAAAACGTTAAATGAAAGAAAGGGGAGAAGAGAAAGGGAATCGCTTGTACAATTTTGCGGTCTGCCATGATAATACATCTTTAAGCCTTATTAATGGCAATAGTTCGGTTAAGATTCGACGAATTTGAAGGTGCCATTATTTCGGTTGTACACTGTACATAATTATATATGCAAATGAATGAATAACCAAAAAGGGAGAAGTTAGAAAAATGGGAAAAGGGAAACTGAGAGTTTGTAAAATTTTACTTTCTGGGCCACTGACTCTTAATTAGTTGGATGCTTAATTAACGAAAATGTAAAAAGTTTATCAGAGCATAGCGTGTTGTCTCTCACAACATTAAAGCGGCTAGTTCGGACAAAATTATCGATCCAACGGGAAGTTGCAAAGTTCTTCTAAATTTATGACTCACACCGAATTACCTTGATGAGGCGCCCCCTTGAGTTGATGATGTTTCAGGAACGCTAGCTACAGAACTAATAACGCCGCTAGCCGATGAGCTGGCACTTGGACAGGTTGAACTTAAAGTTGTTGAGATTGGCTGAGAAGCATAGCGTGAGCTATTTAAAGATGAATAAACCAAAGATGACAAAGGTTCAGTGCCTCTGGTGTAATCATCTGCTGATCGCCTTGTACCTGCTGTGGAATAACCCGCAGATCTACTATAATAAGGAACGCCTGAACGATACATCGCTGATCTTATCTTGCAACTAAACACTCCCAGAAGCTCAGCGTCTTCTAAATTCACTTATAATGTGAAGAGCAAAGACTAAAAAAGGTCTCATTTAATTTTGTAAACGAAATCTATATCATTTGCTTGGTCCAATGCATTAGTTTACGCCAATGAGCATTGAGAATCTGTTTACTGAGATATAGTGAACAAGTACTTTGAGAGAACTTTTTTTAAAGATTATGAGTTGCTAAAAGTAATCCTATCACTAAACTAATCCCACTTAACGATAAAGATTCTTCAGTCTAAAATTATCTCTAAAACTAGGTAAGTTTTGTCTCTGTTGGAGTAGAAATTAAGCGTATAGATACCGAGGAAAACAAAAGCAGGGAGTGAAACTAAGGAAGTTTATGTTGGCCGGAAAATCTTTGTTAACACTGGCCAATAATATCAAGGTACTTTCATGTAACCGCTCTGGTGAACCTAAACAATGTGCAACTGTATCAAGCATATATCAAACGAATGAAAGAAAATTTTGGTTCGCTCTGACCGGAAAGTTTTGAAGGTATTAATCTATTCAATTAAAAAAAAATGAAGTAAGATAGGCGAAAACCGCTATTATGCGAAAGAGTTGTTGAAAGTGCCCTTTGATCAACAGGTCTCAGATCGAAGTAAATTCTATAGTTAATATAAGCGAACTATTAATTAAACTTCCTATCAGGAACCCTGGGCTGTAAATGTATGTCATTTTAAGTTCGTTCATCCGGCGCAGTGTAATTAACATCTCGAGCAATAATCAGTTCAGTTTCTTCTTAGCGGGAGAGAGAACAGAACAGAACATCTCTGATACTTTTAAGCCGCTATACTCAAAAACGAAGTTTGCAGTCATTTCTAGCGTAATTAAATGATGACAGCGACAAATAATAAACCTTTTCGAACTATACTAAAAAAACCATATTTTTAGGAAAATAATTTCTTAAGAACAAACCATGCTAAGTTTTCTTTTAAGTTAGAGTGCTCAGAATTCTTGCACCGGCCAGCAGGGGCCCCCAACGTCAATTTTCGGAAAATATCCGGTTCGGAAGACGATTTGAGATCTAGAATTTTCGGAACATTTGCTGTAAAATTTCTTGCTTACCTGCCTCTCCTAGGATTTTCGATCATCTAACAAATGGTATAATTGCCAATTTTTAACGGATTTTTACCCTAAAAAGCTCACCTAGAATTTTCGGGAGCCTTTTTCTGGCTAAAATTTTCAAAAACGTAAGTTTTGATCCCTATAATTTTCGGATCACTAAAATTTCAGCTAGGAAATCCGAACAGATGAAAATTTTTTAGGGGATAAAAATATGTCTATATCTACCGTTTAAATACTAAAATACGTTTAACAATGCTATGTTTCAGTGGTTTTGAACTATATTCTCGTTGGGTCCCCCTGAACCAGTTAGCATTTGAAAACATCATGATAATTCAAATTTGCTTTCCGCTCCAGGCAACCAGTTCAGTTGACCATGGCATGCTATGCGTACAATATAACGTATGATGAGCGATGGCTCAGTGAAATGATGGACAAGCTCCTTTTCTAATCTCTGTGCCGTGGAAGCTGACGAAGATTACTTAAGTTCAGCAAATTGTCCGAGAAGCAAAGTCAGAACTTGTGTCGGTTCTTAACGTCATTTGCCTTGTGTTGTCAAATCACAAAGTAAACAGTCATATAAAATAGGTGGATGAAAGAGTAAGTGAAACATTTAAACAGGAAGCCCATTTTAGTATTAATTGTTCTAATAAATAAAGGTAAAAGCATTGTGCGTTTAAAGGAAGTTGAAATCTTAAACACCTAAATTCTTCTTTTGTGAGTTGTTACTAAACACAATATAAAGAGGCGGTTTCTAAGTTTCAGACTGAACCTACCTCCGCAGTACAAGACGAAGCAGTCAAGCATCGTATACTATACACTTAAATGGTAATTTGACGATCACGAATGCAGCAAATGGCTGATTTGTGAAGTTGCCGAGTCAGTTTTTCCTGTTCCAATTTCTAAGACTGACTTTTAAACATAAAGGTGATCATACAATTAGGCTAAAGAATAAAACGAAACTACATTAGGGAACACAACTAGAATTAGAATGAGTAGAAGGAACTAAACTCATTTCAATTCAACTGATGCATGAAAGCACCCGCTTCCATAAACGATTTAATCGTTTTCTTTGCTATAATGCACAATACACAGGTGCAGTTTGTAAAAGTGCTCCGAGTCATGTAACGCTCACTGATTTTTCTTGTTCCTGTGACGTCTCCAGGCAACTGGGCTCGAACTTTGACCAAACAGAAAGACAAATATTTAAAGCTATTCTATTCAGGAAATCATTGTCTGAAGTTGAATTTTTAGGCAATCACTGAAGCCAGGGGCCATCTACCAACAATTTGGCGCCACATTCTAGAGCTCCCGAGCATTTCTGCCAATTCTGTGAGCTTCAGTTGACCATATCTATTCAATGGGAAACCGTCAGATTAATCACGGTAGAAGACGTAGACGCAGAAGCCTGCTTTGTGTACTTATGTCAGAGGTCTGTAGTATGGACGATTTCACGCGCCATTTTTGCTCCTTAAAAGGAGTAAAAGAAGGTTTAAAATCGACGACTGAAAAATCTTTGACTAAAGGGATGCTCTATTAGGCACTGATGTAAATTCATCAAAATATGCGTTACCAGCGGTCTCATATATATATACTCATAATGCGTGTTCACTGTCTCATTCGTACTTTTAAAGTAGTTTTAAACTTGAAAAAACTGATCAAAGCTTATTAAGTTTTGCCTTTTTGTCGTATGTCTTTCCGTCTCTTAAAAAGAATTGCACTTGTAAAATGTGTCGTTAAGAAACAGTACTGGATAGTGCTGCAAGTTAGAACAAGTTAAAAAATGCTGAACTGTCATAGAAGAAGTGGTCAACGACAGTGAAGTACTTTCCAGACTTTCGTGTTTAATGTTGAACTGCATGAATATATGTTTGAAGTTTCAACTTGGATTCTGAAACCTCTTTTCAGCCACCCACCGTTCAGGAAATGAGTTCTCTCCTATGCAAACCGTTGAGTTGCAACTGAAGAAATATAGTCGCACTATCAAGTAAAAATGAATATTTACTACCGCCAGGAGATCGAGATCTTGGCTAAAACACCACACGTACGGGCACATACAGATAACATACAAGTGACACACTCTGATAAATAAGGAGACATACGAATACAAACGAGTTACATCAAGTAACATACGGTTAAACTGCACAGATAAATGGTAATAACACACTCATAATACATGCGAATTACATACAAACAGGTAGTACGTAGCTGACATACACGAAGTTTAGTCCTTATGCAGTAGATTTTTTTAATCGTTATCGACTACAAAATTAAAGGCTGCATCATCATTGTGAGCGGTACTAATCTTGGATCACGCGATATAAGTACCTTGATGAGTTTAAGAAATTGAAAAATCGGTGTTGATGTTAGATCGCGAACCATTTAAACGCCCCCCTCCTTACCAGTCTCTAACAAGCAGTGGAAGTGATCATGAACCTGCTCCCGTTGGTAAACCATGATCACATGATAGGGGAAAAAAATATCAATACAATATCACACTACCGGCCGGCAATTGGCATAAATCATGAAAATTACATATTGATTGTTTAGAAATTGCTTCAAATTCTTAGAACGTGCAGGGTTTACTTAATAACTTGGGTTACATTTTTCATTCGTACAAATTCAGTCTGAATTCTCAATTCTCAATTCAGATTTTGTGAGACAATTTTGTTGCGGAGAAAATTATTTCACGTCACATATACACAGACGAAGCGAGAATTTGTTGCTGAGACCATACAAAAGTTAGTAACTTTGCTGAGACGAATTGCTGGACGTGTTGCTACAACTTGACGCCAAGTGAGTTGCAACGTTTACTGACTCCTCAGACTGAAATTAACACTACAGTTCGGAAGTCAGCTTGTAATGGTGGCTTTCTCATTGAGAATACATTTCTCTTTAGAATCCTACGCATGCAAAGGGGTCTAAGCAGTCAAGCATGGTAAAAATATGGTCAGATGGTAATTTGACCGAAAAACGGATACGGCAAACATTAGTCAGTTGTAGATCATTCACCTAGCCTCTATAGTTACAGAAAATAAGAATGAAACAAAATTACTTGAGACAAGTTACCAACGGTTTGAGTATTTATGAGTAGAAAGACGTAAAATAAATAAATAAATAAATAGCACACTTATCTTCTGTCAACGGGGCCTTGTACCTGCTGTGGAATAACCCGCAGATCTACTATAATAAGGAACGCCTGAACGATACATCGCTGATCTTATCTTGCAACTAAACACTCCCAGGAGCTCAGCGTCTCTAAATTCAATTATAATGTACAGAGTAAAGACTAAAAAAGGTCTCATTTAATTTTGTAAACGAAATCTATATCATTTGCTTGGTCCAATGCATTAGTTTACGCCAATGAGCATTGAGAATCTGTTTACTGAGATATACTGAACAAGTACTTTGAGAGAACTTTTTTTAAGTTGCTAAAAGTAATCCTATCACTAAACTAATCCCACTTAACGATGAAGATTCTTCAGTATATAATTATCTCTAAAACTAGGTAAGTTTTGTCTCTGCTGGAGTAGAAATTAAGCGTATAGATACCGAGGAAAACAAAAGCAGGGAGTGAAACTAAGGAAGTTTATGTTGGCCGGAAAATCTTTGTTAACACTGGCCAATAATATCAAGGTACTTGCATGTAACCGCTCTGGCGAACCTAGACAATGTGCAACTGTATCAAGCATATATCAAACGAATGAAAGAAAATTTTGGTTCGCTCTGACCGGAAAGTTTTGAAGGTATTAATCTTTTCAATTAAAAAAAAATGAAGTAAGATAGGCGAAAACCGCTATTATGCGAAAGAGTTGTTGAAAGTGCCAGTTTTGATCAACAGGTCTCAGATCGAAGTAAATTCTATAGTTTATAAGCGAACTATTAATTAAACTTCCTATCAGGAACCCTGGGCTGTAAATGTATGTCATTTTAATTTCG